TGGGATTTCCATCTTGATCAGATGGATGTAAAGACAGCATTTTTTCATGGAGATCTGGACGAAGAGATTTATATGGAGCAACCAGAAGGGTTTGTGAAACCAGGAGAGGAGAAGCTTGTGTGCAGACTTAAAAAGTCTCTGTATGGATTGAAGCAAGCTCCTAGGCAATGGTACAAACGTTTTGACTCCTACATGGTGAAGATTGGCTACAAAAGTTGTGAGTATAATTGCTGCGTCTATGTAAGGTATCTGGACGACCATTCTCCCATATACCTACTGCTTTATGTTGATGATATGCTCATTGCTGCGAAAGATATGGAGGATATTGATAAGCTGAAATAGTTGTTGAAGAATGAGTTCGATATGAAGGATCTTGGTGCTGCAAAGAAGATCCTTGGGATGGAAATTCGCAGAGAAAGAAGCTCTAGGAGATTGTGGCTTTCTCAAAAAGGCTATATTCAGAAGATTGTAGACAGGTTTGACATGAAAGATACAAAGATAGTGTCTACACCTTTGGCGATGCACTTCTTACTTTCAGCGATGCAGTGTCCTAAGTCTGATCAAGAGATCAGAGATATGTCGAAGGTTCCTTATGCAAGTGCAGTTGGCTGTTTGATGTATGCTATGGTGTGCACTAGACCTGATTTAGCACAAGCAGTTAGTCACATGGATTTTCAGGTACTTAAAGGGTACAAGCGATCTTGGGCTTATGTTTGGTAGTCAAGAGTGTGGCTCAGTTGTAGGATATGTGGATTCAGATTATGCTGGTGATCTAGACAACAGAAGATCTACTACAGTATATGTCTTTACTCTTGCTGGAGGTCCTATTTGTTGGACATCTGTGCTGCAATCTGTTGTGGCAATGTCTACCACAGAAGCTAAGTATATGGCAATGAGAGAAGCAGCTAAGGAGTCACTTTGGGTCAAGGGACTTGTGACAGAATTGGGTGTTGATCAAGGTGGAGTTCAGCTATACATCGACAGCCAGAGTGCGTTGTCTCTAGCCAAGAACAAAGTCTGTCTATCATGCAAGGACGAAGCACATTCATGTCAGATTTCATAAGATCAGAGAGTTGTCTGCATCTGGAGAAGTCTTGTTGGAGAAGGTGCACACGTCAGAGAATGCAGCTGATATATTGACCAAGCCCGTTACTGTGGAGAAGTTCAAGCATTGCTTGGATTTGCTCCATGTCTTCAAGTGCTGAAGAAAAAGAAATCCCCCCGGAAGTGATTGGAGTTTGAAGGTGACTTTATGGAGATTCTTTGTCAAGGTGGAGATTGTTGTTTCTAGTGACAAAGATAAACTAGGGTCTAGTGGGCTTCATTAGGTCATGGGCTTACGCGGATTCACTTGGGGGGTGTGGTACGGTTTCCTGATAGGCATGGAAAAAAGAAAATCCTTTTTCTAGTGGGTTTGAGAGTCGGGTTTTTTGAGGCTATAAATACAGGGCTTAAGTGTTTGTAATTATTCATTCACACAACTAGTAATAAAACCCTAAACGGGTGTTTGCCTCAATTTGCGATTTCTTTTTAAGTTTTATTGCTTTTTTCGTGCTTGATTCACAACAAAAATCAACTTAAAATCATTTGGCAATTTGATCCATAAATCTTAAATAGTTGTTAAGAATTATCTCTACTTTCCATGTGGGATTTTTTCTAACATTCTAATAGCTTTTGCTCTGTTTTAATAAAATAGTATTTTCAGAGTTATTTTATTAAGTGCATATCGAAAAAAACTCCTAGAAACATGGTTTTGGGCTGGTTTTGCAATACTTCATTTCGTTGGGTTTTTTATTATTCAACTTTGTTTTTCTCATGAGCGAAAAAGGTTACTAACCATTGGGCTAGGCCCTGTAATACTCTTAAAAAAAATTATTGTTAGATTTTGATTGAAAGGATTTTCTAGCTTTTTAATATATAAAAAGATGGATTTTTGTAAGTTTTTAATGCATTTTTTTACTATTAATGATATCAAATCCGAATTTTCAAAAGCATTTATTGAATGTTATTGAATTCCTTGACTTACTATTGGTTTAGTGCCATGTGAAATTTTTTAGTGTAAAAATCTATATAAGTTGAACATTAAATTTTTTTCTTAATATGCATGAAGATTTTTAAAAGTATATATCACTAAGAAATTGAAGGAGTGATATATTAAACTTTTCTTTAGCAAAAAAAAAAAGAAACTAAATTAATCAAAGTGATATTTTTTTTGTTATCCCTAATCTCGACATTGATTTTCCGACAATCGTAAGTTACTCAACCAAACTACTGTCCAACAATCAATATGAAAAGCATACTAGGATTTTTTGATGGGTTCAAATTAGCATGGGATAAAGATTACAAATGACTATCAAAAAATTGTTGTAGAGCAGTGTTCTCAATAGTTTCTGAGACTTGTTTCTTACTTGTCTATCTTAGCAGAGCTTACTCTATTAAAATCTTCAAAACATTTCTCTTAATAATGTCCCTACTCAGTCAACTCTATTATAAGATATTTGTGTATCTTTTTAGATATGATAAAAAAATGAATCAAATCGCATTGTTAATGTTAAGTCACACCCAAACAAATTCCATGTACATTTTTGCCGAGTGACTTTGGTCTAGGGGACGCGAAGACGTTGACGACTAAATATCATTATACTATTATTATGGTATGGATCAAGCCACTATTATGGTAACTAAATATCATGATACTACTATAGTAAGTAAATATCTTGATATCTTGATATATTATGGTAACAAATAGTATAATAAACTTTTTAATGATTCTTCTAGTCAAACTTTCTTAAACTTTCCTCACCGATCTTCTATATATAAATAGGAAAGCTCCAGCACACAGCATCTAATACAAACTCTTTTTTTTCACCCAAACACATTTCAGCAATACACAATCCAAACCCACAAAACCAATTCCTTTTTTTTTTTTAATCTTCTCAAAAATGAAACTTACACAAACCAAAGTGATGTTTTTCTTTTCATTCCTAATCTCGGCATTGATTTTCCGACAATCAGAAGCTGCTCAGCCGAACTATTGTCCAACAGATATTATAAAAAGCATACCAAGATGTTTTGATTCGTTGAAATTAGCATCCGATAAAGATTACAGATAGTTATCAAAAGATTGTTGCAGAGCAGTGTTCTCAGTAGTTTCTGATACTTGCCTCTTACTTGTCTATCCTGGCAGAGCTTACCCTCTTAAGATGTTCAAAGACATTTGTCTTAATCATGTCCTTACTGGATCACCTCTATAATAAGATGTTTGTATATCTTTTAATGATATAATCATAAAAGAATGAATCAAACGTATTGTTATTGTGACTTTGGTCTAGTGAACGCGTTCGTTCCATTTGGATTGGAATTTTTATTTTCTGTTAAATTTAATAAAAATGTTTATTCTCATATTTTGTTTGATATCATAAGTTTTCTTCAGTTTTAACAGAGATTTTTTTTATGTTTCGTAAGACCAAATCTATCTCTATGTTTTGACTTTGCACCTTGTATATCTCCATATTGTAATACAAATCAAGTAAAAGTTAAATTGAATACATCCATTAAATTGGATGTATTGGGACTTATTGAGAATATAGAACGAGGTAATAATTTAGGAGAAATCTATTGACTTTCCGGTTCCTGAACAAAGTTTATAATTTTTATGTATATAATAGATATTTCATCGATCCTAACGCGATTAGTGGGTTAAAGATTTTTTTTGTTAAATATTTAACAGAATAATGAAAAATATTGGATCTGTTAAAAAATCTTAGATAAATGTAATAAAATCATTTTTTTTGTCAACAGTCTAAACATTTAGAACGGTTCGACAATCCAAACTGGAGGTACTGAGTTTACGTACATAACATCGATAGGGTAGATCCGAGCATTTTTTGCTAAATTGTCTGCCTTTATATTTTTTACGCATGAGATATGTGAAAATGTGAACCAGTTGAAGCTATTTTTAATCTTCACAACCTCCTCTGTGTATATAGCAAATGCTGATCAATCGTCGGGTGTAGACACCATCTTCACCAAATCCAAACAGTCCGTTGCAAAAGTTACTTCTGTCTTATGGTTTCTTATCATGCACAACATAACCCAAATGAGGGTTTCCATCTCCGCATGAAGGGGTGTAAGACTTCGCCGAACATTTCTCGCTCCCATTATTTGTCTCTATTTCCCTCATGAAAGTAATACCATCCTAAACTGGAAAATGGGTCAGTATCTTTCCAAGAGGCATCTATATAACACTACCATCTCCCCTATGTAATGGGTATCAGTTATGGGGAAGGTTATTTTGTTGTGGGGCTAGATCATCCTCTGACCTTTGTGCCTCTTCTTATAAATTCGCTTCAAATATCGCAATTTTCAATGTGATATGTGGGTCCACATCTAAATTTGTATATACTTTCTCATTTCTCGCTTTCCATATGTACCACGTAATCCAAGGGAAATGAGTGTCACATATCTCTTTTGGTAGTCTTCAAAAAAAATAATCAAAATTAGCGAAAACCGATTCCATCAGAAAAGCGCCCAGAGGCGTTGGTATTTGGATAGAGCCCATGTTTGTAAAACAGGAGGACACTCAAAAAGAGCATGATTAATGGTTTCCCTCACTGCCCCACATCGATTACATTGCATGTCACATTGTATTCCTCGTGAACGTAACTGAGCTGCTACTGGGAGACACCCAAATATTATTTGCCAAATAAAATGTCTTAACTTTAGAGTACATTTTATTTTCCATGAATGTGCTTGTAGTGCTTTAATATCCGGACTATAAACCACCTCTATAAGATTATTTGGGAACTGTTGCTTTATTTGATATCCTGATTTAACCGTATATTTTCTTGATTTTGTGAACTGCCATCTAAGTGAATACAGATTATAGGCCTTGCTAATGGGAATGGCACCAATAATTTTCACATCAGCTGGGTCAACATTTATCAAGCCCATATTCCACGTAATAAAATCATTTTATAAATAAAAAATGTAACAGCTTTTTAGGGAGGAAACTGGAACAAACAAAAACAATGATGATGGAGAAAATTCGGGAGTATCTGCAACTCAGCGAAGACGTTGACGACGGCGGCGAGGCACCGCGAGTGGAGGGATTAGTGAGAGGAAGAAGCTTCTATGAGGATTTCAGCCTCAGAGGAATCCGAGTCAACCGAGTCGTCCCGGGTTTCATTTCCTGCACTTTCAAGGTTCCTCTTCGTTTAACGGTTTGTCTTCCTCAATTTCTATTACTACTTGATTTGCTATGGCTTTAGTTAGATTCGACCTAATATCATTGCGTCTTGGAAAATTTCGATTTAAAAGAGCAGAGTCGATGAACCCAGATTAGGATAAGGGGGTAATCGAGCTTGATAATTTGAGGTTTAATGGCATTAGTATGATCTTCAAAGACGTGTTATTTATCTTTGTGAGATGTTTGAAGATAATAATCTGTGATAGTATGATCCAAAGTTGGTTCTCTACACTCAGCCAGATTTATGTTTCAAAAGTGGTTCTTGGAAACTTGAGAAGAATCAACAAGATATCTCCTTGAGGGTAGATACAGTAATTTGGAATTAATTTCTGTTTTTGAGACTTGAGGTTGATCTATTAAGGGTTTGATAATGGCAGAACAGAGACGGGGAATTAGTAAATGGAGCGATTGCAAATCTTGTGGATGAGGTTGGTGGAGCAGTTGTACATGAAGAAGGTTTACCTATGAATGTCTCAGTGGACATGTCTATTGCTTTCCTTTCAAAAGCTAAGCTTGGTGTAAGTCTACTCTACTCATGCTTTTTTTTTCTCAAGCTAAACTCATGATTTTCTGAAAACTTATAGAGAAATGTAGATGATTTTTGAAATGGAAATATATGTTTTCAGGAGGAGTTGGAGATAACATCGAGAGTGATGGGAGAGAGAGGAGGTTATAAAGGAACAATCGTTGTAGTGAGGAACCAGAAGACCGGAGAGATTATAGCGGAAGGTCGACATTCTTTGTTTGGTAGACAAGCTAGCAAGCTCTGAGTCCGAATCTTTTGGTTTTGTAAAATATGATCTTAAAGTTGTTTAGGTAAATTTGTCAAGTCGTTACCTCCTTTCTGGTTGTGAAACTAAAACCTTTGTATTAAGCTGGTCACAATTACTTGGTACTCGTCCCGTACTTACTTATCCTGTAAAACCAAGTACTTGATCAAGTGGAGTATCAAGTATTTTAAGAAGATTACTTGCAAGTATCAAGTATTAAAAAAAAAGTTACTACTTGGTCTTATTAATCTGTTACTCGTTTCAAATCTCTGATTTTTTTTTAATTTTATTCCACATCGATTACAACATAAAAAAGAAAAGAAAAGTTTGTTTAACAAAAGATAAATAAGTTGCCAGACTTTAATATCCAAAGTTTTTCAAAAATCAAAATATTAAATATTATCATATGTTTTAATTAAATATAACCCGAAATTTTAGTTTTTTTAATATTCTATTTGTACTTTTACAAGTAACGGAACAAGTCAAGTAACTTGCAAGTAATGAAAAATTTGGCAAGTACTTGAAATTGCAAGTACTTAATATTAACAAGTCAAATACAAGTACAAATATCTTAATACTTAAACGGGACAAGTCAAGTATATCAAAAATGATTGAAATTGCAAGTACTTAATATTAACAAGTCAAATACAAGTACAAATATCTTAATACTTGAACGGAACAAGTCAAGTATATCAAAAATGACAAGTACTCGTCCTGTGCTCAGACCTACTTTGTATATGATATTTTATAAGAGATAAAACCTTTGTGGATTTGTTCGGTCATCTTCAATGTAGATGTTGAGTTATCAAGGTTATGAAATCGACAAGAACTGTAAAACACTCTCTTCTCTTAGTTCCATCATAAAATTAAACACAACATATTGCTGGAATTGTCGATGCACTGGAAACTAATTCAACAGCAGAAGCAAAAAATCCAGAACGCAAGAATCAGAAATTTTGAGTACATTATAACTGACAACGGTTTCTATTAAGACGAATCAGTAACAGCAGCTTCAGTAGATTGCTGAGAGGATGATCCTGAAGGAGCTCCAGACGCAGAGTCAGGTGGTGGAGCAGAGACTGAGCTCGGAGGAGGAGGATTGGGCCTTGGACCAGGACCCGGTTGTTGCGGATAAGGCTGAGCAGCTTGTGGTGGGCCATGTTGATAAGGAGGATACTGCTGGTAAGGTGGTTGCATATATCCTCCATATGGCTGTGGCGGATACGGCTGGTGCGGATAGTGACCATGTGGTTGCATCGGGTAAGAAGAAGAAGAAGCTCCCCTGTTGTCGCTAGTGCCTGAACCGCTGTCTTGTGAGGAAATGACTGCACCCATTCTCTGAGGATCCATTGATGGGTAAAAGGGTCTGTCTTGATGAGGAGGTTGTGGTGGGGGTGGGTGCATATAGTAAGGCTGCATCGGTGGAGGTTGATTATGCTGCTGAGATATCACGGCTCGAGGTAGCAATCCACTGTGAGCCGCACCACCAGAGCCACCCTCTGGATCGGTTTTAGGAACTTGAGGTCTTCCCCAAGTGAGTTTAAGCCTCTGACCGTTGACGACTAGCTTGTTGCTGAGCTCTTCTGCAGCTTTCTCTGCTCCTTCTCGGGTTGTGTAGGTGACAAACGCACATGCTTTCTCGGCCAAGATTCTGATGGATTCTATTTCTCCATAGGCGTAGAATTGATCTCGTATGTCTTGCTCAAGGACTCGAGAGTTTAGCCCACCAACGTAAAGCGTTTTGATGCTTTGATCTTCCGGAGATTCCAAAGTTCCCATCTCACCAGCCTTTCCAAGTAACTTCAATGCTACTGGATCGTTCACACTGCAAAATGTGAAGAAATAGATGAGAAAACAGTTCCAAAATCACCAACATGAGATGCAATTTAGCAAATTTAGGCCCAAAAGTTGTGGTGTAACTCAAAGTGATCACCCTACAGTATAATAGAAGTAAATGAAAGTCGGTAGTTTAGCTTACCCATAGTAACGGTCTTTTATGTTCTGCTGGGATAACTCTCCTGTTTCAGGCATCTCATGCCGGTATGGACACTCGGCACCTCTTGTACACTCTCCCCTAATGAAGAAACTACAAATATGCGCTCGATTCCTTTTGTAGTATGGCGTTGTCCTTTGAAGCATACGGATGGTATCATTAGGCCGAATCTTCCCAAAAGACGATTCATAATCAAGTCCAGCTCTCGTCTGCATAAGAAAGCAACATCATTTCAGCAAGCTACAATAAACTAGCTTTACAACATGATCCCATTACAGTATTACCAAATCTCAAACCAATCAATACTAAAAAATAACTAGTTAGAGTGAAGCTTGGACATAGAGTCATACCTTTCGATCATGCTCTTCAGCAAAGAACTCTCTGTTCACATCGCTTTTCGGTATAGAGTCATGAGTACTAATGTTGAGCGCCGTGTCTCTGACCTGAACTGGAAGACCATACTCAAGATCCAAGAGACAGACTTGGCACACATTCTTGAGTTTGCAGCATGTCTGACAAACTTCGGTTTTCTTGTATCTAGCATCCCGGCCAGGTCTCCACCTGAAAACCGTGAATGGTCGGGTACAGATCTTGCACTCCTTATCATAATCCGCCTTTGTCTTCATACAAAAAAAAAACCCCACAATACATCAATCAAATAGGTACAGATATTGAACTCCTTATCATAATAATCCGTATTTGTCTACATATCAAAAAGCCACAATGCATCAATGAAACAGGAAGTAATCAATTGGATCTGAAAGCAATAAATTACATTATCGGGACGCAAACGCAGGATCGTAACAAGATTTACAGACGCAAGCGATGAGAACCAAAAGCAGATATCAATTCCAGCTATAAATCCATAAATTCAGAGATAAACTAACGGTTACGACTTGTACTCAAAATCGCCTAAACCCTAATTTCAAAATCACTAAATTTTACAGCTCCAGCACTCACGAAAATGGATGAAGAAAGGAGATCCTAATGAAGATTCAGGAATCGCTATAAACAAAGCAAAATAAAGCTAAAATTTTGAATTTCTTCGAGGAGATTAAAGCGGAGAAATACCATTCGCACGTAAGGATTGTCACCGAGACAAGACTCGCAGATGATTGGGAAATCAGAGCGTTCCCATCCATCAGCGTCGTGATCTCTCAGGATTCTATGCGCCATTCCTTGATTCCTCTTACTTCCTCTGTTGATCTCTCGATATCAGTCTCGAGCACGAAGGTGACCGGAATGGGCGGAATATCGTAGGGCAGAGAGCAGATTTGCTTTCGCTTTGTTTGTTTTCGAGAATATTAAATATCGTCAAAAATATCTTCTTCTTATTTAAACCGAAATTGGTGACCGACGAAGGTACATAACCCGAACCGAAGTAATCTGATTCAATTTAACCCAATTCGAAAGTTTTGAGACATGAGAAATCGAAATTGAATCGAACCATACCCAAAAAACCAACTTCAAGATGTATTCTGTCAGTTAAAATAGATACTAAATGTAGAGGAAAGTCAAAACCGAGCTAAACCGGTCACAACCGACCTTAACACCAGATTTTTCTTTTCGAAATCTCCCTTGTTTCTGAAATGTTGGCCAGTTGTGGCCCATTTCAAACCCAAAAGAAGGCTTAAGTGTTGTGTACCGAAACTGCTATGCATGCTCACACACGTGATTATTCCTCGCCAGCCCACTAAACCAGAGGCGGGAACAAAATACCCTAAAATTGCTAAAATACCGCCACAAAATCAAGGCGTATTACATCGATTCCCGCGAACACCATTTCGCAAATCTTCCTTCGAACGCTGACCAATTTTCAACAATTCCCCAGGAGAGAAGAAGAAGATGTTGGAGCTTCGGTTAGTTCAAGGCTCTCTGCTAAAGAAGGTTCTAGAATCAGTCAAGGATCTGGTGAACGATGCGAACTTCGACTGCTCGAGCACAGGGTTCTCGCTCCAGGCCATGGACTCGAGCCACGTGGCGCTGGTTTCTCTTCTCCTGAGATCCGAAGGATTCGAGCACTACAGGTGCGATAGGAACCTCTCCATGGGGATGAATCTGGGAAACATGTCCAAGATGCTCAAATGTGCTGGAAATGATGACATCATCACCATCAAGGCCGACGATGGAAGCGATACCGTCACTTTCATGTTCGAGAGCCCAAGTAAGTTTACCCTTTTACCCCCCAGATCGATTTACGTTTCCTAGGCATATTAATGGGTTTCATTTGCCAAGAACTAGAAGTTGATTGATGAAAATGATTGGGATACTTGGTTTAGAGAAAAGAAGCCAAAGAAGTTTAATTGATGTAGACTATGTTAAAAGTGTGAATAATCTCATGGTTCGAGTATGTTGATGATGCAGCGCAAGACAAGATTGCAGACTTTGAGATGAAACTGATGGATATTGACAGTGAGCATTTAGGAATCCCTGACGCTGAGTACCACTCAATTGTGAGAATGCCCTCTGGTGAATTTTCCAGGATATGCAAAGATCTCAGTACCATTGGTGACACAGGTAAATGCACATTTGTTTCTTGTCAAAGATTGGTCGTTTTGAGTTTTTATCCAAAACATAATTCTGGTTTTGATGTTGTGTGATTGCAGTTGTGATCTCTGTGACGAAAGAAGGGGTGAAGTTTTCAACAGCAGGTGATATCGGGACAGCGAACATTGTACTGAGGCAGAACACTACTGTAGACAAAGTATGAATAGTCACAAAGTTATCTCGAGCTTTTTTTTTTGTTTTTATCTATCAAATGCGACATTGAAGTGACTTTATGTTTTCTATGTGTGTTTTGCAGCCGGAAGATGCAATTGTGATAGAGATGAATGAGCCTGTGTCACTTTCATTCGCGTTGAGGTACATGAATTCCTTCACAAAGGCGACTCCTTTGTCTGAAACCGTGACAATCAGTTTGTCCTCGGAGTTACCTGTCGTTGTAGAGTACAAGGTGGCTGAGATGGGTTACATTCGATACTATTTGGCGCCTAAGATCGAAGAAGAAGAAGACGCTAATGCCTAACACATTTGTTTCTGGCTAGTGATGATGAATGTCTTTACTTTGTAGAATCTTTGTTTAAGATGTCTATCTAGATTTACATGTTTGGATTTACTATGTGTGCTAGATTTAGCTGTTTTTTTTTTTGGGATTTACTATGGGTAATGCTAGATAACCAAGTTTGGCTTGATTTGCATTTTGCAATTTGGAGAAACCTGTTTAACGCTTTTTTTTCTTTTTTCTTTTTTGTTCTTTAAATGGCAAGACAAAAAAAAATTGTAACTTTGAAGACAAATCTATCAGCATAACAAAAAATGGTTCAAGAGCAATCGAGTAAGACGAGAAGTGTAACATTTTATATCACACGTGGCCTCCAGTCTTCTCCAGCATACACAGCTTGTTCTCCGAGCTCTTCCTCGATCCGAAGCAACTGCAGGAAGATTTCAACCGTAATTATACGCTTTTTATAGTGTGCTTTCGATGAAAACGCTAAACATGAATAGAGACAACTATCTAGCAAACCAAATGTACATGTCTATTCCAAACTGAATGACTACCTTACTGAGGGAAATGATTGTGTCTACAAATAATCTAAGGCTGCACTATCAATAACTTGAAGAAACTGAAACTTGGCCTAGGCTGTTGCTAAAGATTCACATCCCGCGACCTAACTCAGCTACTTGAAAGCTAAATTAAGCGCCAAAAGTCTAACGGTTTAATCCAAGTAATTAATGATGAGAAGTCTAGTCCCATATACAGACCTGGTTATACTTCATAGTACGTTCTCCTCTGCAAGGAGCACCAGCTTTGATCACACCTGTTGAAAGGCCCACGGATAAGTCAGAGATGAAAGAGTCCTCTGTTTCTCCACATCTATGAGATGTCACCACACCCCACTGAGCATCCCTTGCCAGTTTTACTACTTCAATGGCTTCTGTTACTGTACCAATCTGATTCACCTGTATCACGGTATGCACATTATGTCTTTGTCATTTGGCAGTAGTGTATCTATCTTACCATGCTAGCAGATGCAACATAATAGTGTTTACAAAAACATAAATTAGCTCAAAAGATATACCTTGAGAAGAAGGGCATTACAAGAAGATTCCTGTATTGCCCGTGCAACACGTGTTGAATTTGACATCAACAAATCATCACCTACCACCTGCAATGGTATCATACTGTTAGAAGAGGGAAATGATCGTACAAACAGATTTTAAGTTCCTTTTTGGCATTGTTAGCCTAGTTTGTTTTACTGTAAAGATCTGATTCCGTTAAAAGATTCAGAAGATAATTTGATGTGAAACAACACATAATCTAAGTTAATCGTTTATAACAGGGGAAATCGAGTGGACCTGACATATTCCAAGACTGGAAAAATACTTGGTGTGTTCCCAATCTTCTTTGTCAAACGGGTCTTCTATAGACACAATTGGATACTCTAATTCCATAAGAAGACCACACAGAAAAAATGCTCGTCAGAGTTCTAAACTAGACCCAAAAAGAAAATCTTGCAAAACAGGCACAGACATACCAGCACAAAGTTCTTTGTACATGTCTATCATATCGTCTGCTGACTTGAAATTTTGCCCAGATTTATTTGGAGATTGGATATCTAGGTCATACTTGGTGCCTGTTCAGGAACGAAGCATTCAACAAGGTACAAAAAATCTATGAAAAGTATAACATAGTGCAAAATTGCAAAAAGCATGATCTCGATTAGTCACTTTGATTTTAACATCGTTTCTCTACCAGCCAGTTGTGAATGACAACGCCTAGAACCAAACCAAGACTATCCATGATTAAATGTAGCCACGTAGAACCAGTTTTGCCATGAAGCAGAATAATACCTATACAAAAATTAGTGGCGGCAACATCAATTGCTATCTTTATCTTATCACTATATCCTGTTCGGTTGATAGCTTCTTTTACAAGCTCCAAACCTTCCTTGAGGCTGCATACAGTTGCAATAGTGTACATAAGGAAACAATAACACAATTTTCTCATATTTCGACTGACGTAGTCACGAAAATCTACAGAATGCAAGAAGATTAAACATCACAGAGGGAAAATATAAATACCTCGAGATATCTGGGGCAAAGCCACCATCGTCACCAACATTACACCCCAAATTACCATTCTTTTCTGTAATGACAGCCTGCCATAAACAGCAATAGATTACATCTCACCTCTATATACAAAGTTACAAATGCAAAATAAGGCCGTATCTTTGAAAACTGACCTTTAAATGATGATATGTCTCAGATCCCCATTGCACGGCCTCCTCAAATCTAGATGCTCCAATTGGGAGAATCATAATTTCCTAACAATATAAAGACACAAAAATCATGACATGTAAATTATGATTGAAAACCAAAAGCAAAAGAATGAGAAAGAGGTAGAACAGAAACACTAATAATGGACTCAATTTTGAATGTACCTGAATGGCAAAATTGTTCGAGGCATGATTCCCACCACTCAAAACAGTGAATGCAGGTACAGGTAACGTCAAGTTTGCTCTGCCACTAAGATCAGAAAGGTGCTTGTACAGAGGGACCTGATATATAGCTTCTATCAGAATAAGCATGAAATACATAGGATAAGAGCAAATGTTCCGAATACGTCATACCTCTTTCTCAGCAGCTCCAGCCTTACATGCAGCAATGGACACAGCTAGTACAGCATTGGCTCCAAGTTCATTCTGCAAGATAATTAAATTCACAACAAAATCGTGAGGAAAATATACAAAACCATACCAAAGTTATAGATTCCATTGATTTGTTAACAATCTTAAACATTTCCAAATATCAGAGGCAACAGAGTTCCCACCTACCTTCTTTTCAGTTTTGTCCAAATCTATCATTGCATGGTCGATTTGAGCCTGAAGTTTTGGGTCCATACCGATCAAGGCCTCGGAGATTTTCTCATTTATGTTCTTAACAGCTTTAGCCACACTGTTTCCAAGATACATTCCTTTGTCCCCATCACGTAATTCAATAGCTTCATACCTTTGGATCAGTGAAACAATCTCCTCATGTCAGGCTTAATCTATGAAATGAAAAAACAGATGAGAGTAAGAGTTTAACGAATTCTCACGTTCCAGAAGAATCACCACTGGGAACAGAAGCACGGAAAACGCCTTTGTTAGTGTGCAGATCCACTTCGACTGTTGGAATTCCTCTGCTATCAAGGATCTGTCGTGCTTTGACTTTCGTGATCACAGATGAAACAGCTTTCTTCATATGATTCGCCTGAACATTTTCCAATGAAATTCGATGAGAACACGGAAGCTAACAGAATATTGTTCAGATTCACAAGTAAGGCAACACAATTGCACTTCGATGTAGGCGAAATTCAGAAATGGAGAAGGAAACGCACGATGAAGAGAACAGGATCTGAGGTTTTAGCCCTAACGGCTGCATTGACGGCGTCTTCGATTTTCCGAGAGAGCGCGTGCTTGTCTAAGTACTCTTGCACAGACATCTTCTTCTTCTTCAACTCACTTCGTCCGATATCTTCTCTGCTTCTCGTTTCGTATCTTCAAGCAAATTTCCGATGAACAATTTCAGCGTCAAGCAAAGTTTGAATCTGACATTTTTTTTTCCGATCGCCTGTATTTTGTTGGTTAGGCTCCGGTTCAGGCTCCAATAAGCATATTCAATTAGGATATAACATCCCAGACGACGGCGTTTAACTTTAGGAAAGCATGCGTGGCGTCGGAGTCTTTTGCTGTAGAACATCACGATGTTTTAGTCTAGAACGAATTGAGTTTTTAAGGGAAAGGTTAAGCCCAAACTCAAAATGGGCCCATAAGAAGTCTCACGTGCGATTGCCAGGTTGGATTTTGGAACTGCTTATTCTCTCTACGAAAAGCACGTGCGGCGCCGTTTTAGTAACTGCTCCTCGGTAGAATCCAGCTGTCACAGGGAAAGGGGGCCCACACAAACAGATTACGAAATTCAAAAAGATTAAACTTTTTCACGAGCCATTTATTTTTGAATTTTGCCACCCGTTGCCACCTCGATTTACGTGGCCCGCATCTTCACCGTTGATTACTCATATCCCGATTTTGAATTGCCAAATATTAGCCGTTAAAACCTCCTTTTCTTTATAAATGGACCCTCTCTTCACCCCTCTCTCCTAAAAGATCCTCTCTCTGCTCCTCTTCCCTTTTTCAAATTCTCTCTCTCTCTCTCTCTTTCGCTTAGATCCAGTTCTAGGGTTTTCAATTTTCCGCGAGCGAAGATGCGTGAGATTCTTCATATCCAAGCAGGACAGTGTGGAAACCAAATCGGTTCCAAGTTCTGGGAAGTGGTTAGCGTCGAGCAAGGAATCGACCAGACGGGGCGTTACCAGGGAGATACCGATGTGCAGCTTGAGAGGATTAATGTCTACTACAACGAGGCGAGTTGTGGTAGGTACGTACCTCGCGCTGTTCTCATGGATTTGGAGCCTGGAACCATGGACAGTGTTAGATCTGGGCCGTACGGTCAGATATTCCGTCCCGATAACTTCGTCTTCGGTCAATCCGGCGCCGGAAACAACTGGGCTAAAGGTCACTACACCGAGGGCGCTGAGCTTATTGACTCGGTTCTCGATGTTGTTCGCAAGGAGGCTGAGAACTGTGACTGCCTTCAAGGTATTCTAAACCTTTAATCCTTTGTTTACTGTTGTTGATTTAGGGTTTTCTTCGCTAATCGTCGCTATTCTCGTAGGCTAGTGTTTGGTTGTTTTGGAATTTGCAGATGTACACCTTAGATTTCTGATTTGGAACTGTTTGGGTTTTGGGTAATTGTGGATTAGGGATTTGGCTCTCTCCGCTCATGGTTTGTTTGTATTGGATTACAGGATTTCAGGTGTGCCATTCCTTAGGAGGAGGAACTGGTTCTGGAATGGGAACTTTGTTGATATCGAAGATCAGGGAGGAGTACCCAGACCGTATGATGCTGACATTCTCTGTGTTCCCATCTCCCAAGGTCTCTGACACCGTCGTGGAGCCATACAACGCAACACTCTCTGTGCATCAGCTCGTTGAAAACGCTGATGAGTGTATGGTTCTTGACAACGAAGCCTTGTATGACATTTGCTTCCGTACACTCAAGCTTAGCACTCCAAGCTGTAAGCTCTCCGAATCCTGTCTCTATTGTTCTACAGTTCTACTCTCGTTTGTTTGATGCTTTGCTAGAGCAAATTTATCATGAACGTAAATATTCTATGTCTATGATGGAAAATGCTATAATTCGATCATGGGATTGCTGATGTGATCAGAGTCAAACTTGTCTTCATCAGCTAAATTGTGCAGTATCCACATCTACTATAGTTGTTCAATGACATGAACATTTTTGTTTGTTTGCTGAATTGTGCAGTTGGTGATCTGAATCATTTGATCTCTGCAACCATGTCTGGTGTAACCTGCTGTCTTAGGTTCCCTGGTCAACTTAACTCTGATCTTCGAAAGCTAGCTGTGAACCTGATCCCATTCCCTCGCCTCCACTTCTTCATGGTGGGATTTGCTCCACTCACGTCTCGTGGATCTCAGCAATACCGTAACCTCACTGTCCCAGAACTGACACAGCAAATGTGGGACGCCAAGAACATGATGTGTGCTGCTGACCCGAGACACGGTCGCTACCTCACTGCCTCGGCTATGTTCCGCGGCAAAATGAGCACCAAAGAAGTAGATGAACAGATGCTGAACGTGCAGAACAAGAACTCCTCCTACTTTGTGGAATGGATTCCAAACAATGTCAAATCAACCGTCTGTGACATTCCACCAACTGGTCTGAAGATGGCTTCGACGTTCATCGGAAACTCGACATCGATTCAGGAGATGTTCAGGCGTGTCAGCGAGCAGTTCACGGCCATGTTCAGGAGGAAAGCTTTCTTGCATTGGTACACAGGTGAAGGCATGGACGAGATGGAGTTCACGGAGGCAGAGAGCAACATGAACGATCTTGTCTCTGAGTATCAGCAGTATCAAGATGCCACGGCTGATGAAGAAGGAGAATATGAAGACGAAGAAGCTGAGTACGAGCAAGAAGAAGCATATTGAAGAAACACAACACAAAGATCTCAACTTCAAAGATTCAACTTCCTGTTGCTGTTTTTACTTTTCTACTTTCTACTAAGTTTTTTTATAGTTCCTGTAACTATCGGTTTCATTATTAGTTATGCACTCTGCGTAGACTGGCTAATGATTATTAAGATTTAAACACCTATTTTGCTAAAACACAATTAGCCCACTCTTTAGTGTATTTGCCATCATGCTAAGAATTTTCACCTCTTTTGCTTAAACACAATTATCATAATGAACCTATATACTCTGTGTCGACTGAATAATGAAATATTAAGGATTTAATTAACACCTATATTGTTAAAACACAATTAGCTCACTCTTTAGAGTATTTGCCATCATGCTAAGAATTTTCACCTATTTTGCTTAAACACAATTATCACAATGAACCTATGTACTCTGTGTCGACTGAATAATGCATACCAAGATTTAATAAACACCATTTTTGTTAAAACATAATTTAACAAACTTAATACTCCAATTTTAGAGAACCCATTTTCTCGCTATTGCCTCTGGATTTGTGACTTTTGTGAATTTGACAATATATTGATCAGTAACGGGGGTCGACAAATGTAGATTTAAGATCAAGAGAGGACAAGCTCTATAGATGATACAAAATGTTTGTTTCCCTAAAACTCAGTTATTTTTTTCAATGTCCATGGACTCCATTTGATCCTTAAGCGCTTCTTTAGCCTCCTTCAAACGCTCTTGTTCATCAGCTTTATAGTCTGCAACCGCCTTCTCAAAAACGCTCCTCACGTGTCTGTTCATGAGCATAAGCTCTTGACATGCATCTTTGAAAACCTCTCTTGCCGGATCACCTAAAATCACAGAGGCAACAAGGTTAAGACACGGACAAAGAAAGACTAGTGGGAGAGAATTTATAACTAGCCGAAGATTATGGTGAAAAACAAGAACTCCCATCTGAGTAATCCAGACAGAACATAGCTTAAATCTGATGAACATGAGTTATCTGAAAAATGGTACCTGTTGTCTGGACCTGGATATTGACACATTCAAGAGAAGGATGTGGAATGCTGTATCCAGTCGAAACTACTCTCGGACTGCAAAATCGTAAGTAGTAATGGCTAAGTGATATAATAATCATCGTCTAAAACACAACATAGCATGTGCAAGATGAAAACAATTTTGACATGTATTGAATTAGCAAGCAAGTAAAGACCTTTTCTTTTCCCTTGGAAACAATTTGGCATACAATGAGAATCTCTAACCACAAACTTACATTCATTCGAACTCAAAGTTCACAATCACAGTATATATTGGCACAAATCTACAATAACCATAATTCGAAATCTCTTCACCTATAACACGAATCTCAAAACTATGAGCTCAATAGTAAGCATTTGAAAATGTCAAGAACTAGTTTTTAGATTATAAATCGAAAACCTTTTTCTGTGAAAGTATGTATATAGCTTCTTCTAACATAAAGAGATTTAAAAGGATTGAGAGACGAAACTAACTCTTGGTTTAACACGAATCGAACGGCGTTAGCAAGTGTGTGATCTTCTTGTGGCAATTTAAATGAAGCATTGCGATCATTCGTGAACGAACCGTGCTCCATCTTAGCTTCTGCTACTAATTGCTCTGAAACTCAAAATCAAAACCCAGCTCCAAACTACAGAACATACAAAAGAGACAGAACGAATTCAATTAAGATCTCTGTGGAGTTAACTACAAATCCGCCAGAAAAATTCGAACTTGAGGTAATTTCTCCTGCAAAGGCTATGCGAGAAGAGATACCTGTAGCAATATCAAAGCTGTGTGCGAGATTTTCGTTTGCTAAAACCCTAAATAGCTCAGCGAAGACTTTACACTAGCATAGAAGCTACATTATATTAGCGTAATTACATCTCTGCCCTTTGTTTGATGACGTGGCCTTTTACGTCTCTTAAACCCTAATTTTAGCTGTCGAGCAGAAAAGAGAAGCTCGTCTTGTTTATTCTTCTTCCTCTCGGTCAATCCCAAATTTTTGAGAAAGTAAGGATTTTTTATTTATTTTGGTTCTTCAAATTCTAGCCTTGAGTTATAAAGTTTTGATCTTTACGAATCTTAAATTTATTTTCAGGTATTGCTAAAATGGCTTCTACCAATCCATTTCCCGAGGGCATTGCTAAGGAACAGGTTCGGATTTTTTTTTCTTCCCCATAGGTTCTTTGTTCTTTGTTGCTGATACTTCGTAAAGCTCTGATCTTTGATCTAATTAAACAATGGAGGTTTAATTATTTAGCTGTCTCTTTGTCGACATATGGTTTTCCATTTTCTGCAATGCTTAGTGTTAAATCTGTGTATTCATTCAGATCTTTGTACTTTTAAACATTGAAAATTCATGATGCCATTTACAGTTTTACTTGATTTGGATTGGTGTTCATGAGTTTCTCATTTTGCTTTGAATCAGGCTTTTAGTATGGCACAAACGGAGATGGAATACCGTGTGGAACTCTTTAACAAGTACTGAATCAAAGACTCTTTCCATTTATTATTGTTTTTGGTTCTTAAATTAGCTTGTCTAGTTTAAGATCGGAGATTGATGCACTCGCTTTTGATTCCACTACTGTTAAAGAGTTCTGGATTTAACTAAGATTGGAGATTGATGCACTCACAAAATGAGATCTCTCTTTTATGTTCAACTAGTGTTAGTATATAGAGAAGTATCTGTGTGTGATTGCTTCACTGCCTGCATTGTTTATCTTGAGGATGAAATCTAAAATCTTTATTTGTGAAATTCTTAATGAAAGTAAAGCTTAGGTTAACATCTATTCCACTGTTATGTAGAGGTATAACTTTGATATCCTTTGGTTTTTCATTTTGTTTTCTTAATTTCTGTCAAAAAAATATTTGTTGGCGTACCAAAGTTCATGGTGATTGACCACCAGTGATTTCTCGGGTTTAAAATTGATTATGCAGAATATTACATCTTTTGATGTGTTTCTTTCTTATAAGCCTTGTTCCTTAAATGCAGGCTTGCACAAACATGCTTTAATAAATGTGTGGATAAAAGGTAAACTTTTCTCTCCTATTACAAACTCATGGAACATGTCTGTGTTGTACCAGTTTGAGATTGTTTTGTCTGAAATCAATATGATTCACAGGTACAAGGAAGCTGAGTTAAACATGGGCGAGAATAGTTGCATTGACCGTTGTGTTTCCAAGTACTGGCAGGTAAGGCTCTTCTTGGATTAAGTTACTTAAACAAAGCTAGTTAAGATTTCATACTTGAAATCTTCTCATAGTTTTACCATTGTTCAAAGTTAAAAACTTATGTTCTTTTTCCATGTAATCGTTTTCAGGTAAATGGAATGGTTGGACAGCTTCTAAGTGCTGGCAAGCCTCCCATGTAAGCCAGTTTAAAGGCAATCATAGACCAAAAAACCTCATGGAGAGACAAACAAAACTCTGTTCTTTCTTTTTCTAAAGTTTAAGGCAATCTTGTTTTTATTGTCAAGAAAGTTGCAATCTTATTTTTGGCGCTGATTTGGACAAATTATTCAATTCTCTGTGAACCCGTTATTTCCAGACGGCTGAAACGAAATAACAAAATCAAAAATCTCGAAACACATCTATTAGTCAATAATAACTTCTATCTTTTTACATTTAAGAAATGAACAACAAAAGAGTAACGTGTATCCTAGAGAGTAATCTGTTCACGGCTGACATGCGCACAACATGCGTAATTTCTAAACTAAGTTACTGCTCAGATTCCAGATTTTGTGATTGGATACATAAAGATCAATCCTCATCTGCTAAATTATTCTCGTTAGGAAGTCTCTGATGATCCTCTTTGCTCTTGTTCTTGCCATCCTTTGTACTCAATGGAAGCAAAGGCTTTTGAGAAGGTCCACTAGAAGAACGCTCTGCCATTTCTGCAAGAAGATATACAGTTGCACAAGATTGACCAAAACCTGTGCTGGGTCTTTAATACTTTTAGCAATGACTAAACTAAGAAATGGTCTACCAATCTGCTAACATTTTCTACATTGTAATGGTCTATTTTGGGTGAGTAACAAGACAACTTTTTCAGTTTAAGGCAGAAACTATGGGAAACGAATAGCAGTCTCGAGTTTCTGCCAACATATCTGTGTATAGAAATTGCAGAGACGCGATCTGGTTTTGTAATCCTTTGGGAAAATGATGAGTTTTTGAGGAAACATACCTGGAAGTTTGCTGTCAACAAAGAACATCACAAGGTTTACAGTATACCTGCAGAAGAAAATAATGAAATGTTGAGAGATTTTTTTTAAGGATTCAATTTTGCTTGAAAAGATATTTGATTTCTCATATTTTCTGACCATGCAACAACAATGTCTACTGTGTAATGTTTCCTTGACGCTATAATCAATAGGCTCTGTATAATCGCCATAAGCCAAGCCAGATGCTTGATCCACCTGGAAATTTTACAAACACGAGATGCAAGAATATTGTGAAAAGAGGAATAATCTTTTGCAGAACGATATAAGATAACAGTACCTTCTTGTGCCGTATCTTTGATAAGTGCGTACAAACACTAAGGTGAATATCGTATGCGATGAAAATATTAGATCTCCACAACCATATATCACCCCATAAGGAACTGCAATTTACACACAACCCCTAATCAAATGCCACATTGAGTTTTCATTCTATACTGAATAAAACCCATAAAGGCAATTCACACTAACAGTTCATCAAGAGTACTTCAAGAACATTCTTTGGTGGTGGAATCTTGGCGAGCTTGGAGCCCTGAAAGAGAATTTGTTACAGAAGAGGGAAATCAATATATAGCACAATGTAAGAAACAAAAGGTTGAAACCATCTGAGAATTTTACCTCTCGACAATGATAATTCGGCCCAGGAAGCTGTGTTGAAAAGAATGTGATGATCCTCAGACTTTGAGAGGCCTGAAACATATGAAAGCTTAACCACCTCAATGATACTAAACTGAAAAAACAAAGTCCATCTTCGTTGTATGTATAAATATAAAAATCAAAGTAGTGGAAAATACTACTTACTGCTAAATAAACAAAAACTCTGCACCAAATCAAAACTGTACAAATCTTCTTAATATGAGAAACAAAGGGATGAAAGGTCCACTGCGATCAACGTAAACCGCATGTTAGAGAGCCATTAAACCGTTAAAGCGAGTCGACGAAAAAAAAAACAGATGCTTTCGAGTGGAAAAACTTACTAGGACAAATGATCCAAAGATAGTGACGAATACAGTTTCACTAACAAAAGCTTTGTCTGCCCCAAGCGCCTAAGGAGCACATATCAATAACCAAACAAACCCAGAACTATGACAGACAACACATTTGATGAGGAAAAGGCCAAAGCAAGATACTTACTGGAAGAATGAAGAATCCGGCATCTTGAAGGGTAGGACCAGGTCGGTGTAAGTAGTGAACTCCATGAGCAGCAAGTCCATGAATGTACTGATTTTGAGAGAGAGAAACCAGAAAGAATTGGAAATGGAAAAATGATTGAACTAGTTGATATGTCACAACTTAGCAAAGCTATGATCTAACCACAAAGCATGAATCTTGAAATTTCCGAGCCAAAGCAACATTTAAAACCCATAAATTCGGTGGATGAAGGGATATAGAACCTGAAATGCAAGTCCAGCGAGAACAAGCTTCCATTTTTCGGCAAGTAGAGAAGCTTCTAATGTCGTTTCTGAGCAAATTCGTCTCCATAGCTTCACATAAACACATCAAACCATGGACCCATAACTATCAAACTAAGAAAGGTTTCGACTTTCAACAGAGAGGTTGTGATCAACGAAGGAAAAAAAAATTCAGAGAAACAAAAAACCTTAGGAGCCTCGCGATCAACGTAAACCGGCATGGTTAAGATTGAATATGAACATTAATCTCCACAAGACGATCAAAATGCAAACTGCTTTTGTAAAGGTAATCCCGAATCGAACCGGCAAGTTTGATTCCACCTGAATCGATAAGAATATATCCCCAAATCGACAAAATTTATGAAGTGGAATTATAAGAGAGGAATCGATTCAAATGGGTCTTTTTTGTTTTCGGGAAAGGACTCAGCTTTAGCTTTTGTGCAACCTACGCAAAGCCAAAGCAATTGGTGCTCGAACCGTTTTAGCTGTTATTTCCTAAATATATTGATTAAATTAATTTCAACGATTGAGTTGAACATCAGGTGCTGTGGTGTAGTGGTTATCACGTTTGCCTTACACGCAAAAGGTCTCCAGTTCGATCCTGGGCAGCACCATATATATTTATTTTACTTACATTTTCTTTTTGTACTTTACTAGATATCTCTTTTGGTGAAAGGAACTTTCATTCATACATACTGGAGCATTGATTTATCTTTTGGGCTCTCTTTTCTGTAGTCACTACCTATTAATATCCACTTGATGTGCTGTATTTCATTCATTTATCGTCCAAAGAGCAAAAGAGGGTATTCTAATCGATCGTTTGAAGTACATGTATAGGAGCAAATGCTCCAGTATTACACCGAAAACTTCAAGCCCCTTTTTTTTATAATTACATAATGAAGCTTCTTGATTTGACAAATTAGTAATCCAAGGGTACTACCAATATTATCAATTTTTCTTGAGAAGTCATTAAATAATCAAACTGCATAATAATATGCAAGAACATTGAAAAAAAAAAAAAAAAAACAGAACAAAGAACATAAATGACAAACAAACTAGAGAGAGAAAGAGGCAAAGCAAAAAATAAGAGATAGCGAGATTTTACCTTGCTATGGTGGCGGTGAGTGACGTGATAATACGCAAAGAGACGTGATGATCCTATCCAGGAGTTCAGGCAATGGTAGCGTTTTGAGAAAAAAAGTTTTTGCAAGTTTCAAAGCTGCTGATTAAAATGATAGAAATAAATAGAATCTAGGGTTTCAATCTACATACAAGTAGAAAAAATAACACATTACATATTTTATTTCCTTAAATATTTAATTTATGGATATTCGATTAAAACAAGTTTCACAAATTTCTATTTAACGTAATCTACTCCCACACCGTAATTACATAGAAAATACGAACCCATCATCATAGACTAAGATCATATATATAGCAGATTATTTGTTGAAGAAGCAACTAAACCCTACCCACAGGAGACAACGGTGGTTGTGAAAGATACTTTGCCGGAGCCTCAGCTTCAATAGGACCTGAAAATGACTTCAACCTCTCGCTTTGAGTCATCGACGACACCTCTCCGTAATAAGCTTTGTTGTCTGCACGCGAGGTGTTTGGTTCCACGGTCTTAACCGGATTTCGTCCCTCGTTAACCGCTATACAAATGGAGAATGCTTGCAAGAGTGAGAGTGATGTATTGTACTCAACCGCGTAAACACCTTCTCTGTATGGAGTGAAACTCAAGAACGGTTGGTTGTTATTATCCTGTAATCCTCCCTGCCACAATAATCACACATTAGTAAAAGCTTAGACCTGTCGTAGTATTTCACAGTGTGTGATGTTATGTTTAAACCTGAAAGAAAAGCTTGAAAGCATCTGAAGTGGAGGCAGAGAGGTTTGTGGGTTTATTAGACTGATTATTGGTGAGGATTTTAAGGTTGCAGCCCATGTCCCAGCCTCCACAGTCACATGATCCACCTGATTTCCATCTTTGGATCAGCGACGAAGGACCTCCTTTGTGTGGGAGACTGTGAATACCACTTGGAAGCACCACTGTTGCGTTAACGCCTGCAAAGTAATCTCCAAGTGTGGTTCCGTTCTGTTTCTGGTCTCGACAAGGGTCTTTGGTTACGCTCGTGTCACCGATTCTCGGGACCTTGATCACCATGGCAGCTAGCTCGTTATTCCGCTGTGATTCAGATGCGAAGAGTACAAATTCTCTGGTTAAAAGGTTGTCGACAGAACTTTCTCCAGCGGGAATCAGATGCTTAGAACAAGAGACTCTCATCTGAGCGACGATGTTAGATGTGTACTCTTGGCTTTGCACCTTCCTAGTGTGGTTTATCCATTTCCCATTTTTCTTCTGTACTTCCTGCACAGTGAAAAACGTATACTTGTGTCCATAATCTTCCTTCTCTGGGGCAAACTGCTTTCTTATTGTGGCTGCTGTAATGCTTAGTTCCTTGTCAACCGCAAAAGTGAACAGTGGTTGATCATTCTTAGACGTCACACGAAATAGAGCCTGCACGGTTGAAGTTTTTCCATTTCTTGAAAGAAGGGATGAAGAAGATGGTTGACCCTCGGATAGAATATGCTTTTGGTGAATTGAAGGTACACCCTTCAGTGATGGCTCAGGAGATCTACATGCATGACTTGATTTGGGTCTAATCAGCGGCTCGAGTAACCTTCTCAAGGGACTAGACCTGCCTCTGTTTGCTATAGTGGTGTTATCTAAAGAGCTGTCACTGATAGAAGAGGTAGATCGATTGTCTAAATCAGCTCGTGATGATTTAAGTGCTGCGCTTAAGTGGGGAGGAGTCGGGGCATTTTCAGAGTTGGAGTTTTTGCTGGACTTTCCAATGCTGAAGCTGAGTCGACGAAATGGTGAAATGCTCCTTGCTCTTTCTGACACAACTTTAACTGGTCTCTGATCTGGCTGTGTGGGTAGTGTTTCTGTTGATCTTCTGTCTAAAGTCCTGCTTCTTGAGGGACTAGATTCAGCTTTTCTTGATCGTGGAGCTGAACGTGATCTCTCTGATGAAAATCTATTTTTCTCTGCACTCAAGAAGTTGATACGCTTTAAGAACGGTTTACTTCCATCAGCTTCACGTCGGAAGTGACCTACATCTGAGTCCAGGACTGGACCTTGCACATACGTTAGCCTCTCTGGGAACCCCTTTCTATTAGTTTCTGCCACTCGCTCAGCGAGCAACACTTTTGAGTCATAAAACTTGGACAAACCGATTATCTGTTTCTGAGAAACAATTCCTGGTACAAATACAGCAGCAGGCTTTTCTTTTCCAAACAGATCATGAACACGAGGGTTTCGGATTCTCTCGTCCGACTTCTCTGCTTTTTTCTTAAAATCATCGGCTAAATTCCTTGATATAACCCTTGTGCAAGAAGGACTATCAGGCTTTGATGAACTCAAGAAAGTTCTGGTTTTTGGAACAATCTTAAGGTCAGAATCTTTCTTCTCATTCTGTAGGAATGCAGTTCCACGAGGGCTTTGATGAAACTGCACATCTCTTCTAGTGGAATCCTTTTGTCCATCCGTGTTATTTCCTGGCAAAGAGCTATGAATTTCGGAAGTATCACCATTATCTCGAGGTGGAAGTGGAACAAAATCTTGAGGACAATCTCCTGGCTTAGATGACATCAGATAGTACTGCAGGGGAGGATGATTAATCCTTTTGCGGAAAGGAGAAGCACACAAACCTCTGCTGGAATCAGTCGATGATTCATCAGTCCAGAGTGATGACGATGTGCTTGTGTTGGACAACGAAGACCTTGTATGCTTATCGAACTGTTTATCACCAGACTGCCTACTTCTTAGGTCCTGTGAACCAAAGCCACCGGCTTTAACGTCTTTGACTTCAAGTTTTTCACATTTCTTTATATAACTCGGCACATAAGACTTGTATTTCACAAGGTCTCTTTCTCCTGACGCGGTTCTACCTATCCGAGACTTGAGACGATTCTCCAGGCGTTTGGGACAGACGTCTTCGACCTTTTTGGTGATCTCTCGGTGGAAGTCGGAATAAGACAATCCGCGTTTATCATCTCTAAACTTATCCGGAAGATATGACCTTTGGCTTTCCTTAGTCAATACTCTCTTCTCAGCTGCCACAAAAGGAGGTCTATCACTTGAACCCTTCTTCAGCTCCAAACGGCACTCCATCTGTTTCAGAAGCAGTAACGTCTCATTCAGATAAATTCCTTTAGCTTCCCATTCTACTGAAGAAGCTTAAAATGCTCGAAATTATCTTGCAGGAAACACCTTCCTGTAAATACAAGAAAATTACAGTCTTATCCACAACACAGGGTAAATCTTCAAAATTCTGAGATGGGTTTGAACAAAAAATGCCAAGATTATCAGATATAAAAAGCTCGTGACCTTTGAATCCTTTACAATCATTGAGATCTGACAAGAATCTCTACAGGGAAACCTAACTATAAAAAAAGACCAATATACAACCACATTCTTTCAGATATTCCTCTTTAAGCTTCCAAAACTCAAAACACAAAATATTAGAAACTCGAAAATGACTACAGAGGCCTAACTGAACACAAAATATCGAGAGAATCACACTAACTTTTAACACGATAAGGCAAAATTTCTTCGAAGACGAAGACATTCACCGGAAAATCGACAGTTTCAGAGTGCGAAAAAGCACTGAAATCGAATCCGTACCTCGTCAGAATCAGTGAGCAGAGACTGGAGCAGCAGCCATCGGAAGAAGAGCCGTGAAAAATCAGATCAGAAGGAGCAAAAACGAGGAGAAACAGATCTCTAATCTCCTCCGTGAAATCCGGAAGCGGGAATCGCGCCGACGAAGCTGACCCAATCAGCTAACGAAGGTAAAAGAGAGTAGAGTAAGAGAGAGAAGAGAGGTTTTTTTGAGCTTCTTTATTGTGTAGATAGAGAAGAAGCTAAAACAAGTAGTGAGAGAGAGTTGTTGGAGAGAGTGTGTTTTTAGCTCGCCGAGTCTTTCGTGGAAAGTAGTTTTAATTTATATTTTTTTATTTTTGGAGAAAAAGAAAAAGACATTTTTTTGTGGCCGACGGATTTAGTAAAAGAAGTAAGGTGAAAAGAGTAGAAATCTAGAATCGTACGATCCAGATTCTTTGTTGGACGCGGGAATTTCGTCAGCATGGACCCCACTTAATAGGATCTCAAAGTCTCTACACACCGTTGGATTATACAGCTCTGCTTTGTTTAGACCAGATTATAAAATACGAGAAACTAAAGATGGGCCCAGTTTAAATCATAACCCGACCCAGCCCATTAAGGCCCATGAAACTAAACCTTCCTAGAATTTTCTGGATTCACCTGATTTTTTCCTCCTTCACGTCCTCTGGATGTTTCTAGTTTCGTGTACTTAGAGAATCAAGAAGCTCGAGAGATTTCGTCTTTGCGCCTTTAAATAGCTTCCTCGATTCTCAGTGTTTTCTCAGAAAAGTTCAAATTCAACAAAGTTTCTCAGCAACGAAATCGAATTAAAAACTCAGAAAAATGTCGATGATTCCAAGCTTCTTCGGCAACAACAGGCGTAGCAGCATCTTCGATCCGTTCTCGATGGATGTCTGGGATCCATTCAAGGAGTTTCCGTCGATGTCTTCCTCGCTTTCTCGAGAAAACGCTGCGATCGTGAACACACGTGTGGACTGGAGGGAGACGCCGGAGGCGCACGTGTTCAAGGCGGACTTGCCTGGACTTAAGAAGGAGGAAGTGAAGGTGGAGATCGAGGAAGACAGCGTTTTGAAGATCAGTGGAGAGAGACACGTGGAGAAGGAGGATAAGAACGACACGTGGCACCGTGTGGAGAGATCGAGTGGGCAGTTTTCGAGGAGGTTTAGGCTGCCGGAGAATGTGAAGATGGATCAGGTGAAAGCTGCGATGGAGAATGGAGTTTTGACTGTGACTGTGCCTAAATCGGAGACGAAGAAAGCTGATGTCAAATCTATTCAGATCTCCGGTTAAGTTTCTTTCTCTTTTTTTAAGTAACATCTAATGTGTGTTTTGTGTTGTGTTCTGTTTCTGATTTCACTGAGTGTCCTCTGTCTGAGATTTGAAAGTGTTATCAGTTAATGGGTCGTTGATGTATCTTAATAAAAGTATGGAATAAATAAATTGTTGTGAAGCTTCGCAAAAATGTAAAAGCTTATCGAGAATGTTCATTGTTTACATCTTTCCGGCTAGGAACACCAGATACGTACCACACTCACTTTACCTAAGAAGGAGAAGATAAGTATAAAAATCAGTAAAAACAATCATATACAACACACATAAAGAAAGAAATTATTTAAGACTTTGAATAGCTGCAGAGTAAGGAGTGTAGAGACCAACATTTTCATACTAGAGTATGGAGTGTATTGAGTCGATAAAATGGACCATTTGAATGGTAAAAAGTGAATACCGGTATGCAATAGCGAGGACAAAAAGGCAAAACCAGTTTTAACATTTCTTTTTACAATAACTGATAACATGATTTTCTTAAACATATGGATCAAGAAGTTGAATGGGGTTTGAGATCGTGAGGGAATGTAAGAGGGGAACACATTGAGCACTTGAAAATAAATGCAGAGAAAATCAAAATCGGCCTTTCATAGACAAACACAATACTCGTTAATCTAGAGATTTTTTTTTTTGGTAGAAAAAACATGTTAACAAAAGATTTATTCTAGAGATGTTAACTATATGGAACGGCCTAGATCTCTATAAGGCCCTAAGGGGTTGTTGTGTAACAAGTGCATTTGTATCGTCTCTTTCATTATTTAGAAGTTGTTATAATCAAAGTACTAGATAAAGATGGGCGACATATCTATGGAACAATGTAAGTAGTAGAATATTCTGTTTGATAAATTAGAGTCGAAAATAGTTTTGCACCGTAAAGTAAACAAACCGAGTGACGACAAAAAAAAAGTAAACAAACCAATTTAGATGTTACAAAACAATTAAAAACAAGTCTAGGTAGTTATTGATCGATATTACTTAAAATATACACAATGCTTCTTATAGTATTTAAAGTAACTGTGTGGAGATTGGAGGCGCTAAGTGCTGCTAAAATTCAATAATTAAGACGAGTGACGTTAGCAATGATGTGCATATCCTTTTTCTGGTTTGATCTTCAATATATCTTGGATACCAAGATAAGGCAGAATGGTATTTTATTCACTTATTTATTTATTAACCAAAACCTCATTTTTATATATACTACACTAGTAATCAATCAAGCGAACGAAACAGAAAACAGAGAAGTTAGATAATAAAAATTAAGCGAGAAAGATCGAATGGCGGAGAATGAAGGAGTAGTGAAGCTTCTAGGGTTTTGGGCAAGTCCTTTTAGTCGTCGGGTGGAGATGGCTCTCAAACTCAAAGGCGTACCATACGAATACTTGGAGGAAGACTTGCCCAACAACAAGAGCCCTTTGCTTCTTGAGTTAAACCCGGTTCACAAGAAGGTTCCGGTTCTTGTCCACAATGGCAAAATATTGCCCGAGTCACATCTAATCCTCGAATACATCGATAAGACATGGCAGAGTAATCCAATTCTTCCTCAAGATCCTTACCAGAAATCCATGGCTCGATTCTGGGCCAAGTTCGTTGATGAGCAGGTATATCAAAAACATTGATTTGTAGGTTAAATGGTAAGAAATCAAGATTCTATACAAGGTAAAACTTATTCTTGTTTTTCTTGTATATTGATCTAAACTTACAGGTCATAACACTAGGATTCAGGTCTCTGGTAAAAGCAGAGAAAGGAAGAGAGGTTGCTATTGAAGAGGCTCGAGAAATTATTATGTTTCTTGAGAAGGAAGTCACTGGAAAAGATTTCTTTGGTGGCAAGACAATTGGATTCGTGGACATGGTCGCAGGAAGTATAATCCCGTTTTGTTTGGCTCGGCTTTGGGAAGGTATGGGGATTGATATGATTCCAGAGGAGAAGTTTCCAGAGTTAAACAGATGGATCAAAAGATTGAGTGAAATTGAGACCGTGAGGGAATGTATTCCTCACAGAGAGAAACATATTCAGCACATGATGAAAGTTGCAGAGCGATACAAATAAGGCCTAAAAGATAAATACATCGTACTTCTTGGTTCAGATATATTTGCTATATAATATATATATATATATATCTGCTATATAGTATATATATATATATATGTGCATGCATCGTTTTGTGATTGAAAATGGAGTGTATGAGTACGTGTATCCGTATTGATAGTAGAAACTTTTGTATGATAACTGATATATGTCTTAATACTTTAAGAGGTTTACTATTATAATTTTTGCGTGTAGCTACGGAATAGTCACTTATATTTTGTGACTATCTTCAATGAGTCATTACAGAATCAAAAATCTAGATTTTGAGATTTTCAAGATATAAAAAAATAGTAAAAATGATGATATATCAGGGTAGTTTTTAAAATTGTAATTAGAAAGTAATACAAGAACTTATTATTATAAGGGGAAAAAACGAAAACTTAATTTATGTAAAAGAAACAAGAATGACAAAAAATATAAATCAACTTGCTTAGGAAAAGTTGATACTTGCAGGAATGGTACATAATAATTAGTACAAACGTAAATCTAATTAAAATAAATCTGGTATAGATGAATTTATGGAGAGATAATGTAATGTTATTACAAATATGCAAACTGTATGATGTATCGATAAAAAAAAAATTATGTAGGATATTTAATTTGAGAAATTTTAGAGAATACCATCTTTACGATGCCTATTTCAAAAATACCAACAGTTCATACTTTCAAATTGCCATTTTTGATAGTGTAGTATTTCCCATATTATATACTTGCTAAGGATTGAGAAAAAATAATTACACTTACAAGGATCCAAAACAAAACCACAAAAAGCTAGTCAAAATAAGAACAAAGAAGGTAGGCAAGATTGAGAGGAGACAGAGAGATCCAATTGCGAAGAAATGTGAGGATGTATATGGAAGCTTCTAGGGTTTTGGGACAAGTTCAGTTAAGGTGAGCTGAGACATGTTTAAAGATTTCCAATCACTTGATTTATCTTTAGAATATCATTTGATAGTGGACACCAAGAGAAAGCAAAATGCTCCTTTTTCTCAATCACGTACAAAAAGAATAAGGGAGAAGTGAGATCCAATCGCATGAGAGCCGGCTCTGTATATCGTGCTGTAAGGGAAAATTTACATAAACTCCAAAATCTTTAAACAACTAGATGATCACATAATAGATTCATAAAAAGATTTATAGAATTACATGCATTCATAGTTGTAAAGAGAAAATGATCTTCTTTGGATGGAAGATGAAATGTTTAAGCTAGGTGATTAGATTTCTCTCTCATTGTCTAGAATTTTTAGGTGTTGTTTTTCTTAAGTTTTGTTTATATAATGGTTTAAGGGCATCAGCAATGTAGAGACCATCATGAGTCTCCAAATCAATTTTTTATTAATATGTGATGATATAGTGGATTTAGAAACTGGGTGTGGAAACCCTCATTTGTAGTGTGTGCAATGGGAGAGACGCATGTGGGTCTCTAGAAATAAAATTTTATTTAAGAAAAAAAAAATATGTTTTAATGAAAAGTACATTTTATTCAATAAAACTCATGTAATACCTTGAAATAGGGGAAATAAACATAAAACATACAAATTTAATGAAAAACTTAAGTTATATTTTGAGTGAATCCAAATTTTTGCCAGATATGCTCCAACAAATCTGCTTGTAACCGATCATGTATTTTTTTATCACGAACTCTCAACTGATTATCCATCAGATTTCGAATATTTGTTGTCATAGTTGTTGAGTACGACTGAGCTTCTTGTGAACTACTAGTTCCTTCTCCTTGTTGAAATTCCAAAAAATTATATTGCGTGCGTGCATCTCTCTCGTCTTCAACTATCATATTATGGAGGATGATACAAGCTCGGATAATTTTGCCTATTTTAGCTTTATCCCAGAAAAGAGCTGGGTTTTTAACAATTGCAAACCGAGATTGCAAGACTCCAAAAGCACGTTCGACATCTTTTCGAACGGATTCCTGACGCTCAGCAAATAAAGTAGCTTTCTCACCTTGTGGAAGTGGAATTGATTTTATGAACGCTGCCCAATTTGGATATATACCATCGGTGAGATAGTATGCCAGATTGTAATGTCTTCCGTTGACAGAAAAATTTACTTCCGGGGCTCTACCTTGTAAGATATCATCAAATACGGGTGAACGGTCTAGAACATTTATATCGTTTAGTGTACCTGGAGATCCAAAAAAGGCATGCCAAATCCATAGGTCATATGAAGCGACGGCCTCTAAAACAATAGTTGGTTTCCCTGCCCCACGAGTATATTGTCCTTTCCAAGCGGTTGGACAGTTCTTCCACTCCCAATGCATGCAGTCTATGCTTCCTATCATTCCCGGGAATCCGCGTTCTTGTCCAACGTATAGCAAACGGTTTAGATCCTCCTGTGTTGGTCTCCGCAGATACTCATCCCCGTACAAAGTGATTATTGAATCAACAAAATTTTCCAAGCATGACCGAGCTGTTGTTTCACCAAGCCTAAGATACTCATCGACCGTATCAGCTGCAGCACCATACGCCAAGAGACGGATTGCAGCTGTACACTTCTGTAGTGCGGAGAGTCCTGGTTTACCCAAAGCATCTCTCTTCTGACGAAAGAATCTAACCTCATTGGAAAGTTTTTCGACAATACGGACAAACAAAGACTTGTTCATCCTAAACCTCCGTCTGAAATAAGTTGCAGGATATGTAGGAATATCACTGAAATAATCGTTCCACAGACGATTGTGGCCTTCCTGACGATCTCTTTCAACGTAAGCCCTTCTTTGTTTAGGTCTGCTTGACTCTTGATCCTCTCCATAACTGTTGAACATATTTTGGAAAGTTTGCTGAAAATATTGCTCGAACCTCTTGCCCATATAGTTGCCCATCTCCATATTTTGCTCACCATAACCATCGTTTTGGTTATCTTCTGGGTTATCATTAGGGTTATTTGATGATGATGCCATCGGACTCCAATTGACCGGTTATAAAATATGTTAAAAAAGGGTTTTGATGAATGAGTTGTAAAAAAACTTGGAAACCGTAGAATAGAAGGACAAACTTGGAAAACGTAGAATAGAAGGAGAAAGCAAGAACAATGAGAGTGGTGTCTTCCTAACTTGATGAATGGTTTCCCTCACAATTTATAGACAATTCTTTATAGCATTGTCTCGGTTACACTCAATTGATTAAAAAAAAAATTACAATTCATTTGTGGTCTACAACAAAAGAGTACTAAAAGACATATAGTGGACTGCTTTATTTTCCACTCAAACGATTCCCTGAGTCAGAAAATAGTTGAGTCCACCGCATCCCTGACTCAGCATTGCTGTTTGCATATGCTTCCCAAATATTCCCTGAAACATCATACATGAAATAGCCATTCAGACATAAATATACATGTGCAAAGTGGAAAAGCATAAGAACAACATAATGCGAGAAAAAAAGAAAACTACAACACAAGGAGGTCGAATATCTAACCGTTCACAACAACAAAATGCAACATATAAGCTTAGTTAAACACCTATACAATCACAAGTACAAACCCTAACTAATCAGAGAACAGTTCTTGAACAAGCTTCTTCTTCACGGTTTCCTCATAATCAGCTAATGGCTCCTTCCTCGCCATTAAGGTGTCAAGTAGTGCCATTTTATTGAGCCTTTCTTGCACGGCCATCTCCTTTTCCCTGATGACCCACATTCCCTCAAACTAACTTAGCGTCTTCCCTTCAGTGTTTGTTGTCTTGGTCTTCGCCTTTGCCGCCTTGATTCCAATAGGCCGAGTGCTAGGTTGTCCTTGTTCACCGACCCCTATTTCCTCCACTTCAGCAGTCGGTGCATTTGCAACAGCTTCAGTTCTTCTTTTTTTAGAGCTCCCATCGGTTTTTGCAGTAGACAGTTCAGACCATTTTTGGTCATTTCGCAACTCCTTCCACGCGTGTTCTAAGTTGAACTTCTTCTTCTGATCTTGGAAGTATATTTGGTGAGCCAGCTTGAGTACATCATTGTCGTTCATACCACTGGTCTTCTCTCGCGTAGCTGTTTCAAAGGCTCCGCAGAACTTGCATACGATGTCGTTTATCTTGTGCCACCTCTGCTTGCATTGTCCTGATTCGCGTGGTATATCCAGCTTCGCCTCTTTCATGTTCTCAGCATAATAAAGTGCGATCCGCTTCCAGAATGCGAAAGAGTTTTGCTCATTATCCACAACTGGGTCTTTGCTTGTGTTAAGCCAAGCGCTTATCAGAAGTACGTCCTCGTTCGGTGCCCAGGTTCTTCTATCAACGCGCTGACTGAGAGTTTCATGGAGGGAAGCGGGTTGAGTGCTGAAGACAGGGAGTTGCTCCACTGAGGGAAACACATCATTGTAAGGTGGCTCTTGTTGACTATTAAGTAGGTCAACAAAGTTAGCCGGTTGCGAAAATGGATATGAATCCATTTTAAAGAGTTTAGAGTATACAAAAGAGGCTGATAAAGAGGCTTGGAACAGAGATGAAAGAGGCTGAAAGAGGCCGAAAGAGGATGAAAAAGGATGAAGAGGCGAAAATGGATAGGAACAGAGATGAAAGAGGCTGAAAGAGTATACAAAGAGGCTTGGAACAGATATGAAAGATACTTGGAAGAGAGATGGAAGAGGATGATAAATAGGGTTTAGAAGTGGTGAGTTAATGACAACAGTAAAGGAAATTAAAACTAAATCACCTACCAAAATATCACTCAAGTTCGACATGACACAAACCTAAAAGGCAATGAACACTATTATATGACTTTAATTCCAAAATCTAATCAGCATTTATGACAACCTAAAAGCCAAACCCATTTCTTTCCAATCACTAATGACAACAACCAGAAGAGTAAACTAAATTCAAACTTACCGTTACAAATGAAGTCGGAGAAGAGTATCATGTTGCTCTTCCAGTTACCCGAACCAATAGTATCACACGGTCACCTGAAATGAAACCATAAACAAGTGTGAGCGACTATTATAGAACAGCAAATATAGAAGATAAAGAGAAGATAAAGAGAACAACAACTTATCTCCTTCAGTAATCCGAAAACATGGCTAGGATCCTCTCATTCGAACTCATAGCCTACACTTTGATATAAGAGACAAACGAAACATAGATTTCCAAAGTCAGAATACGTAAGACAATCAGTGATCAGCCTAAACAACTGGAATGTCAATATGCTATAGCTTATCGGCATTTGTCTGTAAATAACATGAATAAAACGTTTACATCACACACAAAAAAAATACACATACAAGTAAAAAAGAAAAGCACATAAACCATATCAAAACATATCACCGATGAATCATAGCAAAATATATATACAAGTACAAATGAAAAGCACCACACCGATGAAAAGCACATAGACTCTAAGGTCAAACAAACATATCAAAAACACAAATCAAATCCCACAAACTAGCAAAACATATATCCAGCGAAGTCTAAAACTCATCCTCAAAAACACCTTAACAATAGATTTCTTCTTCAGATACAGTCTAATTAACAAGAAAATAAGAACAATACAAGTATATTTCATCAGCATACAAAAGCCCCAATTTTCAGTGCCTAGGGTTTGCTCGCAAATTATGGACAAAGAGAGAATCACCAAATCCGTGAATCAAATGTTTATTTCCAGTTCAAATAGTACATACAGCAACCTAATCTACCCGATATTACAATCTACACACGGAAATTTTTTGACATACGAAAATCCCCAATTTTTGAATTAGGGTTTCATCGCAAATCATCGCAATTTTTGACAAACGAAAACCATGGAATCGACTTAAGAGGATAAACGAAAACCATGGAATCGTTTTTGACAAACGAAAATCATGGAATCGACCAAAGAACAAACAAAAAGAGAGGAGTTTTAGGGTTAGAAATGACTTAACTGAAGCCTATCCCTGACGAGTGGTCGCCGATTTCGGAGATGATGCGGAGGCCGTCGCGATCTGTCGGAAAATCGATCGATCGAAGAAGCAGCTTCAACAATCTCTCGTAATCGTCGGCTTGGAAGATGAAAAGGGAAGAAAGATGAAAAGGGAAGAAAAATGTGGTCGGGAAAAAATGAAATCGGTGGAACAAGTTTTTTTTTCTTCCCAATTACGTGAACCTATCAGCAATCGCCACGTGTCCCGAGAGACGTCTTCAAATGTCCCGAAATAAGAGACGTCTCGGGCCAAATAGAGATGAAGCCCAACTAAAATATTATTTTGTTTCTGCTAAAGACGCGGCCCGTATCCGCATTGCGGATGCCCTAATGGCAAGTATTTATAGGTGAAGAAAAGACTTAATTCTTCATTAGGGTTTCCATAGATTTAATCTCAACCATCCATCAAAATAAAGATATTTATGAATTATTCATTTATTTCCAATATATTTAGACACCAATTACATTTAATAATAACATTATTCTAATAAAAAATGGATGAATATAAGACTATATTATAGGGAAAATTTTATTTCTTACACGTGCTTCTAGATGTTTTTACAAAAGCAAGAAAAATATAACTAGTCTAGTATACTATCGCAGTAAAAGCCTAAAACTAAAAGGGACTTTTCTTCTTCTTTTTCTTTTCATTTTTATTTAAAATCAAGCATAATTTACATGATAGTATAAAATAGTCAAAGAAGAACAGAGGAGTTAGATAGAAAGAAAGAAAGCGAGAGACATAGAGAGATAGATTCAATGGCGGAGAAAGAAGAGGTTGTAAAGCTGATAGGGTCTTGGGCAAGCCCTTTTAGTCGTCGGGTCGAGATAGGTCTCAAACTCAAAGGTGTGCTTTACGAGTACATGGACGAAGATTACTTGGTCACCAAGAGCCCTTTGCTTCTTCAACTAAACCCAATTTACAAGAAGGTTCCGGTTTTTGTCCACAATGGTAAAGTATTACCAGAGTCACATCTGATCCTCGAATACATCGACCAAACATGGACAAATAATCCAATTCTACCGCGAGATCCATACGAGAAAGCCATGGCTCTATTTTGGGCCAAATTCGTCGATGAACAAGTAAATCTAAAAACTAATTCATTTGTGTACTAATTGCATATGTGTACACTTGGAACCACTGGTTACTCGAAGTTTAATATCTTTTTTTCCCTAAATTTCAATACATCTTAAATAGTGAAATCAAGATTCCCGCTCCAATTGGCGAACAGTAATAATTGTTATTTTTTATAAAGGAATTGCAATTTATATGCATAATTTACATTTAACGATATATAAGTATGCTATGTATTTTTTTTTTTTTTTTATGCTATGTATTTTAAAAGTGTTAGACTATCCATGCACAAAACATTAAATTATAAATAAATTTTGATATGGAACGTTTGCTATATATCGCTACCGTGTACGTAGGTCACATCAATAGGGTTGAGATCTCTAGTAAAATCAGAGAAAACTGATGTTGCAATCAAGGAGGCTCAGGAACTCATTACGTTTCTTGAGAAGGAAATCACCGGAAATGAATTTTTCGGCGGAAAGGCGATAGGATTCTTGGACATGGTTGTAGGAAGTATGATCCCGTTTTGTCTGGCTCGGGCTTGGGAAGGTATGGGAATTGATATGATTCCAGAGAATAAGTTTCCAGAACTAAACAGATGGATCAAGAATTTGAAAGAAATTAAGATCGTGAGGGAATGTATACCTAATAAAGAGAAACATATTGAGCACATGATGAAAATTGTAGAGCGAATCAAAGCTGCTTCGAAGACGATATGTACTCTTTGATCTGGAGAGTTTATATAACTATATTTTGTATTGCCTTGTTATTCTAAAATTGTATGATTGATTTATTAAATAAAGATGAGTGATAAATGTATCCGCATTGGTTGTAAAAACGGTTTGTATGAATGTCTAGATGTCTCTAATATAGTAAAACGTTACCATAATATGATTTTATCATGACATATATTATTTATCATTTAGATGGTAACCAATTTGAATTACGATTGAACAAAATTACCGTTAAAATAAGAACCAATTTGAATTACTCAAACAAAAGATGTCTTATACAAAAAAATGTTTGCTGATGAGCGGTCTGACACATATATATATATATATAACCACGTTGTACATGGCGTAGAGTTATCTAAAATAAATATTAGTTAAGTAACTTTACAATTTAATTACGTAATAAACCAAAAATTTTGAGATGTATGCTACCGAAAATATCCATTGAATGAAAGAAAAACTGAGAGGTGAAGATAAATATGCACCAATAGTAGAGAAGAATAAATTTAAAAATGACGTCAGCTATGATGTTTAAACCTTCTAGATAGCCTTCGATGATGCATGACTGGGTCCAAGACAAAGCAAAATGGTCCTTTGTTTCTTGCCACGACGCCGTTTGCATATATATAGTTCTCAATCACGAGATCAAAACAAGAAGAAAAAATAACTAGGCTTAGAATAAGGAAGCAAGTGGGATCATATGGCAGATAGAGAAGAGGATGTGAAGCTTCTAGGCTTTTGGGCAAGCCCTTTTAGCCGTAGAGTCGAGATGGCTCTCAAACTTAAAGGCGTGCCTTACGAGTACTTGGAGCAAGATTTGATGAACAAGAGCGATTTGCTTCTTGAGCTAAACCCGGTTTACAAGAAGGTTCCAGTTCTTGTCCATAAAGGTAAAATATTACTCGAGTCACATCTGATCCTCGAATACATCGACCAGACATGGACAAACAATCCAATTCTTCCTCGAGATCCATACGAGAAAGCTATGGCTTTATTTTGGGCCAAGGTTGTTGATGAACAGGTAACTATTATACCAATTCCTTAATTAATTATTGCATATGTCATATGTGACTTCTTGAAATGATTAACACATAGAACCACCAATTGTACTTGGATTTGTACATTTTAAATAGTGAAATCAGGATTTTGATTGACATTGGTAAGCTACAGAATTTCCAAATGATGAAACGATTCCCACAACTTCTACCAAACATAAATTTTTGAAAAAAAGCGAGTCCCCAAGAATGTATATATATTAGTAACCGAAGTAAAAAAAAGGTAATATATGTTATTCCTCGAATGTTCACTAAAATTAGTATCTTATTCCATTTTGAAATACCATTCCGCTTATATATGTTTCAATGATCACAAAAATATCAATGCAAAATTAATATTCTAACTCCAATTACATTTGTAATGAAACGGTTTGTAGGTCACATCTAGGTTGATTTCCCTGGTGAAAGCAGAGAAGGGATTAGAGGTTGCAATTGAGGAGGCTCGAGAACACATTACATTTCTTGAAAAGGAAGTCACCGGAAAAGATTTCTTCGGTGGCAAGACAATCGGATTTTTGGACATGGTCGCAGGAAGTGTGATCCCGTTTTGTTTGGCTCGGGCTTGGGAAGGTATGGGGATTGATATGATTCCAGAGGAAAAGTTTCCAGAGCTAAATAGATGGATTAAGAAGTTGAATGATTTGGAGATTGTGAGGGAATGTATTCCTCCTCGAGAGAAACAAATTGACCACATGAAAAAAGTTGCAGAGCGAATCAAATCGGCTTAAGAAATAATTATCATAGTTTTTTGGACTGGAGTTGTTAACTTGTTTTTATAGCTTCGTTGTTAATAAGTTGTATGTGAACTATCTACTAAATAAAAATGAGGATATCTGTATCTGCAATGGTAAAAGAAATATTTTGTATGAATATGAAGATACGTATCTCTTTACTTGAGCTTTTTTTTTATAACTAAACTAGGTGAATACCCGTAAGTAAAGTGTAGATTTTATTTTTTCAACTATTTCAAATTTATATATTTTTGTATTTTTTTTAGAAAATATATAATCATTATCTATTATGTGCTAGTATATTATTATAAATCAATCAATTTGAATTTAATATCATTAAAAATCAAGAGTTTATACCAAAAAATTATCCATCAATATATTTAATTAATTATAACATAAATTCTTGTTTAATATTTACATAAATATTATTTAAAAATCAATTAATAGATATTTTTTTCTTTTTTTAGTAACTAAAATTTAATATTAAAATTTATTAATTAAGTTTTTTTGAACTGTAATTTTAAATAGGTTTTTTCTTCAACTATTTCAAATTTATATATTTTTGTAATTTTAAAAAAAAATAAATCATCATTTATTATTTGTTAGTATATTATTATAAATCATTCAATTTAAAATATAATATCATTAAAAATTAAAAAGTTATTAAAAAAACATCAGTTTTTAATAAATTATACCATAAATTCTTGTTTAATATTTACATAAATGTTATTTAAGAATCAATTAATAAAAAAAACTTTCGTTTTCTTTGAATGGTTTAACATTTAACATTAAAATTTATTAACTAATTTTTTCTAAAAACTGTAATTTTAAATTAAAAAATGACACATATTATTTCTATATCAATTCTCAAATGCTGATGTATCACTCATATGAAGAGAATTGAGCAATCATATATATTATAAGCAAAGTAAAATTTTGAGTTAAAGCTCTCTCATTTAATTTTAGGGTGGCTAATTACCTTTTACCCCTTCTTATATTTTTTAAATTAATTTTAATAACAAAATTATTAAAAATTGTAAATTAATTAAAAAATATCAAAAATCATAATTAAATAAAAATATTAAAAATCGTAATTAAATAAAAATATTAAAAATCGTAAATTAATTAAAAAAAACTGTTAAAATCATATATATTATAAGCAAAGTAAACTTTTGAGTTAAAGCTCTCTCATTCAATTTTAGGGTGACTAATTACCCTTTACCCATTTTTATATTTTTTAAATTAATTTTAATAACAAAATTATTAAAAATTGTAAATTAATTAAAAATATTAAAAATCATAATTAAATAAAAATATGAAAAATCGTAATTAAATAAAAAATATTAAAAATTGTAAATAATTAAAAAAAACTGTTAAAAATCGAAATTTAATAAAAAAACATTTAAATTTAATAAAATTATTAAAAATCGAAATTTAATCAAAAAAATATTTAAAATAGAAAATAACGAAAATTTTAAAATTGGAATTTAATCAAAAAACATTTAGAATCATATCATATATAATATATGCAAAGTAAATTTTTCGCTATAAGGTCTCTCATTCTATTTAGGTAATTAATTCCCCTTTATTCGTTAATAAAATCTTTTTAATTCCCCTTTATTCGTTAATCGGATTATCTGTTGAGCGTGATTATCTGAAAAAAAAATATACATGTGATGTGGGAAATCCTAGCTTAAGTTGAGAGCTATATATAAATATATTACTTTTTTTAAATGTATCTTAATCTCAATTGTGGTTTGGTTTCTACATTGGTCGGCTTTTTGTTGTATTGTTTACCGTCTTTATTTTTTATAAATCAATTTTTCGTTTTTTTCTATTGTTTTTTTCTGTTTTTTCAGTACCAATAGTAGTGTTCCTCGATTATATGTTGTTGTTTTGTGTTGTCAGTTATTCTTCCTTACTTAACGTGATTAAAACCATGTCAACATATCATAAATCATCTTCATTGTCTAATGAACAGGTTTTAAGTCTTTTGTTTTTTTTGCTTGTTTTAAAGATGGCTTTCTGAATTCTGTTTATTTGAATAATGTAAGAGATGTCAAATACTTTAACAGGACGCAGAGGAAAAAACCAAAAAAGAAAACAGAAAAAGGGAAAAAAGGAAAAACGAAGTAGAAAAAGAAGATAAAAAGATAAACTGAAACATATAGAAGAACATAGAGTTGACGAAAACGTAAAAAAATGAAGAAAAAATGAACAAAAAGTCCTAGACCATGAACGATAAGATCAAGATGGGTAACACAAAATAGTGAAAAAGAAAAATGATAAAGAGATGAAGATTTCAAAGTTGAAGAAGAAAACTGAAAGAAAAAGAAGAACAAAAATGGTAGATGAAGAAAATAAAGTATAAGAAGATGAAAACCCGACGATGAAAAAGAAAATAAAAAAGAAGAAAGTAAAGATGCGAAAAGGACAAACAAAAATTAGAAAGAAAAAAGTTTGGATAGGACAAAAATGACGAAGAAGAAGTAAAAAGCAGAAGATAAAAACGGCTAATAAAACCAAAAGAAGAATAGTAGAAGATGTTGAAGAATAAAAATTTAGAGAATACAAAGACAATAAAATAAAACAAAGAAGAAGGGACAGACAAATAAAACAAAAAAAATCAACAGAAAAAACGAAAAAAAAACCGAATGAAAAAAAATCAAGAAGTCAAAGAAGATTAATACAATACATAAGAAGAAATAGTCAAAAACAATGAACGATAAGTAGGAAAAAACAAAGAATAGAAAAGCTAAAAAATAAAGAAAAAGGAGAAGAATAAGAAAACAACGATAATTTGAACAAAAAATAATACGGTGAACAAATAAAATAAAAAAAATACTCGGATAGGTCGAAGACGATGAACAAAAAAAATTAAATGACCTATTGGAGAAGAACAAATATAATCAGAAGAAGAAGTAATAAAGAAAACCAGTAGATAGTAGCGGAAGTGAATGAAAAAAAATAATAAAATGGAAGAAAACTAGAAGATGAAGAAGACAAAATAGAAAAAGGTAAATATGATGAAAAAACGAAGACAAATCAGATGAATAAGAACTAAAAAAAAAAGAACAATTTGAAAACAAATAACGATAAAAAAAACCTAAAAATACAAGGAAAAAACTAAAAAAGAGAAAATATAAATCATGAGAGGAGTAAAAAGACAGATAAGACAAAGATCTTTAAAATATGATGAAGAATTTAGAGAGAGGAAGAATAATTGGAAGAAGAGGAATAAGAATCTGTTGAAGGAGAAAAAAAATAAAATAGAAGACAAAGTAGAAGAAGAAGAAGATAGGGAAGAGAAAAAATTGGATGAAAACCTTAAAAGATGAGGAATTAGAGAAAGTATAAGAATATCAAGATGAGTTAAAAGCCGAAAAACACCAGAAAAATAGAAAGTCGATGATAACGAAGAAGACGATGGCAATGAAAAAGGAAAAGAAAAAAAGAAGAAGAAAGAGAATAATAAAACATTGAAGAAGAAGAAGAAAGGAAATAAAACCTGGAAGAGAAGAAAATCAAAAGATGTATGAAAGGAAAAAAGAAAAGATGTGGAGAAGAACAAGAAAACTTGAAAAAAGAAAAATCAGCAGAAGAAAAAGTAAAAAAAGACATAGAAAGTGAAGAAGAAAAAAAAATGATAGAGAAAAAAAAATTAAAAGATAAAAAGACAAAAAATGAATAATTCATATTAATCTTATTTTAGTTTGTGTGTATTGATTTCATACACTTATTAGTATTGATTTTAAAGTTTTTAATATTAGACAATGATTATTTTTATAGGTTAGTTTTATTTTAATTTTGTATGTATCAAATTCTTGATCTAATTATTTTTGATTTATGACATAAAATTTTATTTTAGGTTTCAATGAAACTTTTCGGCTTGCGCAAGTCGCGGGCTAAACACTTAGTTTTTATATATAAAATGTTCTATCATTACTTATTTTGTTTATAATTTAGTTGGTAACGGATGTAAATGTATTAGAAAATGAAAATAAGCAATTTGAATTATTCTAATAAATTAATTATTGATTAAATTGTATTTGGAAACCAATTAAAAATCGTCTATGACCGTTACTAACAAAGAGGATGCAAAGTTGTTTTAGGACAAGTTCAACTAACGTGAGTCGCGTGACGGTTTAAATTGTTTTCAGTTTCAGGATTTTTCTTTAAAATATCATAACATCATGAACACCAAGAGAAAGCAACTCTGTACTCAATCACGAGAACAAAACCTGAAAACAAAACTAGTCAAAGAATAGGGAACGAGTCAAATATTAGAGTCTAGAGAAAACGCAAGTGAGATCTAATGGCAGATAAAGAAGATGATGTGAAGCTTCTAGGGTTTTGGGCAAGCCCTTTCACTCGTAGGGTCGAGATGGCTCTCAAACTCAAAGGCGTGCCTTACGAGTACTTGGAGCAAGATATTGTCGACAAGAGCCCTTTGCTTCTCCAGCTAAATCCGGTTTACAAGAAGGTTCCGGTTCTTGTCCACAAAGGTAAAATAATAGCCGAGTCACATCTGATCCTCGAATACATTGACCGAACATGGAAGAACAATCCAATTCTTCCTCAAGATCCTTACGAGAAAGCTATGGCTTTCTTCTTGGCTAAGTTCATTGATGAACAGGTAAATATTATACCAATTTCTTTATTCACTAATTGCATATATAGGTGATTTCTAAAAAATAAACACTAATCCTTAGGACCCCCAACTCTAGAAATCCAATACATTTTTTTGTAACTAAAACAATTGTGAAATGATTCCGCATAAATTTTCACCAATAATAAATTTGTGAAATCTATGCACGCTTTAACATGTATAGGATAAATAAATAAAAATTCCCAAAGAAAATAGTAGTAACCTCTGAGTCTGACCCAAAAAAAAGAAGTAATAACCAAAATAAAAAGAAATATCCATTCCCCAAATTTTCACTAACTTTAATTTGTTTCCTTATGACTATGCAGATATTAAGCTAATAAACTTTGTGATGAAACGGTTTCTATCGGTGTAGGTCGGACCAGGAGGGTTTAAGTCTGTGATAAAAGCAGACAAGGGAAGAGAGGTTGCAATCGAGGAGGCTCGAGAACTCATTAACTTTCTTGAAAAGGAAGTAACCGGAAAAGATTTCTTCGGCGGCAAGACAATCGGATTCTTGGACATGGTCGCAGGAAGTATGATTCCGTTTTGTCTAGTTCGGGGTTGGGAAGGTATGGGAATTGATATGATTCCAGAGGAGAAGTTTCCAGAGCTAAACAGATGGATCAAGAATCTGAAACAAATTGAGATCGTGAGGGAATGTATTCCTCATAGAGAGAAACAAATTGAGCATATGATGAAAGTTGCAGAGCGACACAAGTCGGCGTAAGAGACTTATATGTTTGTATGTCCTTTTGTTGAATGAACTATACTAAATAAAGTTAATATGTATCGGCAAATAGAAAAGAAGAAAATGTCAAAACTATCTGTCTTCATAACACCACAAAGTATGTGTTAATGTGAACATATTTTCGGCACGCTAAAAATAAGTTAAGATAGTGAAACTACCACGGACACGTGGACTATTTGCTGCGGCACAATATTATTTGTTTATATAATATCTTGAACAGTGGTGTGACTTGACTTGTGAGTCTTGTGAACATAGAAATTTTCAAAAAGAACAAAAAAAACAGAAGTATTTATCGACACATATCATGCATGTTATGTCTCTATCTCATCTTACTTACCACACCGACAACTCCGTGAAGCGGGTTTAAATCCGATAGTTTTCGAACTACGTTATGATATTTTATTTATCAAAAGAAAAATTAAATAGAAAATAGAAATAACATATACAGCATCAGTTCTTTTCTTTGTGAGTCAATCACAAACAACAATAACAAATGGACGCTTTTGATTTTTTGACACAGTTCTAACAACAGCATCAGTTCGGACAAAGCATTTAAAGTCGTATAAGCAAGAACACAGCTCTTTGTATAAGAAATAACTCTTCTTATTTGATGATTAGAAAATAGCTCAAAACTAAACATCCAAGCTCTTATGCTTATCTTGTGTTTATCACAGCTCAATAAACACATATATATAGGATTCTAATTTCCCTAAACCTACTTCTAAAAGAATAAGGAAAACGTCCTATTAAGGAAAATATCCTTTTAGACCTATCGTATTGTTAACCGACTTGTTAACAACGTCTTGGGCCTTGGGCTGAAGAAGCTTATCCAACATTCACCCCCTTAAGCTTCGAATCCGACTCCGAGAGATCTTGAACGCCGATCAGTCTTCTCATTGTCTTGAATTTGATTCTTGCGAGGGCTTTGGTAAGTATATCTGCACACTGTTCTTCGCCAGATACGAACTCCACCATGATCTGTTCATCTTCTACACACTCTCGGATGAAATGATATCTCTTGTGGATGTGTTTACTTCTTCCGTGAAAAACAGGGTTGCGAGTGAGAGCGATGGCCGATTTGTTATCAACACGAATTAGTGTCTTCTCATAGCTACGTCCAGTTATCTCACTCAACAAGTCTTGGAGCCATATAGCCTGCTTTGCAGCTTCCGTTGCAGCCATGAACTCGGCTTCACAAGATGATAGTGCAACCGTTTGTTGTTTCTGTGAACTCCAAGTGATGGGCGAATCGTCGAAGTAGAAAACATGTCCACTTGTGCTTCTTCCATCATCGACGTCCACGTTGTGGCTACTGTCGCTGTAACCGATTAGTTTCTTCGTTCCTCCTCTCTTGAATGTTAGACCGAAACCTGCAGTTCCTTGTAAATACCGCAAAATCTGTTTTAATGCTGTTCCATGTGACTTCTTTGGATCCTGCATGTATCGACTTGCAACTCCCACTGAGAATGCTAGGTCCGGTCTAGTATGAAGGAGATATCTCAGGCAACCAATTTTCCTGCGATACATTGTTGCATCTTCTGATTCCTCGTCTGGGGCTTTCGACAGCTTTAATCCAAACTCCATTGGTATATGAGTCGGATTACAAGTGTCTAGACCTGCTTCCTTTAGAATTCGTCGTGCGTATGCTTCTTGTTTCATCTCGATTCCTTCCTTGCTTTGTTTTACTTCGATGCCGAGGTAATACGTAAGTTTACCAAGGTCCGACATCTCAAATTTTGATGACATTCCTTTCTTGAACTCTAGAATGATCTCCAAGGTGTTTCCTGTAACAAACAGATCGTCAACGTATATTGCGACAATGAGAAGCTTTACTCCTTCTTCCTTGCGATATACTGCATTCTCCTTTGAACATTTTCGAAAGTTCATTCCTCTTAAAATCTGATCCAGTTTCGTGTTCCAGGCTCGCGGAGCTTGTCTCAATCCGTATAGGGCTTTTGAGAGTTTGAAAACCTTCTGTTCTTCTCCCTTCTTTTCAAACCCTTCAGGTTGAGAGACATACACATCTTCATTCAGTTCTCCGTGCAGGAATGCGGTCTTTACGTCCAGATGATGGATCTCCCATTCATTAGAAGCAGCTAAACTTACGAGTAATCGCACAGTTTCAATTCGAGCTACTGGTGCGAATACTTCGTCAAAATCAATTCCAGATTGTTGGACATAACCTTTGGCAACTAATCTGGCTTTGAATTTGTTAATAGTGCCATCTGCGTTTCTCTTGATTTTAAAAACCCATTTGAGACCGATGACTTTGACTCCCTTTGGTCTGTCAACTAAGGTCCATGTCTTGTTTTTATTAATCGAAGAGATTTCGTCTCTGCAAGCTTGAGTCCAATCTTCCGATTCTTTTGCTTCGTTGTAATTCAGGGGCTCATCGTTTATCGACAACAAGATTCTTTCACACTCGATGTCTGCTAGAAAAACATAGTCATCAAGGTGTTTAGGTCGAATTACTTGTCTTCCAGACTTTGTAAAACGTGGCTGTTCACCGATGAGAGGATCATCGGGTGCAGGATCCTCATGACTTTGTTCTTCTGTAGTTTCTACTTCGTTGTCGCTGCTTTGAACCTCTGTTTCTGCTTGAGTTTCTGTTTCGATATTGTCCTGGGGTAGCTCATTACTCTCTTTATACGGTCCGTGCCCTTCGTCTGTAATATTTCCCCAAGTCATACGAAACAACCCTGGCTCATCTTCTGCAGTTACTCCCTTCCAATTCCAACCAGTCTTCTCATCAAAAACTACGTCTCGGCTTACGATGATTCTTCTGGTAGATGGATTTAAAAGCCTGTATGCCTTAGTTCCTGGTTCGATTCCAAGATGAACTAAAACCTGTGATCGATCATCAAGTTTTTTAAGATGAGTGGTATCGACTTTGGCGTGAGCTAAACACCCAAAAACTCGAAGATGACCAATGTTTGGCTTCTTTTCTTTCAGACATTCGTAGGGTGTTTGACCTTTTAAGGCTCTTGTGGGCACTCTGTTGATCACGTATGTTGAGTGTCGTACAGCTTCTCCCCACAAATAATTTGGTACCCTCATTGCCTTTAACATACTCCTTGTCATCTCCATAAGGGTACGATTTCTTCTTTCAACCACCCCATTTTGCTGTGGGGTGTATGGTGCCGTGAAGTGTCGGTTAATCCCATTGCTTTTACAGAACTCTTGGAATTCACCAGATGTGAATTCACCCCCTCTATCTGTTCGCAATATCTTGATCATCTTCTCACACTCCTTCTCAACCAGATTTCTAAAAGCTTTGAACTTTTCCAAGGCTTCACTCTTTTCCTTCAACAGTATAGTCCACATATATCTTGTGCAATCGTCGATGATTACAAAAATATAGCGGTTCTGGGCTAGCGTAGCTGGTGCGATTGGGCCACATAAATCGGCATGTAGTAGCTCCAATGCATGTGAGGATCGGTATTGTGTAGCGTTTGGAAAACTTTGGCGGGTTTGCTTACCAACTAGGCATGACTCGCATAGTTGTGTTTCTGTTCCGATTTTTGGCAAACCGTGTACCATCTTCTGCTCAGACATAGCTTTGATGGTCCTAAAACCAACATGACCGAGTCGGGCATGCCATCTCCATGTTTCTTCCTCGATCTTTGACTGAAGACATATTGGTTTCCCAATCTTGAGTTCTAGTTTGTAAAGGCGGTTTGGAGATCTTTCGACTTTTATTAGAAGTCTTCCAGCTTGATCATGTACCGTGAGATAGTTTTGCTTCATCCTGACATCACACCCATACTCGGTGGCTTGACCTAAACTCAAGATATTACTCTTTAGTTCAGGTATGTAGTAGATGTCGGGAATAAGCTGTTGCTCCCCTGTCTTTCCTTCGAATAGAATAGAGCCTTTTCCCTTGATCTCCACACATGATCCATCTCCAAATTTTACCTTTCCCCTGATATTTTCATTCAGCTCCAAGAAAGATGATCTTATTCCTGTCATATGATTACTTGCGCCGTTGTCTAAATACCAGACTCCGTCTTCTTTCTTTTCTTTTTCGTATTTTTTCGGCACAACATTGTCTTCATTGAGGAATACGATCTCGTGCATATAGAGGGCTTTGTCTGCTTCTTCGGTTTCTATCTTGTTCGCTTCTTGGGTTTGTTTTCTGTCAGGACAAACCGAGGCAAAGTGACCTGCTTTGTCACATCTGTAACAAATCACACTTGATCTATCCTTCTTTTCTTTACTTTGTTTCGATTTGTCTTGAGGATTAGATGCTCCTCCTCTGCCTCGTCCCCTGTTTCCCCTGCCTCCTCGACCTCTGTTTCCTCTGCCTCCTCGAGAGTTACTTTGGTCTGTGTTTGCGTATAAAAGCTTGGCTTGTGAATCGTCTTCTTTAGTGTCTCCTTTGATTCTCTCTTCATAAGCTTTTAAACGTCCGATTATGTCTTCGAACCCTGTCGTCTTCAGGTCGAGTACTTGCTCAAGGGAAGCGACGATCTGAATGAATTTGCTTCGCAGCAAGCTGTTTAAAAATTTCTTTACTAACCGCTGCTCCTCAATCGTTTCTCCGAGTGCATTAGCTTTTGACGCGAGCTGAGACAGCTTCCCAGCAAAGTCGTCGATGGTCTCTGAGTCCTCCATCTTCATCTTCTCGAACTCAGACATCAAGGTCTGCAGTCGTGCCTCCTTGACACGCTCTGCACCTAAATTACGCGTCTTGATCGAATTCCAAATCTCTTTTGGTGAAGTCTGATCATTGATTTGTAATATTAGGTTTTCCGGGATTGATTGGTAGAGTAAACCTAATGCGATGTCATTCTTCTCAGGGTCTGTCGAGCCTGGCTCGATTGTTTCCCACGCTTTATGAAGTCGCAGCATTACTCTCATTCTCATGGCCCAAATCGAGTAATTTGTAGTTGTCAACATTGGGCATTGGATCGCTGAAGGAATTGTTTCCTTCCGAGCAGTTACAGTGGTCGTAATGGCCTTGTCGGAATCGGCTCCTTCTTCTGCCATACTTTCGGGTGTTGTCTTCTACTCGGCTTCTTCTCCTTCTTTGATTTGCTCTGATACCAAATAAAGTCGTATAAGCAAGAACACAGCTCTTTGTATAAGAAATAACTCTTCTTATTTGATGATTAGAAAATAGCTCAAAACTAAACATCCAAGCTCTTATGCTTATCTTGTGTTTATCACAGCTCAATAAACACATATATATAGGATTCTAATTTCCCTAAACCTACTTCTAAAAGAATAAGGAAAACGTCCTATTAAGGAAAATATCCTTTTAGACCTATCGTATTGTTAACCGACTTGTTAACAACGTCTTGGGCCTTGGGCTGAAGAAGCTTATCCAACAGCATTTGATAGAAAAACAAAAAAAATAGAAGGGAGGTTTGTGGTTTTTCAGCAGTTACATTCTTTATTTTAGTTTGACATTCACCAATTACATTCTAAAGCTAAAACAAAAGAAATTATATATTCTTGATGTTAAAACAAGACTACATTTTAAAACCGAGACGAAATAGCCTTTTTGCAACAAAAAAAAAACCGCCACGAAATGCATATAATCAAATATGGTAAAATATCTACATTAGTAAAGGTCTTTTTTTGTTATTCATTTTTTGGGTGCTAAATTAGTAAAGTTACAAAACTAAATCTAAAAGTACAACCAAAAAAATAAAATCTAAAGTGAGCGTCATAAAATTCGTCTGAAGAAGTCAATATCAATTTTGCCTTCTAGATGTTTCGAATTTACATCACTGCCGGTCACAAAACGGCAACATTCAATGTCGTTGTATCTACAATACAATCTAAACCCTAAGGCTATAAATCAAAGTTGAAAGGACTAAGTAGTAGTCCACAAAAACCATTTCTAATAGACAGAGAGTGAGAGAGAAAGAAGAAAACTAATGGCTGATCAGAAAGAGGAAGTGAAGCTTTTGGGGATATGGGCAAGCCCATTCAGCCGTCGGATCGAAATGGCTCTGAAACTCAAAGGCATACCGTACGATTACGTGGAAGAAATATTGGAGCACAAAAGCCCTTTGCTTCTTGCTCTTAACCCTATTCACAAGAAGGTCCCTGTTCTTGTCCACAATGGTAAAACCGTTGTCGAGTCTCAAGTAATTCTTGAATACATCGACGAGACTTGGAAACACAATCCTATTCTCCCCCAAGATCCTTACGAGAGATCTAAGGCTCGATTCTTCGCTAAACTCGTCGATGAGCAGGTATATATAAACTCTTCAAATTTTTTGCCAATTTGATAATTAATCACTCTTAATTTATTTCATCTAATTTTTTAATCTATTAAGAAAATAATCAGGTGATTCTGGGTTTGTTTGGATTTGAATTGCAAGTCAAATAATAAAAAAATTAGTTTTGATTATTATATATTTATTTAAATTTCGAGAATCTCAATAATTTAATTTAATAAGGTATGGCATATTTTATAGAATTAATCATTAATTGGATGTAAATTTGTTATAAAAAAAAAACCTTTTTTACAACTTGTGCTTCTTTGTTTTGAGTTTAGAAAGAAATTTTGAAAGGAAGATAAAGAAGCAATTTGTGCTAATTAGCCAATTAATTTTTACTAAACTATTGTTATCTTATCTCTGATGACACTGTAGATTATAGGCGTGGGTTTTGGAGCAATGGCAAAAGCAGATGAGAAAGGAAGAGAAGTTTTAGCTGAGCAGACAAGAGAACTTCTTATGTATCTAGAGAAGGAACTTGTCGGAAAAGATTTCTTCGGCGGTAAGAGTGTCGGATTCTTGGACCTAGTCGCCGGAAGTATGATTCCGTTTTGTTTGGAGAGAGGTTGGGAAGGACTTGGATTGGAAGTTGTTACTGAGGAGAAGTTTCCAGAGTACATGAGATGGGTGAAGAATCTGGAGAAGGTTGAGTTTGTCAAGGATTGTATTCCTCCAAGAGAGAAACATGTTGAGCACATGAATTATATGGTAGAGAGAATCAGATCTTCTTAAACTATCATGAAGACTAAAATCATCTTTATGTTTTGATTTGATATGTAATGTGTTTCAATGTTTGTAAGCTTGTTATGGTTTTTAATAAATAAATATTTCTTTTTAAAAATAGCTGTTTTGGGTCTGTGGTTGAGAAAACTTTGGTCCCTCTTGTTCCCACTAAAGCTTTGGCTAATGAATCAATTACAAAATATGAAGAGATTTGTACTAATTCTGTGTTTCGAATGATAAGAATGGATTATGCGATGTAAATCAAATAGATAGGAGGGATAAGGATCAAAAGGGATAGGCACAGTTCGTAAACAAGCAAAAACAAATAATAGATGACATACGTATAGTTGTCAAAATTTTAACTAACCGGATTTATTGTATCAAACCATGCAATTAACTCAAATACTTTTTTTCCAAATTTGTTATAGACTTTTTAACAAAAACAAAAAAATTGAATACCCGCATCTATTAACAAGCATAAGTGCATAACCACACCTAACTGCAAGTAGTTTACCCACACACTATGACGAGGGAAAAAACTGTTATTTTTAAATGTTTTTGTTACAAGTGCGTATTTTGTTGACTAAATACGTCCCGTACTCACATAATTATGTGAATGAAAACATTACCTCCCCCATTCATGGCTTCTATCTTTTAATTGGAAATTTACTACATCTCTTATATAAAAGAAGAAGGAATTCTCTCCAGAGCGACACGTCATCACTCCATGAAATGACATGTGTCACCTTAAAAAAAATAAAACAAATCACATCTTTTCATCTTCCCACCTGAACCGATCTACCTTCTGTAATTTTTGATCTCCTTTTCCAGAAACATTTACTCTTTCGAATTGATTCCACTGCCCTTAATGTATTTTATATCCATTCCATTTATACCCTCTCTACTATGAAAAACATATGAAATCCGATTCTTAAATTTTTGTTTTCTTCTTCATCTTCTCAATTGCTGTCTCTTTTATCTGGGTTTTGTTCTTTGATTTTTTTAAAGGAGCTTTGTTCGTCATGAATGGTTTTGTTGTTTGAAGCGCTTTTCATTGTAAAGTTCAATCAGTACATTGTTTTAGAAAAAGCTGCAAACTTTGTGAATCGAATATGATTTATAAGTCCTTTATCACTATTTGCTTCAAGTTTCCGATAACAGCGATGGGTGATTGAAATTCTGAAGAAGCTTGTTAAAGAGGCTTGAATTTTGATATTTAAAGTTTTGTGGCTTTTTGTCTCTCAACAATTAAACTCTACACCAGTCCTATTGCGCACCTTCTTGAAGATCAGAATCCCTTTTATAAACCGAATAAAGGAAAGCCAGTTTTTGGCCACCATTTTCTTGGAGTTGAAGAATTCATCCCATAATTTGGCAATTCATATTGTGTATCTCATAATGCACACACTCATAGATTGGTCGACCTCTGAACAGTACCGGTGGTTCATTTAGTTCCTTTTTCAACATATTACCAGCAAAGCAGGTATATAATTCAGTACAGCTTATAAATTTTGGTTCTTTGATTTTTTTGTTTGTCAGCCCTCATGTCGTTGTTTTGCAGAGTGCTCATTATTTCTTAAATGATTACATACACTGGATGTCTTATCCTGTTCTTATGATTCCAGGTGATGATGCTTTGACAGCTTGTCGTATTGCAAGCCAAGTGCATATTGTATCCTCCTTTCATAGTTTCATCTATATGATTTTCTTTGTGTACTCAATATTGTCATAAATCACGTGATTTTTGTATGTGGATCTTCATATAAAAGACATGGCAGTAAAAGCATCAGGTGCTTATAAAGGCTGCAAACCATGATCGGGGTCGTCTCACGGAAATACGTGGATTCGGATGCTGCAGCTTCTGAGAGGTTCCATAATGCGTACAAGAGAGCTCGAAGCGGAAGCTAAAAAAATTGAAGATTCTGGGAAAGGAAATGAAGTTAAGGTTGCAAGGGCTTTTGAATGGCGAAGGACCAACTGAATCCATGAGTGGCAGGACAGAGTCCACAGTGTTGATGGAGGAAGAGGATGAGCCCAAAGAATGGGTTGCTCAAGTGGAGCCTGGTGTCTTCATCACATGTGTATCATTGCCTGAGGGAGGGAGTGATGTCAAGCGATTCGGTTGAGGTCATTTATCTGTGCTCTGTAGCATTTTCACAAAAAGATAGGATCCTAAACTGAATCAGATTAATAATTTATGTTTCTGATAGTACTAATAATCAGGTTAATCATAAAACACTTTGTACTTAATCCATTGTGTTTTTGATTGGATTTTCTAAATAGAGATGTGTGTTTCTTAGGGACAAGCTATGAGAAGTACAATTGGTATTAAAGATGGTATTTGTGAAAGATTTCTGTTTTCGTTACTTGCAATTTTTCTTGAATTTATTTAAAATGGTCCCCAAACACTTGTTGTATGTGACAACCTGTACATTCTTTTGCCAAGAAAGATTTTTGAGATGTGGATTTGTATTTCGGTAGCCCAATTTGATCTTAAATGGATTCCCCAAGAACAGTTGTGTTTGGGAAGAGTTTGGTGAGTTTAGCAAATTCATTTTGTAAATGGGATATCTATGAGAGCAGCATGATCTAACAAACTTTCTTCATGCTCTCATCAAATATGGACGCTTTGGCCCACAGTCACAACAAGTGAAGAAAACATATCACAACTTAACACTAATTTGCCGGCTCTAGCCAAGATCTGCACTCTGATTAGCTCTTGAAAGTAATTTTTCATGATGTTTTGGTTTATGTTAAATTATAGCTCTTTTAATTCGCATGTATAACTCTGATTCGTCCTATGTTTCATTTTACTCAGAAATTGGCCGCAATACAAGCACGGTGACTTCAAGATGACGGCAAGAAGCACTATTTTTTGGAAAGCAAGTCGAGTAAATAACGTTCTGTGCAGCGCATGAGCCTGCGTGCAAGCGATTGGCATCAGATTCCATTCTGGTCTCAGCCAATTGGCAGGCCGTTTATGAGCTGTGGAAAGAAAGACTTCAACATTCGCACTTGGATACAACTCTTCAAATCAAAACTGATAAATGGATGGGTTGTAAGTTGTAACATAACAGGGAAAAGCTTTTACATACCTTAAATCCCACAAGCTATTGAATTGTTGAGAAGTAAGATGTTGGTTAATGAAAAATGAAAGTGCTCAAGTGATTGTTCTTGAAGGTGTAGCTAAGCCACTCATGGTTGTGAAGAGTGATGGTGGTTATAACTATGAGACAACGGATGGTGGATTTACTTTCAATGTTTTTTTTTCTTCTAAAAATCCTGATAAATTGCAGTGTATATGTTTGTACCGAAGTGTATGGCTAAGCTTCATGATGCTTGGTTTTATGTGAAATTTTGTTGTTTTGATTCTAACTTATAAATCTAATTCTTCGTAGCTTTCATTTTACTTTGAATCGATGAAAAGCAAGATCAAAACAAATAAGTGCGAGTCTTCTCGGCTCTGCCTCTCTTCCATGAAAGCCACAGACAAGGTAAGCGGTGGCCTCAAAGGATATGTTAATAGGAATGAATAAGTGGGATCTTTCTTCTGTTTCGTTGCCTGATTCATGTCAACATGTCAACAAGAAGTCGCCTTACGCAACACCGTTATGGTATGCATTTGATTACATACGGTTGTAGTTTTTTAAATGCTTATCTATTTAAGTTAAAAATATTTTGTATACCAATGATAATATAAAGTGATTTGATGGAAGAAGAATGCTCAAAGTGCAAGCCACTATTTTTTTTTATAACTGTTAGATTGTAGTTAGTTATACTAACAATAAATTGGTGTATCTCTTGCTCGAAATGAAAATATATTGACTAACCTACCTCTCACGTAATTGATCAGCCAGACAATATATAACTAATCCTCAGTCAACATGGAGAAGAGGATGTCATCAGGAAGGGGAAATTCTTCAGAGCTGCCATTGCGGCATCACCCAAACCATGCAACTGCTGCTGCGGGTACAGGTCGAGGCATATATGAGACAAGATATGGGATTGTTCATTCGATATCTTGAAATTGGTCTACTTTTCTCTCTCTCTTTTATATTAATTTTCAGTCAGCATATCATTACAAATTTAAAACAAAACTAATGATGTATATTACAAATACACTTTGGCCAAAGATGTTCTTGAATCTCTTTTTGATGATTTCGGTAAGATTCGTTTGCTTAAATTCATGCTTTAAAATCATTTTATTTATTTATTTATGTTACATGATTTTGGAAGCATCTAATAATATCTAACATAATTTTCTTTCTTTTTTTTGTGGAGAATAAGCTTTCACATTAGTTCCAAATTTCTACAACTTATTTATTGTTCGTCTTTTCCTTTGTGTGATATTGAATGTTTCCCTAGAGAGACTTTGATTTCCGTAGTGTTATCTCCACCTTTCGTATGGTTCCATATTACTCTTTGTGAAATTTTCAAAACACAAACTCTGTAAAATAAATTTACACTTATGAAGAAAAACCTGTGCGGGTATTGGCCTAGAAATTATCAATATAATTTTCATTTATTAAAACAAAACAATTTGATAAGACAATCAAAGGGTTATTTAAAAAGAAGCTTCACTATTTTACAACCCAATACAATTTGATAATTATTTATTTATAGCAATAAAACTGAATATAATGTGTACATATCGGCTCATATGATATACAATTTGATTTAACAAAAAAAAACAACAAAACAAATTCTAAACAAAAAAAATTATTGGAAAAAAACCGTGCGTATGCGCAGGTACTCACCTAGTATATATAAAATGATTTTGCGATTGCCGCAAGTTTGGTATAGCGTGGTTAATTCAATTCGTAGATTCTATCGCAAATGCATCTTAATTTGCGATGGATTTAATGTAACGAAATCCTAAAATTTGGCAGATATGAAAATATGTTGATCTGGGAGAACAAAATGCATATCATCAAAAGTATTAGTATATCAATTTCGTGTGTTCCCCTAGAACGAGAGCAAGGTGGTTACAAATTCACAAATCTGCATTTTCCCTTACTTTAATCCAACTATGATATTTAATACGACAACTTCAATTTCAAGGGCATAGTCTCGACTCTCTGCTATGACTCAACTATGATTAGAAAAATGAAGTAGAACATCTTCCTAAATTTAAGAAACCTTAGAGTTGTAGAAAACTAGTATTAGAAAAAATAATAAGAGAAGGAAAGACATCCTAATCTAAAAGAGTTTTTACTATTTATACATTTTATAAAATAAGCGTGTATTTTGGAAAACAAAACACTAATGATGACAGCAGTGTTTCTGTGTGTGGTATTTCTAAGTACTTTAATGGTCAATAATAGTTTACTGAAAAACGAGTTGTAAATAATAGGGCTAAGTTTTAGAACGAAAATGTGATAAGTGTTTGAATAATAATAAGGACTCGCATGCTAAAGAAGTAAAGATGCTTGTGACGTTACTTTTGAGAGTCGAACAAATAGTGTTGGGTGAAAAGCTGGTCTTGTTGGGTTCCACATCGTTCACGTGTTCACATTACAAAATAAGAGACAAAGACGAAGAATACATCCAAACATTCCTCAAAATGCATATAGAGGACATCAATATGATTCGAATTCGAGGATAATTTAAGACTAAAAAATTAGTAAACCGAATTATCATGTATCTAAAAATGGTATTATCTGGAACAAAGAACTAAAGCATAAAATCACAAGTCATTCTGTCATTCAATAAAGAAAAGATAATTACTTCAAATTGCTAACACTTTTTTCCAAGATTCGCATCATAGTAACAATAAATAGTAGACAGTGGTTATTACTTTTCTTGCATTTGACTAATTGGACAAATTAGTCACTTACACTTTATTAGCGAAAAGAGATGACGCGTATGCATCCCATTGCCAGAATATATAGTACCGAAGTTATATTAATATAATCAAATGTCATGATACATGTGCCCCTATGACATCAATGTCATTGCCATCTCGGCCCTTCATATTTCACATCTAATTGCCGGGCAAATTCGTCGTCGTTTTACGCCCAAGCGACATCAAAACCCTAAGGCTTTATATAAATAGAAAGTGAGCTCATTCAGGAGTTCCAAAAACCACCTGAGAAAAAAGAAAAGGTATCTAATGGGAAAGCAAGAGGAAGTGAAGTTGCTTGGGATATGGGCGAGTCCTTTCAGCCGTCGGATCGAGATGGCTCTCAAACTCAAAGGCGTACCGTACGATTACTTAGAGGAAGATCTCGAGAACAAGAGTTCTTTGCTTCTTGCCCTCAATCCTATACATAAGAAGATCCCTGTTCTTGTTCACAATGGTAAAACCATTATCGAATCGCATGTGATTCTTGAATACATCGATGAGACTTGGAAACACAATCCCATTCTTCCTCAGGATCCCTTCCACAGATCCACGGCTCGAATCTTTGCTAAGCTCGTCGATGAACAAGTACATTCTCTTAATTTTTTTTTTTCATTTTTTTAATCTTGAAATGACAATGTAACTTACTTTGGTCCCTAAACTAAAGAGATTATTGAAATAAGATCCCAAACTTATCGGTTAACTCAAAAGTCATCTCTTATTTTAATATAGTAAAAATATTAACTAGATATGATCATTAGCCTATCCAACATTTATTTGTCCGATGACATTTGTCTTTTGTTAATCCTTACTAAACCTTTGTTAATTGTCTCTGATATTGTAGATTGTTAATTTGGGATTTATCTCACTCGCAAAAACAGAAAAGGGAAGAGACGTTTTAATCGAGAAGACAAGAGAACTGATTAAATGTCTCGAGAAGGAACTCGCCGGAAATGATTACTTTGGTGGCAAGACTGTTGGATATTTGGATTTAGTCGCAGGAAGTATGATCCCGTTTTGTCTGGAGAGAGCTTGGGAAGGAATGGGAGTGGAAGTTATTACAGAGAAGATGTTTCCACGATACAAGAAATGGGTAAAGAAGCTAGAAGAGGTTGAGATTGTAAGGGATTGTATTCCCCCAAGAGAGAAACATATTGAACACATGAACATTATGGGGGAGAAACTCAAATCTGTTTAGGGCATCTCCAAAGGCAACTTCAAATCTTCAAATATGAGGTTTTGTTCATTCCAAAGGCAACCTTAAAACTTTAAATTTTGAGGTTTTTGAACAGTGAAACCTTATATTTGAGGTTTTACTATTCAAAATGAGGTTGCAACTTTTTGTATTTTAATTCTTACAATTATATACTTCATAAATAATCATTTCTTTTTTATGTTTATCATTTTAATCCAAACAGTTTTATATCTCATGAATATTTCACATTTATCTTCATAAATTTTATATTTGCATATAAAATAAAATTAAAAATTGAAATTAAAAACTAAAATTGGTCATATTTGAGAGTATTATGAAAATAATTTTGTTGAATAATTTGGTGAAATGTAACCATTTATAATTTAGTTTGTGTGTTTTAATTATTATGTTTCTGTAATTTTATCTTATAATGTAATGTTGTATTTTGTATAAAGTTTATAATGTAATTTTAGTTAATGATATTTTTTTATGTATGTTTTCTCTTATTTATAAAGTAATATGAACTTTTATTAATAATGATTAAAAATAAGGAGTATAGTGTAATATTTTAAATTTTATGAGATTAAATTTGAGGTTTGGTCAACCTCAAATTTGAAGTTGTCTTCACAGATGCCCTTAGAATACAAAAAGACAAAGCTCTTTACTACTTGATCCAATGTTTTGATAACGATAATGTTTGCACCATTTCTTACCTCACTTTATTATAATCACGATTTCCTTTAATTTTTAACAACTGCTAACTTTGCTTCATTTTGCTGGTATTAAGCGCCAAAAAAAAAAGAAAAAAAAATGGTTGAAATTTGTTTAAAAAGGCACTCTATGGGAAAAAAACTACAATTCTTCTACACCAGGAAATTTGCAAAGACTTTTATCTTCTAGCAACGATCGGAGCGTGAATACATGCATGGACACATATGGTAAAACTTTATCTTTGATTTTATTGAACATTAGACGCGAAATCCCCCTACGATATTTGTTATATTTTTCACTTTGAAATAAAAAGGGTTCTTTTAATATATAATCATCTAGAAATTAATCCGTAAATACAGTATATGTTTATTATGAAATAATAGGAGTCCTCTAATAATTCAAACCGTGAGTAAAAGCATGAGAAAAAGGAGATAGGTGATGTAGGATGATAAAGACGATTTGTTCGACAATGGAGAAGCTCGTGAGTGGAAATTAAATGGTGAATGGTGTTGTGATTCTCTCTTTGCTCTCACAGATTTGTTTTCTTTCTTTTGATTACTTGTTTTTCTTTAACACTCATTCTCATTCATCTCATTTTTCATACATTTTTCTTCTACATATCTTCTCACTTATACTTGCTCATACATATAGTCCTTTTCTACCAGTTATACTAACTCTCCTTACTTCACTCACCTTACCCTGACACTTAGGTAATCATACATTAACCACACTACTCTTAATAGACTTTAACTAATCATCTTAGGGTCTTACTCAACTATTGCAACTACTATTGCTACTAGAACTTAGACTTAGACTCACACATACTCGATATTTCTTCTTGGGCTGAGGCACATTTGAAGCCCATCTTCCTCTCACACGAGGCCCATCTTAGTTTCACAGTTGACTTTTCTCTCTGGTTGACTTGCTCTGTCTCATCTTCCTCTTCGACACATCTTCCTCCTTCTCCTTAGTTCTTCATTATCTTAAGCTTCTTCTTCTCTTCTTTTCCGTTTGCAGAATCACTCAAAGGATCATCTCTCAACACTCCCTCTTGAGCCTTTGAGTTGATTCCCCAATTCCAATTTAGGGTTTTGAACTTTGGTACCTTTGATTCTTCTCTACTTGTTCCTTTGCTGGTTTGAGGAGCACTCATCAAGACGTCTGCATAGCTCTTGGGTGAGTTTTATTTCCCAATCTCCCTCTTGCTCTGAATTTTCGTGGGTTCAGCTTCCTCTTCTTTTTCATACTTCTCAGCTCCCACTTGAATCATTTTCTCTTTGAGTTCAATTGATTTCTGCTTCTCCTCTTTCTGTAGGTTCTTAGTTGAAGAGTCTCTGCTCCCTGCATCCTTCTTAGCGCTTCTGGGTTTTTCTCTAACAGGTAATTCTCTTACCTCCCTTCTGCTTTGGCTTTGAATTTCTTGCTTCAATTTGAGACTTGCTTCATTCCTGTCCGATGTCTCTGTGTTCTGACACTTGAATTCTCTGTTCTTTTCCTCTTGGATCCTCTTAATTCTCTCTTGGGTCTCTTCTTTGTTTATTCTGATGCTTCTCTTTGCGTTTCGGCCGATCATCTCGTCAGTCAGCTTCTGCTCTTTCTCCTTCAAAGATAAATCTTCTTTTTGTTAATTTGTATCACTTTTGATCACCATCCTGTTCAGTTTGGTTCCTTGAACCACTTCCTTGACTTTCTTAACTTCAGATTCTCTCTTGTCTGACTTGATGTAGCTTTGATTCTCAACATTGAGCGTCAGCTTCTTCTTATGATACTGCACGCTCTTCCATGGTTCATACTTTTCTGGGTTTCTGATTTCAGCATATCCAGCTCCTTGATAACTAGATTCAGCCTCTTCCTTTGACATTGCATTTACTATTTCTTCACTCAAGGGCAAATGGAGATGAAAGCTCTTCTTTGCCATTTTCACTTCAGTTATTTTTCTCCCATATTTATCATGGATGATGCAGCTTCTTTGCTTAAAGGTAACTGCATATCCATTTGCAATCATCTGAGAGACACTTAGAAGATTCTTAGCAATTTTAGGGACTAGAAAAACATTCCAATGATTCTCTTGCCCTTTTTTGTCATGACTTCAATGTCTCCTCTTCCTTTGGTCATCAGTGTCGTTCCATCACCAACTTGGATTGGAACTTTGAAACTTGTGTCAAGTCTCGTGAACAGCTTCTCATTTGGAGTCATGTGGTTTGTACAACCACTATCAATGAGCCAAATGTTTTCTTCAACAGGTTTTTGATCATCTTGTCTTGCTGAAAACATATGGTACTCTTCCTTTTCTTCATTTTCTTCTTGAGTTGCTTGTGCTTGTTCAGGTCTCTTGTTTCTGCAGTTTCTTGAGATGTGACCCAGTTTGCAACAATTGAAACAACTCCTTGTATCTCTGTTTCTGTTGAAGTCTAGCGTGTTTCCTCCATTTTTGAAGTAGCACAAATCTTCATTGTGGTTATCCTTCTTGCAGTAACCACACCACCTCTTTTCTCTATAGCTAATCTGACTTGTGTTTCCTTTGTCACTGTTTTCCAGATTCAGGTTCTTGTAGAGAGCATGGAAGGCACCTTCAGCATCTTCATCTTCACCATCTGGGAAAAACTTCTTCTCATGAGCTTCCAAAGATCCGATCAGCTCCACATAGGTAATTGTTCTTAGATCCTTTGTTTCTTCCATCAATGATGATAAAGAAGCATAGCTTTTTGGCATGGACGCCAGCATCTTAACCACTAGATCAAAGTTAGATTTTCCTTCTCCTAGAGATCTCATTTGGTTTGCTACAGCCTGAATCCTATCAGAGTATGTCTTAACTTTTTCTCCTTCCTTCATTTTTAAATTCTCAAAATCTCTTCTTAAAGATTGCAGCCTAACAGTTTTAACCTTCTCATTACCTTGATAAGAATGTTCCAGAAGATCCCATGCTTGTTTTGCTGTTGTCGCTGAGAGTATTTTGTCAAATATGACATCAGCTACAGCATGTTGAATGATTTGAAGTGCAGCTGTGTCTTTGCTCTTGAGTGTCCAAAGGTTTGCAACTTCCTTTGTCTGGTCAGCTCTTGGAGTTTCAGGTGACTTCAATGACTGGTCTGGAAGTCCTTCTTTGACCACATCCCAGAGCTCCTTGTTCATCAATGTTGTCTTCATTCTTGCTGCCCATAACTCATAGTTCTGTCCATCGAACACTGCAACAAGTTGAGAAGACTGCAGGTTTATTGCCATCTTGAACTTCACTTTCTTTCTTATCTTCCTTTTCTTTTGATTTCTTCTTCTTGTGCTTTTCTTCAACAGGCTCCAAGGACAACCTGGCTCTGATACCATGTTGTGATTCTCTCTTTGCTCTCACATATTTGTTTTCTTTCTTTTGATTACTTGTTTTTCTTTAACACTCATTCTCATTCATCTCATTTTTCATACAGTTTTCTTCTACATATCTTCTCACTTATACTTGCTCATACATATAGTCCTTTTCTACCAGTTATACTAACTCTCCTTACTTCACTCACCTTACCCTGACACTTAGGTAATCATACATTAGCCACACTACTCTTAATAGACTTTAACTAATCATCTTAGGGTCTTACTCAACTATTGCAACTACATTGCTACTAGAATTTAGACTTAGACTCACACATACTCGATATTTCTTCTTGGGCTGAGGCACATTTGAAGCCCATCTTCTTCTCACACGAGGTCCATCTTAGTTTCACAGTTGACTTTTCTCTCTGGTTGACTTGCTCTGTCTCATCTTCCTCTTCGACACATCTTCCTCCTTCTCCTTAGTTCTTCATTATCTTAAGCTTCTTCTTCTCTTCTTTTCCGTTTGCATAATCACTCAAAGGATCATCTCTCAACAAATGGTATAGTTAAAGGAAACAAGATCATGATGAATTAAATTATGTTGCTTGGAAAAATGTTTAATCGAGTGAAAATATTATTTGGAAACATAATTGATTTAACATATTTTTGTTTTATAATATATATCCTAATCCTCGTTCAAATTCGATTTTATTTTGACAGTTTAAATTCGATTAAGATATTATCGAAGGTTTGAGATACAATCGATGTCCTTATTCATCAATGTAATTGATGCTTTAACCAAGCGTAAGTAAGCTCGTAGTCTCTCGCCACGTTTGCTGGAATAGGCGGGGCGTATATCCTCTTCTTGATCTGAGTTTTGAAGAATATACTAGCACCATTAGCCATGTACGATGTTGGAAGAGAAACAGATTCGACATTGGTCTAAAGTGAGAGATCGAAATAAGTCAAAAGGCTCTTCTGTGTGACTGTGTTATTGAAAAGCAGAGTACTTATATTCGAAACTTGTCATTTAATACATAGATTATGTGCAAAGAATTGCATATCTATAAAACTATCACAATGCTAATGTGCTTGAAGAATAGGTGTATGTATATGTGTGTTAAAACGTTAGAAAAAGTGATATTTCGTTAAATAGTTTACATAGTTTAATTGGTTAGTATATATATATATATATATAAATCTTGGAAACTAAACTTTAAACCTAAATCCTAAATTTATTATTAAAAATTATTTGTTAACTTTAAAAACTAAACTCTAAACCCAAAATAATCTGTTCTTTTATTTGAAAAAGTAAACTTTATTTTGTAATTTAGAGTATTTTCAATTGTTTTAAAAGTTTATAGATGGATTTTCAATTAAATGGGTTAATTAATGTCATTTATCTTTTCAGTTGTAGACAACAATCCTTCGAGAAATTGTGCTCCCGAGAATCAAACCGTTGAGCAGTGTGCTAACTGATGAGTTTGTATGGTTTTGCATTTGCTATGCAAATCCAGACTTAAGAGTTACCTAGAAGACTACATTTACTGAATAGTGATTTCCATTCTCTACAGATACTTAATTAAACGAGCTTGAGAACAGACTAGAACTCTAAAAAAGATTTCTTCCACTAAATTTAGTAGAAGTATATCTGCAAGGTTCTTTTGAATTTGAAAATATATTCTTTTTAATTAAAATTTTTTAATCATTTATAACTATCTATATATTAATTTTAATGTATTAATTAATGCATAGTCCTCGCTAAACCGATCTCGTGCACAAATTTGAACAATTTGAGAAAACTATATCTCTTGAAAACTGTTCAGCCAAACCATAAGATTTTTCTTCTAGTGATACCACTACACGTTTTTCTTTATATAAGCCCATATTCTCTGTCATGTTTAAAGATATTCAGATATGTGAGCCCATGTCATAAATTTCAGTCTATGATCCATAATAATTAGTCTCGATCAAGACAACCAATTTTGGTATACACAGAATTTACTGAAGGATAATGTACATAAATTGTGCTGTCTGGTTATATTGAATCCAAATTTTGAGATCGTAAATACTTTGATATGAGCAATTGTTTCATCTTCCATGATCTCTTCAGAGAATATTAGAATTTTCTTATCCTTGATGAAGAAACTGGATCCAACAAAAATTGGTTGATCATGTCTTGTGATATCAAACACTTTCTTCAAAATTGTAGCTTGATCTCTGGCTCTCTTAGTGATCCATATTTCAATCTTGGTGGCATTTTAGCTGATGAGAATGAAAGAGATCGTCAGAGTCAAAGTTGTTCCGGTGGAGAAGTTCCCGGAGATTAACAGATGGGTCTAGAATTTGATGCAAACTAGGAACCGGAACCAAACTAGGTTCATACACACAACAAATCGAAGGAGTGATGAACCTATACGCTTTGGTTTTCATCTGTTGAATCTCACTTCCTTGTGAGATTGTAGAGACACTCATGGAAGCTGGGGTTCCATATATCTTCTGCCATTTTTTTTATAGAACATTACAATTTTACTGTTCTTAATGAAGAAAGTGTAACCAAAAATGCTTAATCGACATCAAAAAGTTTCTCCCAAGATGAAGCTCGATCTCCGGCGTCTTGTTGATTCACAATTCTGTGCTCAATTCTCTTTGTTGTATCAATGAAAGTCCAGATTCTCTTCATGAAGATAAGGCTAAATTCTTTTTCTTGCTTTCAAGCTGAAGCCCAATTAGCCTAAACACTTTGGCGGAGAAGTCAAACATCTGGACGAAGAGTTTATTTGAAGTTACCATCTACTAAAACAGTCATAATTGAATTAGGGTTAGTCCAATCATCTGTAATGTTTATGGATTTCCACAAAATTCAGTAGAAGTTTACCTGTAAGGTTCATTTGAATTTGAAAAATTTAATTTTAATTCAAAGCATTAATTATTTAAAATTTATATATATTATATATTGATTTGTTTGTAAGATCTCGCTAAACTGATCTTGTGCAAAAGTTGAGTAACTGGAGAAAACTCTATCTCTTGAAAACCGTTCAGCCAAACAATAAATTTTATTTTCTAGTGATACCGCTACAAATTTTTTTTTAACAAGTTCATATTCTCTGCCATATCTAAAGATTTTTAGATTTGTGAGTCCATATTATAAATTTTAGTATATGATCCCTAATTATCACTCCTGAACATACACACAAATAACTGAAGGGCTGGTGTAACTAAATTAATTGTGTTGTCTGGATCTATTGAATCTCAGCAGTTAAGATTGTAAATACTTTAATACGAGCAATTGTATCATTTTCCATTACTTCTTTAAAGAGCATTACCATTTTCTAATTCTTGATGAAGAAACTGGTCCAACAAAAATTGGTTGATCATGTCTTGTGATATCAAACAGTTTTTCCTTCTTAGTTATCCATACTTCAATCTTCAGTTCTCTATTACCTGTTCACAAAATATTGTGTTCTTGTTTTATTTGATGAAATAATTTGGAAAATGATGAATGAGGGTGATGACTAGTGACAACCAAAAGGCTTTCCCAAGCTGAGACTGGAACTTGATATCCAATCATATTAGTAACTCATAACTCGGTATTTCATTTGTTTTTCGTAAAGGAGAATTTTGGTTTTATCTCTTTTGAAACACGATAACACCACTGTCATTCATCTCAAAATGGATAAAACTAAATTCTCTCTTTTCTACTTCAAATGGGAATGGAATTGACCTAAATTAAATTGTAAGTCTATTTATCTATATATGCCTTACCGACATGATAAAATCCTGTAAATAATCAAGCCATTAGTGTAATGATTTTCTAATAATTTTGTTTTTAAAATATATACCTAGTGGTTAGTAGATACTGAAGCTTTCTAAAACAATAAATGAGAAAACAAATATTATTAAGAAAAATAGGTTAGTAATATTTCTATTAAAAAAGTTTATAGTCATAATTGAAAAGTCAGCCATAATTTATTGCAGTATGTAAATAACATGAATCAATATCCTCATTTTTAGTTGATATATGAATTAAAATCTCATGAACATTGACAAAATGACCACCTTAATTTTAAAAATATTTAGAAAAAGAGAGAATACAAAATGAACAAAAAAAAGCTATTCATCATGTCCCACTTCAAAGCTCTGAGTTTATTTACAATTAGTTCATTAAGCCAATTCATAAAACGAAAAAAAAAGAGCAAAATTTGGGGGTGGGAGGGAAAGGCGAGGAAACGGTTAACCGCAGACACTAATCCAGTTTCAACAGAACCACCTAACAAACCAAACCCAACCCATTGGTTCAACATGGAGACGAGCCTCTTATGTAACCATCGGCGTTTTTTAATTTACTCAGGGGAAACGCCGGCCAAATACCCCCAATGGTTTAAATTCCCAACTTGAGTGGGAGAGTTCAGGGTTTAGAGAATAATAAGCAGACTCATCTCCGGGTCCCACCCCGTTGTCTTGTCCGACTCCAACCTCCTTTATTTATACCATCAAACACAATCTTTTTCCTTCGATGTGGGACAAAATATTTAAGTATTGGTTTTAATGTACCGGTTTGACGTCACTAGATACCTCAACCAAAATTTAATAAAAACCCGCTTCGTTGATTTTTATAGTCTTAAGTGTCGAAATCGAAACCCAACATAAACCGTTTTATAGGTTTATATACACTTATATACATATAAACTCTTTCAACTAAAACCAAACAAAAAATTGCATCAAACCGAATCTATACTAAACCGAATTACAAATAGTTTTTTTTTGGTCGAAGAACAAGTTTTTTATATCAAATCAAGTTCTATCGGTTTGGTGTTCAATTTCTATAAAACCGAGAAAATGAGAACCCACAAAAAACAAAACCAATTAGTAAACCGGATTGTTCACCCTCATCAATATAATAAGTAGAGCCCAAGTCAACACAGAAAATAAGAAGTCTAGTGAGACAACAATGGCGGAGAGATCAGATGAAGTGAAGCTTCTTGGGATGTGGGCGAGTCCTTTCAGCCGTCGGATTGAGATAGCTCTCACACTCAAAGGTGTTCCGTACGATTTCTCAGAGCAAGATATCACCAACAAGAGCCCTTTGCTACTCCAATTGAACCCGGTTCACAAGATGATCCCGGTTCTTGTTCATAACGGTAAACCAATCTCTGAATCACTTGTGATCCTTGAGTATATCGATGATACATGGCAAAACAATCCAATTCTCCCTCAAGATCCTTACGAGAGAGCTATGGCTCGATTCTGGGCCAAATTCGTCGATGAACAGGTATGATTTATGATAGACTTCTAATTTTTCAATTTCGAAAACCGGTTCGGATTCTAACCGGGTTAAAAGCCGGTTTATTGGGAATTTATCAGATTTGTGTGACGGCCATGAAAGTGGTGGGGAAGATCGGAGAAGAGAGAGAAGCCGTGGTGGAAGCGACGAGGGATTTATTGATGTTCTTGGAGAAAGAGCTCGTCCAGAAAGATTTTCTCGGCGGGGAAAGTTTTGGGTTCGTGGACATTGTCGCGACGTTGGTGGCGTTTTGGCTGATGAGAACGGAAGAGATCGTCGGAGTCAAGGTTGTTCCGGTGGAGAAGTTCCCGAAAATTCACCGGTGGGTCAAGAATTTGATGGAAATCAATGTCATCAAGAAATGTATCCCCCCGGAAGATGAACATCTCAGTTACATCAGAGCTCGCATGGAGAAACTCAAATTCAAAGCTCCCTGATAAGTTCAGTAATTAAAGAATCTCCCTGTCTCAGTTGCTTTTAGTCCTATGAAGGTCACGATTCCCAAATTTCAGACAAATAATTGGGACTGTGACCTTCTTGTTGTATCTTGTTTTGTCAAGTTCTTGTCTTGTGTGAGAGAGTTATCTAAGAAATTTGTCTGAAAAATGTGAAACTTTAGCAATTAGAACGTGTTAAAGATGTGAATAAGTAAGTGTTTGATATACTCTGTGACTTCATGTTTTTCTCTATTCAAACATAAATTTTCTTTCTTTGTTCTTTTTCTTACTACTCTGATTCAACCTGCACTGTTACATGATATATCCCACAAGTTTTCCTACAGAAATTTCTAACATTAGAAACAATCTCTTTAGAGCTAGCCCCAGTCTCGGCCAAAACATGGCACGACAACACAATTCTCCCAACTGTTATCTCCCATACATGAAGATCATGAACAACCTTAACACCATTGATACGCCTAAGCCCTCTCTCGAGCTTCTCTATGTCCATATCACGCGGCGCACGCTCCATCAAAATCCCAAATATGTTCTTGAGCATTGGTAGAGTAGCAGCAAGAGCAAAAGCAGAGAAAACAAGAGTGCACATCAAATCAACCAAAACCCATTTCGGCTTCACCCAAATGATTCCTCCACCGATCATAACACCAAGTGACTGAATCATATCAGCCATGGCGTGTAGATAAGCTCCTTGTATGTTAATGTTCATCTCCTTTGATGATGACGATGGTTTCTCCTCAAAGCCACCTTTTAAAGGATCCATCTCTTCTTCTTTCTCTTCCTCTTCCTTGTGAACATGATGATGATGATGATGGTGGTGGTGATGGTTATGGTTATGTCCTAACCAAACGACCATAACCAAGTTCATGAAAAAACCGAAAGCCGAAATACCAAACATGATCTCACCGTTAACCTCTCTGCTTCTGCTAAGAAGTCTTTGAATGGCTTCATAGATTATAACTCCAGAGACAAGCCATATGAGCTGAACAGACAAGAAAGCTGCTAAAACTTCGAGACGTTTAAACCCAAAAGAGTTTCTTTGATTCGCTTCCCAGCTCGAGACCTTGATAGCTAACAGAGAGACACAGAGACCCGCCACGTCGGATAGCAAATGCGCTGCGTCTGTCATCACCGCGAGGCTATTGGCCTTAAAGCCTCCAACGATCTGTACGGACATGACGATCAGGTAAAGAAATATGAGGTTGCTTAGTCTTCTAATTGATTCTTCTCGTTCTCTTGACTCCGAAACGCAATGTTCTTGCCTCGTAAACGCGCAAGACAGAGGAATAGTTTCCTCTGTTTTTGATGGTGACTCGATTTCTTCATCGTCGTTGGGTTTTGAAATGTGGATTTGTTCCAATTCCATAAGCTGTTTATACGTTTCAAAGGCTCGCATTAGAGAAGGAAAACAATATTTTGATCTTTCTTGTGGACATTTTATGATTAAAGATTTGAAATAAACCCTTTTTTTGTTTTGTTCAAGAAAACGAACCTGGAAATCAGATGGAGATGCAAAACGATTATGATCTTCTTCGGAATTCTTGAATTTCATGATCTTTATCTTATGGTTAGAGATAATGACATTATAATCCTAAGAATGAACAGAGATTTACAGACAAAAAAAGAAAAAAATACCGATGATCCAGCAAATATGGGAGGAGATTATGGAACTTGAAGAGTTTATAGATGTAATCCACATCAAGGTACTTCGTTGAGAAGACGGTCGTTAAAGTTAACGGAATGTGGAATTTTCTTTTTGTTTTTTTACGAAAGTGGAATCTTAAAGAAGTCGCTGTGCCTTGTGATGGGTGAAAAGTGAAATCGAATAATATGTTTTTTCTTAATATGGGAACGACGAAAAAGGCGATAAATCTAAATATTTGTGCCTTTAGGGAATAAATCTAAATATTTTTAATTTTTTGATTCGTATTATATTGTGTATTTACCAAAGGTTAGCGTTCAGGCGAACAAAATGGACCGACTCTTCTTGTTCAAAATATTCTCATTCAACTAATCTTCTTGGATCTATTGTATAAGTCAAGCCGTGTTGTTTTCTCGTCTCTTTGTTTTCTTTTATCAAATAAATATACAGTAAAAACGATATAAATTAACTATGTTAGAATTTTGATATTTTATTAATTTATAGAGTTATTAATTTATAAAATTTAAATATTTTTTTTATTAATTTTAAAATTTTAAAAAGTTTTTTTTAAGTTTACAGTATTTTAAAAAAAATTTAAGAATTAAAAATAAATTTCATGAAGACTTCAATCTAAAATTAAAAAAAAAACATTATTAAACTCATATTTTAGTAGATAATCTCACTTATATTTATATGTTTATATCAAATTTTATTTATGGAAATTTGTTGAACTTCTCAAGAAAACAGAGGATTCTTATCTTGATCCATTTGTATTTGCTTTAGTTTGAGAGTAAGAATTTTAGAGAAAATGACAAAATAAATTCTCATTCATTTTCTTCTTAGTCCTTACAAAAGAAATCAATACATGCTTATAGAGAAAGTAGTGCAACTACTCTCTGATCATACTAACTCTTATAGCAACCTTTATAGACTAGCTTATAGTCTTACACACTTCTCACAACTATTACATTACTGTTACAACAACTCTCTTTGACACAGATAATAATTTAGTTAGCTAGGTTCTTCTGGTTTGGTTTGAGAAGCAAAATAGGCATTACTCAACATTCCCACTTGCCATTTTGTTACTCAAACCAAGTTTATTACGAAGCTTTTCATAATACTGACTTCCTAAGACCTTAGTAAAAATGTCTGCCCATTGATCTTCACCTCTGCAATATCTCAGCTGGATGTCACCATTCTTCTCATAATCTCGGACGACATGATACTTGATCTGAATATGCTTTGTCCTTCTGTGTTGGACTGGATTCTTCCCTATTGCAATAGCAGACTGACTATCACGGTAGATAGGAACTCCTCCTTGAGAGGTGAAACTTAAGTCTTCAAGTAACCTCCTAAGCCATACTGCTTGATTTGTCGCTGCACATAATGCCATGTATTCTGCTTCAGCTGTGGACTGAGCGACAGTATCTTGCTTGCTTGTTTGCCAAGAGAAAATTGCAGATCCAATACTAAAACAATACCCTGTTGTTGATTTAAGATCCTCTCTACATCCTCCCCAATCACTATCTGAATAACCAATCAATCTAGGCTCCATGACTGAAGTAAACATCAAACAAGTGTCAAGTGTACCTTTTATGTATCTGAGCACTCTCTTTGCTTCTTTTAGATGCTTGACCTTGGGTTCCTTCAAGTACCTTGACAAGTACGATGCTGAAAACATTAAACCAGGTCGAGTGGCGGTAAGATACAACAGACCTCCCACATAAACTTCTATAGATCTTAGAATCAGTAAACTCTTCTTCTTCATTTTGATCCTTGCCGTGTGGTGCTAAAGGAGTGTTCATAACTTTGCAGTCTTTCATGTTGAACTTTTCCAGTAGTTTCTTTGCATAACATTCTTGAGAAAGAGAAATTCCTTCTTCTTGTTGAACAATCTCCATTCCTAAGAAATAGTTAAGCAATCCCAGGTCAGACATTTCAAACTCATTCTTCATAGTTTTCTTGAAGTCTTCCACCATTCTCTCATCATCTCCAGTGACAATAAGATCAACCACATAGATGCAGATTACTAGAATCTTCCCTTGATCAGTCTTTGTATACAATGCATGATCATTGTCACTTCTCTTGAAGTTTTCTCTCAAGAAGAACTCATCAATTCTGCTGTACCAAGCTCTCGGTGCTTGTTTTAAACCATAGAGAGCTTTGTGCAAGCGAAGAACATGAGTTTCTTTTCCTTTTTCTTCGAATCCAGGCGGTTGTTCAGCATAAATCTCCTCTTCAAGATTCCCATTCAGAAATGCTGACTTGACATCAAGCTGAAATAGTTTCCATCTCCTCTGAGCTGCAACTGCAAGAAGCAAACGAATTGTTTCATGTCTAGACACTGGGGCAAAGGTCTCCAGATAGTCCACACCATACTGTTTCGTGAACCCCTTTGCCACTAACCTTGCTTTGTGTCTTAAAACATTTCCTTTTGCATCCATCTTTAACCTGTATATCCACTTTACCCCAACTACATTCTTGTTTGCTGGCATGTTGACTAATTCCCAAGTTTGATTTTTTTCTATCACTTGTATCTCTTTTTCCATTGCTTCTATCCACTCTGTATGCTTAACAGCTTCGTCAAACACTGCTGGTTCTTCAGCACCTGAATAACATCCTTCACTAACTGCAGAGTACTCTAGATTAGCGTATGGTGCATTGAGCATAATGTCATCAAGTGATCGAGTTTTTCTGTTAGGCTGACTTGAGCTTTCTCCAGGACTATCCAACACAGGACCTGAGAATCTTTGCTGAGTGTTTGTTCTCTCTGTGGACTCATCATTGCTTGAATCAGACTCATTAGCTCTTGGACTTTCATCAATAATATCCGGTTCTAGTGCTGTGTTGACCTGCTTGATCACTTCCTTCTTGTTCCAGTCCCACTTGCTGCTTTCCTCAAAGATAACATCTCTTGAGATATCAATCTTGTTTTCTTTCAAAAGATACACTCTATACCCTTTTCTTTGCGAGCTATAACCCATAAATATTCCCTTCTTTGACTTGTCATCCCACTTCTTCCTCTTTTCATCTGGTATGTGTACATAACATACACATCCAAATACTTTCATGTGACTTACAGATGGTTTTGCTCCATTCCAGGCTTCAATAGGCGTTTTACTCTCAAGTGCTCTGGTTGGAATTCTGTTTTGAACATAGGCTGCAGAGTAAATCGCTTCTGCCCAAAACTTTAGAGGCAAATCCTTGGCTTTGATCATCGCTCTAGCCATCTCCACTAAGCTTCTATTTCTTCTTTCTGAGACTCCATTATGTTGTGGAGAGTATGATGCAGTAAGTTGCCTTTCAATGCCATTTTCTTCCAAGAATCTTGTAAACTCTCCAGACAGATATTCGGTTCCTCTATCTGTTCTGATTTTCTTGATTTTGCAGTCAGTTTGATTTTCAACAAGGTTCTTGAACTTCTTGAATGTTTGAAAAACCTCTGATTTAGCTTTCAAAAAATAAACCCAGACCATTCTTGTTGCATCATCAATGAAGGTAAGAAGATACCTGCTCCCACTGAAAGAAGCGTTTTGCATTGGACCACAAACATCGCTATGAATCAGTTGAAGCTTTTCTTTTGCTCTGCTTTCTGTTTCTTTTGGAAATGAATCACGGCTGTGTTTGCTGATGATGCAGCTCTCGCACTTTTCCCGATCTACGCTGAACTTAGGTAAGCCCACTACCATCTCTTTTGATTGCATTATTTCCAGATTTGACCTTCTTGTGTGACCAAGTCTTTGATGCCATAACTCTGCAATTTCACTTTTAGCCACCATTGCAGTTTCTTCTCTTGCCGGCCATTTGATGTGAAAGCTCTTGTTCATCATCTGAACTTCTCCTATGCTTCTCCCACCTCTGTCGTGAATTAAGCAGCTGCTTCCTTGAAATGTGACTTTATATCCGTTAGTGATCATTTGAGGAACACTTAGCATATTTTTGCCAAGTTTAGGCACAAGCAACACATCTCTTATGATTTTCTTCCCTTTCTTGGTTGTTACTTCAATGTCTCCTTTTCCTTTAGAGATGAGAACAGCTCCATTTCCAACTCTTATTGGAACATTTATGTTTGTGTTAATTCTGACAAACATCTTCTCATTTGGTGTCATGTGGTTTGTGCATCCACTGTCGATGAGCCATGAGTTTTCTTCACTTGATTCTTCTTCTTCTTGTCCGGCAGTAAACATGTGATGTTCTTCCTCTTTCCTCTGAGGCTTCTCCATGTCTTCTCCAGTTTTTGCGTGAGTCTTCTTCTTCACGTCTTCTTTGGTTGTTTCAGCAACCAGTTTCTGCTCCCTTTCACTCTTAGGTAAGCAGCTTCCTTTTTTCAGTTTGGTTTCTTGATCCATAACTTTTATCTTGTTCGGAGAGGCTCCATGGATCAACAGGAGCTCTGATACCATGTTGAACTTCTCAAGAAAACAGAGGATTCTTATCTTGATCCATTTGTATTTGCTTTAGTTTGAGAGTAAGAGTTTTAGAGAGAATGAAAAAATAGATTCTCATTCATTTTCTCCTTAGTCCTTACAAAAGAAATCGATACATGCTTATAGAGAAAGTAGTGCAACTACTCTCTGATCATACTAACTCCTACAGCAACCTTTATAGACTAGCTTATAGTCTTACACACTTCTCACAACTATTACATTACTGTTACAACAACTCTCTTTGACACAGATAATAATTTAGTTAGCTAGGTTCTTCTGGTTTGGTTTGAGAAGCAAAATAGGCATTATTCAACAAAATTGTTAATTTATGATAATAATAGGATCATATATTTACGTAGGAATTATGTTAAAGTTATTATCTTATTATCTTATTGAATTGTGTCATATTTTGAATTAGCCCAATTCGAAACTATGAAAAATTATTAATTTATAATATTTATTAATTTCAAATATTAATTTATAGAATTTCTACTATAATTTAATAATAGGTTTGATGATGTAATTGACTAATTGTCCACGTTGATGTAGTCTTTTTTATTTATTTCTTTTGTGATATATAGAAAATACATTCTAACTATGTAACTATTAGAAAATATAACCTAATCTAATAGTAACTATATAACTGTAAGAGAGGAGATATTTTACCAAAAAAAAAAACTGTAAGAGAGGATAATTGGTGACTTATAACAAAAAACAGTGACGACATTGTGTATATAAGCACATGCATGCAAATCCGATCCTAGTAATTTCAAGGCCCAAAACTAAAAAAAAATTTATGGTCCATATTTGAGTAAACATTTCAGAAATGGAGAGTTGAAACTTAGGCTTGTGTATTTCAGGATGAGTAACGATGTTATATAGCCAATAGTTACTCAAATGAAAACTAGTTATATAGCCAATAGTTACTCAACTGTAGTTTTCATTTTTCAATCCTGTTATTCTATGGGAATACTTCCAGTAGTATATCTAGTTTCTCGAATTACTCGTTTTCGTCCCTTATCCATTCTTTCCTGTCTGATTTTCATCTCTTATCCGTACTTTCTTGTCTCCATAGGGCTCATTGTCAGCAGCACGGATTTCAGCGGTGTTTCTGGATCCGCGGTGGAGGTGGTTCGTTCTCTAGTGCAGTCAACGTTCTCTCCTTGTCTGCCTCTGTCTCTTTTGCCGGCTCTTCTCTTTCTGCATCTGGCGTTTTTCATCTGTGCGGTGGTTCCACGGCGTTTTTTTTAGGGTCTTCTAGTGGTGGCGAGCACTCCGGCATTGGTTTGTGGTGAGTATGTGGCGGTGGACTCTCCCAACTATGACCTCTCTCAAGTCTTTTTCCCGAGGCGGCTGAGTGGTGGCTGGGTTAGCTGGAGCTTCTCGATCCTGGTGGTGGAGTTTTTGGATCTTGAGGACGAGTCCTTGCTCCGGCTTATGGGTTTTGACGGGAGGTTCAGTTTTGTAGCAAACCTCGGAGTGGTGGCTCTCGTATCTCCGGCAGGTGCGAATCCACTTGCGGTGTCTCTTAGCGGTGATGCTGGACGGGTGACTCGGCGGTTGCTTCGCTGGCTTGTTCTTAGCGTTTTTTCTCTGCTTCCGTCTTTAACATCGACGTGGCCTGAGTTTTCCAATGGTGCATGTTTCCGCTAATTGGTGATAGCTTCGCATTTGTGTTTTAGATTTTGGTTTGCGGTGGCTCCGGATATGGTCCGATGTAGATGGTGGAGCATTACCAGACGTGATTGTTGAGGCGCCGATTTGTTATTGCAGCTAGCTTGTAGCTGTGGGAGTTGGTTCTTGAGGGAATTTATCTTATCAGGAATGACGGTCAGAGGTGACTCTCCGATAGCCCGAACAGGCTCCCTTGTCAACAATTGCAAAGTAGTCCGTTATGGATCCCGGAAATCCCGTTAGTTCTCGGAGAAGCTGTAAGTGTCCCTTTTGAGGTTAGAGGGCTGGCCTTAGGTTGATGCTCGTGGCAACAAAGATGAGAACTCTAGTTCTTCAGAGTTGCGGCAGAAACGGAGTGGTCCGCATTTTAGAGTGTGATTGTTGTTTTTTCGTTTGGTTTTGTTTCGGTTTCTTTCATCCTGCAAATTATTTTTCTTAATCCTTCGTTGTTGTTTGCTGTTAATTGTTGGGTTTATCTTTAATTTTTTCCTTTCGGTTAATTTGCTTTCTGCGTATTCTCTGTAACTTCTGTCAAAAATTTAAAATTGATGATATAATCTTAACACTTTTACCAAAAAAAAAAAATTGAACTCTTCGTTCCATTTTCTTATAAAAATGCTTTTACCACTAGAATATTGATACTTTTGAAAACATACAATTATGACCTTAAATATATAAACGAATAAAGGCCCACGCTAAAACTTTCCTTGCGTGGGCTCTTGGTCGACTCGGCATGCATGGGAATTCTACATATAAAATCACACGTTATAATTTTTATTTTTATTTTTATTTTTTTTGCGAAACTGTAAATATTCATATTAATGAAAAGTGAGTTTTAGAAATAGCAATACCCAGATATTTGATACCACGGCAAAAATTAAATAAAAAACATGGTAGCAAAAGAGAGGAGAAACGGACGAAGACCACTCTCAGTTAATCCATAGAAGCATTAAGTTAGCAAAATGCCTTCTGTGTCGCTTTGCTGAAATAGTGTTGCGAATTTGCCTGTCTATATATCTGAGAATGTTTGTGACCGATCTAGTTGTTGAGCTGAAAATCTTATTGTTTTGCTCGATCCAAATGAAGTAAAGAGTAGTATGCACGACGATCTTGCGAAGGAGGGACGGAGCCGAGGTGGATCACTGCTTTACCCAAGATAAAAGGGCTGTCCAAGACTGGAAAACAAAGGGAGCCACACCAATGCGCCTTAGAACCGCTGACCAGATCTCACCGCCGTAACCACACCAGAACAGGAGGTGATCCCTGGTTTCATCATGAGCAGAGCAAAGGCAGCAAGACGACGGGATATTTAGACCCCAAGAGGCAAGACGCGACCTCGTCGGCAGCCTATTCAGTTGAGCCGTCCACATGAAGAAGGCATGCTTCGGCGTTGCCCCTTTAAACCAAATGGCATTATACCAATCCTTTTCATCCTCCCTACACCGTAGCATATTCCAGGTACCCTTTGCGGAGAAAGTCTTGCTAGGGGAGCCATTGACCTTCCAAGAGAACACATCCTCGACATTTGCATTAGCAGAAAGCTGAACGGTGGTTAGATGAGCATGGAGGAGAACCTCCTGATCTGAACGAGGAGAAGGCAGACACCAGCCCGCTTGGCTACAAGCATCAGCCACAACAGCATTGAGAGGCAACCTTTGTGATCTCGGTCCCATCTCGCCAAACAGATTAATAAGAGGACCTAGAGGGATCCATGCGTCGTACCAGAATTTTGCAGTGCGACCATTCCCCACCGAACAGATCACAAATTTCTCAGCCAAATGACGAAGCTTGAGGAGAGACTTCCAGCATCCTGAATCTCGCGGGTGCTCTCTAATGGACCAGAAACTTTCATTACCGATGTGGTGGTGCTTGTGCCAAGCCACCCAGAGAGATTTATTACCCAAGAATAGCAACCAGATCATTCTGAGGCACAAAGTGGTATTCCAAGTCGAGAAGCGCCTAAGCTCGAGACCTCCTTCTTTTTTCGGCAGGCAAACTCTGGTCCAAGAGACCTTACCATGAACGTCCCCTCAATAGCTCCAGACCAAAGGAAACGACTACACAGCGATTCGATCCTCTTAATACAGCCTCTGAGCAGCAGAAAAGTTGAAATCCAGAAGTTCATTGTGCCGGTGATGATAGATGAGATGAGTTGGAGTCTTCCGACAAATGAAAGTGACCGAACAGCCCAAGAAGTGAACCTAGCTGAGATCTTATCAATTAGCGGAGCATATTCTGAAATCCTCAACTTTCTAGACATCAGCGGCAAGCCTAAGTATCGAATGGGGAGAGAACCAGCAGGGAATCCATAGCTGGCAATAACAGTGGATTCAGAAGGGTTCAAACCAGCGTGTAAGATCTCGGTCTTGTCCTGATTCATTTTAAGCCCTGACCAACTAGCAAAATCATCAAGGGTTTCGCTTATACCATAAAGGGAAGAGCTCGATCCATCGAAAAAGATCATTACATCATCTGCAAACATTAGGTGAGAGATATGGAGGAGATCAGTGTTTGGATGGTACCTAATGTACTCCGAAGAGTAGCGCGATTGGAGAAGACGAGAGAATATCTTCATTGCCAAAACGAAGAGGTATGGCGAGAGCGGGTCGCCCTGACGAAGACCTCTTGAGCTTCGGAAAAATCCACTCGACTGCCCGTTAATAGCAACATAAAAAGATGGTGTGGAGATGCACTCAGAGATTCAGTTTATAAACCTCTCAGGAACCCTTAAACCACGCAAGCAGGCAAGAACAAAGTCCCAGCGGACTGAATCAAAAGCTTTGCGCAAATCCACTTTTAGCATGGCTCTTGGCTCGATGTTGCTCCTACCATAACCATTTATAATTTCAGTTGCCAGGAGGACATTTTCGGCCAAAAGTCTTCCGGGCATAAATGCAGATTGTGAGAAGGCGATAACCGGCTCTAGCAAACCTTGAAGCCTTGAAGCAAGAAGTTTGGAGATCACTTTGTACAAAGTATTTAAGCACGAAATAGGTCTGAAGTCGGAGGTTTTTTTTTGCATTGAGGATCTTTGGGATTAGAACCAAAGTGGTGGCATTCCATTGCCTTAAAAGCTTTCCCGATCTGAAGAACTCACCCACTGCCTCCGTGACTTCCGTACCCACCACATTCCAGCAACCCGTGAAGAACTCGACTGGGAAGCCATCCGGACCACATTTTATTTCTGGGTAAGGAGAAAAAGGCATTTTTAATTTCCAAGCTCGAGAACTCCAATCTCAAACTATCCCTCAATTCCTGCAGGCAAGTAAAATCCAAAAGAGCAGAGATATCATCTTGGATGAACATTTTAGGACTAACTTCATCACCCAAGAGCTTCTCGAAGTAACTGACGCAATGGCTCTGAATGTCAGCCTGAGAATCAATCCGAGTGCCATCTTCTATTTCCAGGTAATGAATGAAGTTCATTGCAGATCTCGCTGACATCATTCTATGAAAATAGGCTGATCCACAATCTCCCTCCTTTAACCAAGTGATTCTGGATTTCTGCAGCAAATAACTCTCCTCAGCTCTAACCAGAATCGGCCATCTCCTATTGGCCTCAAACTCGCGATCAGCAATAGAAGTAGAGGGATTAGCTAAGAGCTCCCGCTGAATCCCGATCACACAATCATGAGCTTCCGCGGTTCTTTTTTCCAGATCCGAAATGTTATAACTTATAACGTTATAACTTATAAATGACCAAAATATCGATTCAAGTTTACCAGAATAGTGGTGGAGTACATATTTTTTCCCCGACTTCCCAGATAATACAGTTTCTCATTTAATATTCAAACTAACCATTTTATTTAGATTCTTAAATCAACTAAAATCTGTTAACCAATCTCGATATGACTATACAGTAAAACCTCTATAAATTAATAATGTCGGGACCATGATATTTTATTAATTTATCGTGATATTAATTTATCTATAAATTAATAATTATTAATTTATAGAAAAAATTTGCTTTCCGTTTATAATTTTTTTAAAAAATTTTGGAATAGTGTTATATTTTAAAATTTTAACAAATCTCGTAATATAAATTATGATTAACAATCATAACTATTGCAATAAAATAATTTTTAATAACATATTGGATTGTCCATGTTAAAATATACATGTTCATAAGTTTAAAATTTATAAAAAAACTATAACTACTACCTGTATTATTGATGATAAAATTGAAGATAACACTAATACATACAAAAACTTTTACATGTAAGAAAATCAATTATCATATCAAAATTATCATAAATTTTGAATGTATATAGTAAAACACCAATAAGAGCTACTTATATAATAATTAGAGAGATAAGATCCAATGAGGTTTTAACCTTAAATCAAAGCAAACACATTACTCATATTTTAGAATATTATATTTACATATATTTGCATAATTTATATAATTATTAATTTATGTTTTTGTTGGGACCATATATTTATATAGAAGTTTCAAAAAAAATTATTATCTTATTATCTTATCGAATTTGATAGATTTTTACATTAGTCCGATTTGGGACCAATAAAATTTATTAATTTATAGAAATTATTAAGTTATCAATTATTAATTCATAAAGGTTCTACTGTATTAGTACTTTGTAATAAATATAACGTTAGATGCAACTCGTGCAAGTAAGACATCAATAAAAGTACTAGAAAAAGAACCGATGGAGGTCACGTAAAATAAAGAGTTGATCGAGCCTAGTTCTACAATATATTGATTAAAAAAAAAGACTCAACGCTTAAAAAAAAAAAAAAAGACTCAACGCTTCTTCGAATTCACACCCCGATCATTTAAAATAAAAAAGTGTTATTCTAATGATTTGTGTGTGACAAATGTTGAGTCTTTTTCTATCTTTGTTATTGTAAATTTTTTAAAAATAACACCATACCCGTATTAGTAAAAATCGGCATTAGTGTATTCATTATCCATTTTGGCCATTTACTTATTTTATACCAAATTGCCATTTAGCTAATTTCTCTGAAATTTTGTATCATTTACCTAAATCATTTTTCTTTTTTCTTTAAAAACAAATTGATGCTCAACGTTTCCAGTCTCCGAAACGTCATTAGCTACGTATTTTGATCTACTTTGCCTTATATATATGTTATGTGGTAGCTCTATTCATTACTACTCACAATCACAGGCAAACAAAAAATGGATAAAAGATGGAGTCTTCAAGGTATGACTGCTCTCGTAACCGGTGGAGCCAGCGGAATCGGGTTTGTTTTTCCTACTCTCTAGCTATATCATATTTTTTACCCATTTTTCTGCTGCTTCTTTTTTTAAGATATCGCTAAATTTTGTTTTTTCGTTGTGGACTGTTTTAGGCATGCCATAGTAGAGGAGCTAGCCCGTTTTGAAGCAAGAATCCATGTATGCGACATCTCTGAAACAATGCTTAATCAAAGTTTAAGCGAGTGGGAAAAGAAAGGGTTTCAAGTGAGTGGTTCAATCTGTGATGTATCCTCTCGTCCCGAGAGAGAAACACTTATGCAGACCGTCTCAACGATGTTCAATGGCAAGCTCAACATTCTTGTAAGTTAATTAGTCTTAGTTTAAAGAAAGAAACTAAGCATATCTTCCTAGGAAGAATACCTATTAAATAGTGAAATTTATAGTAAGATTTTTACTACTCTTTTTTTTTGGCTCAACATAGGTGAACAACGTTGGAGGACTTCGCACAAAGCCAACAACAGAATATGTGGAAGACGATTTCTCGTTCCTTATTTCAACAAACTTGGAATCTGCTTATCATCTTAGCCAACTTTCACATCCTTTCTTAAAGGCTTCAGGATATGGAAGCATCGTCTTCATATCCTCTGTTGGAGGGGTTGTTTCAATGGACTGTGGATCCATCTATGGTTTAACCAAAGGTACATCGACCAACTAATCAATACAGAGATTTTAATTTCAAATATACTAGATGCAATAGTATTGTGGATTCATTTGATTACGATGATATCAAGTACGTGCATGTATTTTCAATGATTATTTGGTAAAATAAAATTTAATGTTTACGTTAGGAAGTTGATTAGACTAACGCATGTCTTTTATTTATCTATTTTAGATGTCATCATAATTCATGTATGAGATTCCTAACGTAGTAAACGCAAACGTACACTAATTTCTGTTTCAAAAATATATGATCCCAATATATACAGTAACACATATATAGAGAGATATTTATTTGTATAGATACACAAGCAAAACTAATTTTAAGGTATTTAATTATCTTGATAGATCCTATATTTCCACCGATTAATAGGTTGTCTTGATTCTTGAATTCTTGATCTAATTCATTTTTTGTAAAAGCTTTGTAAATGTAATTTTATTTGGGATGACATGTCTCGTAGTTTATCATTTTCTTTATTTAAAGTTTTTTTTTTTTTTTTATGTGTGTGTAGGAGCTATGAATCAACTAGCAAGAAATTTGGCGTGTGAGTGGGCACGAGACGGCGTAAGAGCCAACTCCGTTGCTCCTAATTTTATCAAAACTGCTATGGCTCAACCTGTAATCAGTGACACCCTCCATCTAGTTTTAATTTATATTCCAATTAATATCATGCACTTCTAATTCTTGTATCTTAAAATCTTGTGAACAATCAGCTTCTCGGAGACTCCGGTTACCAGAAGAGTTTGCTTAGTAGAACTCCCCTTGGTCGCACTGGAGAGCCAAAAGAGGTTGCATCACTTACGGCTTTTCTGTGTCTACCTGCAGCTTCATATATTACTGGTCAGACCATATGTGTTGATGGAGGTCTCACTATCAATGGTTTCACATATCACCCACATGCTTGAGCCGAGACTTATGTGTGTGTGTGTGTGTTTTCTTCAAGAACTTCTAAGAAGATTCTCAAATAAAGATCAAGTTTAAATAATTTGTTTATGAAAATAAGAGAAAGTTTTCCTCCTAGTTTTTAGGAGCACTATCTCATCTTCCATTTCCACAAGTTTTAGGAATCGATGATTCCATATCCTTTGTTTCATAAATAAACAACTAACCAAGAAAAGATATTGAATAAAGACCAGAGAAAATTTCCTAGAGGAATGTGTTCTTATGTGCTTGTTGCTTTGATCGGGATCTTCTCTAAGATCCCACAATAGAAGAATAAGTAACTAGCTATTGGTGTAAGAAAAGAGAGTAAATAGTTATCATCAAGTGACGACTAACTATTACTAAAATAGCACATATAAAATTGGGAAAAAATTTCCCCGGAAGAGACACTGCTACATGCATCGCTAGAAGTAGAAAGCTGGAGAACGTCGAACACACCCGAAGACGAAGACGACACAGATGTTGGGATGACACATCCCCCTCTGTCCTCGAGATCTCTAACCGAGGATCAGCAGTTTTTGATTTGCCTGATTGACGCCTCTTAGATCAGTCATGGACCGATTAGTGGCTTCAGATGGAGTTTAGAGAATGGTAGGGGAAATGAGTTTTTTGGAATCCATTGATGTCGCAGAAGCCTTTCGACTCTTCATGCCAAGATGGATGGCCTTATTTGGGCTATGTCCTGTTTGCAGGAAAGACAGATGTGCTTGGTTCACTTCCTGACTGATTGCTTGGATCTTATGAGTATGACCGAATCTCAAACGGATTGGACTCTATCGTATATCCCCATAAGTCTAAATGTCCGGATGAATAGTCTTATAAAAGAGCTCGAGCAATCCCAAATCAGTCAAACCGAGTCGGTCGATGATGATTCCCAAACCAATCTTTTGACTAGCCACATGTGATGTAATAGTTGGGTAGAGGAAAAAAAAGAAAAAAATAGTTATATTGACTTATTTTGATATTTTTGAAAGTAGACTTCTTTGGAAGTTTTAGAAATTGGCTTTTGTAAACAAAAGAAATGCATATAGACTTCTAATGCTGTCTGCGTAAAACTGGGGTTATTTTTGTATTTGACCAATTTTTTTTTTTGTCAAATTTTGATTTTTATTGAAAACTTCTTTAGAAGTGTGAGATTTTGTTGTTTGATTTGGGAGGTTATTTTTGTAATTGATCAAGATTTTAACTTTTTGTTTACTTTTATCTCAAAAAGTCTACTATTAAAAAAGAATCTAGCATATTCTAAAGTCTGCGATTAATTTAATTAAAATTTGGCTAAATGAAAATCTGACCTATAAACTGCTTAGAAAGTCAAAATTTTAGTCAATTGCAAAAATAACTTCAATTAGACTACATTTGTATAGTAGACTTCATCGGAAGACTTCTTTACTATAATAGACTTCTTTTACTTGTTTGCAGATTAAGTCTATTAAAAACGTCAAATTTTTGGTCAATTACAAAAATAACATTTTTATCTCACAGAATGCAAATGAAGTTTGCTGCTAAAAAGTCAAACTTTTGATCAATTGCGAAAATAATCCTTCTTTTTATAAGACTTTGTCGTAAAATTTTCACCGCGGACTTTGATCAGATGTCTGAATTTTTTTTTTAAATGCATTTTATAAAAGATTTGTATTGCTTTCTTTAATTTTTATTTTTTTTACTTACATGTTAGGTATGGTTCTTACATCCGTATGAGTTTGGTGTGTTTATGTGTTGTAATTATAAAGTTATGAATTTTCTTGTTTTAAAAGATATTTAGCACATCTAAGCAGACTTCATATTAAGTTTACGTCATATTACGTACATGCATGCAAACCCGATTCTAGTAATTTCAAGGCCCAAAACTAAAAAGAGAATTTGTAGCCCATATTTGAGTAAACATTTTTTGACAGTAAGAAATGGAGAGTTGAACTTAGGCTTGTGTATGAGTGAGTAACAATGTTAGATAGCCAATAGTTACTCTATCATAGTTTTCAATCCCGTTCTTTTATGGGAATACCAAGGTCACTACCAGTAATATATCTAGTTTATCTCGAAGACTCGAACTACCCGTTTTCCTCCTTTATCCATACTTTCATGTCCGGTTTTCGTCCTTTATCCATACTTTCCTGTCCAAATAGGGCTAACTAGTTGCATTCCTCATGCCATCTTCTTATAAAAGTGCTTCTACCACTAGACTATTGATACACATATTATGACCTTAAATATATAAACGAATAAAAGCCCAAGCTCAAACTTTCCTGCGTGGGCTCTAGGTCAGCTCTGCAAGGATGGGAATTCTACATATATAAATCACACATTATAAATGACCAAAACATCGATTCAATTTCACCAGAATAATGGAGTACATATTTTCCCCCGACTTCCCAGATATTACAATTTCTATTTAAGATTCAAACTAACCAATTTATTTTGATTTTTAAATCAACTAAAATCTGTTAACCAATAGCTCCACTATACTCTATATTAGTAATATAAAGTTAGATGCAACTTGTGCAAGCAAGACAGCAATAAGACTACTAGAAAAAGAATCGATGGAGGTCACCTAAAATAAAGAGTTGATCGGGCCTAGTTCTACAATCAATTGATACAAAAAGACTCAACGCTTTCTTTAAAAAAAAAGACTCAACGCTTCTTCACACCCCAATCCTTTAAAATAAAAACAAGTGTTAGATCATGATTATTGCTATACACCCCATTTGGATCTCTAAATCTTTTTTTATTATTAAACTGAAAAGAATTGCCATATGGAGGGAAAGACGGTCTCTTATGGTTGCAAAATAAGAGACGTTCTCTAAAAATTTTTAAAATCAACTGATTAAAATATTATAAAATATTATAAAATATCCTGTTGGATACCACATTAATCATGCTCTTATATTCTATTGATTTGTGTGTGACAAATGTTGAGTCTTTTTCTGTCTTTGTTATTGTAAAATGTTAAAAAGTAACACCACCGTCCCTTGATAATTGAATGGAGGGTAAAAATCGTTATTAGAGTATTCATTATCCATTTTGGCCATTTACTCAATTTATACCAAATTGCCATTTAGCTAATTTCTCTGAAATTTTGTATTTTTTAAATTGATGCTTAATGTTTCCAGTCTCCTAAACGTCATTAGCTACGTATATTTTGATCTACTTTGCCTTATATATATGTTATTTGGTATCTCTATTCATTACTACTCACAGTCACAGACTCACAGGCAAACAAAAAATGGATAAAAGATGGAGTCTTCAAGGTATGACTGCTCTTGTAACCGGTGGAGCCAGCGGAATCGGGTTTGTTTTTCCTACTCTCTAGCTATATCATATTTTTTACCCATTTTTCTGCTGCTTCTTTTTCTAAGATATCGCTAAATTTTGTTTTTTCGTTGTGGACTATTTTAGGCATGCCATAGTAGAGGAGCTAGCCCGTTTTGAAGCAAGAATCCATGTATGCGACATCTCTGAAACAATGCTTAATCAAAGTTTAAGCGAGTGGGAAAAGAAAGGGTTTCAAGTGAGTGGTTCAATCTGTGATGTATCCTCTCGTCCCGAGAGAGAAACACTTATGCAGACCGTCTCAACGATGTTCAATGGCAAGCTCAACATTCTTGTAAGTTAATTAGTCTTAGTTTAAAGAAAGAAACTAAGCATATCTTCCTAGGAAGAATACCTATTAAATAGTGAAATTTATAGTAAGATTTTTACTACTCTTTTTTTTTGGCTCAACATAGGTGAACAACGTTGGAGGACTTCGCACAAAGCCAACAACAGAATATGTGGAAGACGATTTCTCGTTCCATATTTCAACAAACTTGGAATCTGCTTATCATTTTAGCCAACTCTCACATCCTCTCTTAAAGGCTTCTGGCTATGGGAGCATCATCTTCATGTCCTCTGTTGGAGGGGTTGTATCAATGGACTGTGGATCCATCTATGGTTTAACCAAAGGTACATAGACCGACTAATCAATACAGAGATTTTCAAATATACTAGATGCTGTAGTAATATTGTGGATTCGTATATGTTTCATTGGGTAAATACAAATATGTTTCATTGTTGAAATACAAACTTTATATTATATTTTCAGTTAATATTTTGGTAAAAAGGATTTGATGTTGAGTGACGTTAATTAGTTGATTAGCCTGACACATATCTTCTATTCATATTTTTAGATCTCATCTTGATTCGTATATGAGATTCCTGGCGTACTTTTTATGATCCCAGTGTCAATATATACAGTAACACATATAAAGAGAGAAATTTATTTGCATAGATACACAAACAAAACCAATTTAAAAGTAATAAATTATCTAAATGGTTCAGAAATCTTTCACCAAAAGATACTTCTACGGATTAAAACATTTTCTTTATTAAAGCTTTTGTAGATCTAAATTTCTTTGCGATTCGTAATACATTTCTCGTAGTTATATATATATTTTTTTGTATGTGTGTGTGTAGGAGGTATGAATCAACTAGCAAGAAATTTGGCGTGTGAATGGGCACGAGACGGCATAAGAGCCAACTCTGTTGCTCCTAATTTTATCCAAAATGCTCTGGCTAAACCTGTAATCAATGACACCCTCCAGCTATTTTTAATTTGTTTTCCAATCAATATCATGCACTTCTAATTCTTGTACCTTAATCTTGTGAATAATCAGCTTCTGGGAGACTCCGATTACAACAAAAGTTTGTTTAGTAGAACTCCACTTGGCCGCGCTGGAGAACCACGAGAGGTTGCATCCCTTGTAGCTTTTCTGTGTCTACCTGCAGCTTCATATATTACTGGTCAGACCATATGTGTTGATGGAGGTCTCACTATCAATGGTTTCACATATCAGCCACAGGCTTGAGCGGAGTCGTGTGTGTGTATTTTCTTCAAGAACTTCTAAGACACGAATTGATTCTCAAATAAAAACTTATTTTTCAGATTTGTTTATGAAAATAAGAGAAAGTGTTCCTGTTCTAGGAACAATATATGCCTCATCTTCCATTTCCGCAAGTTTTAGGAATCGATGATTCCATCTCCTTGTTTTTCATAAATAAACAACTAACCAAGAAAAGATATTGAATAAAGACAGAGAGAATATTTCCTAGAGGAATGTGTTCTTATGTTCTTGTTGCTTTGATCGGGATCTTCTCTAAGATAAGATCCCACAATAGAAGAATAAGTAATTAGCTATTTGTAACATTCTGATTTCTAATATATGTGGAGAGGTTTATAAGAATTGATTTGGTTATCTATGTCATCAAAGTTCATTTATCTTTTTGGACAACTGGTCTTGAGAGAACTTTAGAGTTAAGCATGTTTAAACTAGAAACAATTTCAAGATGGATGACCTACCAAAAGTAGTCCGCGTTACCGTATGAGCGATGACAAAACATGGGGAAAGATCACGCGTAGTGATTGCAGGGACAACAGACAAGTCTTACGAGTTTTCCAGACTAACGCACTGGCTATCGGACAGTGATGGACCCATATGCCTAGAGAAAGACCAACCGTCGGATAGTGGTGGACCAACGGACCTAAAGAAAAGGTGTTGGGCTCACTGGTGAGGACGGTTGGAGTTGGGCCCTAGAGTGAGGGCGTTGGACTCACTAGGAGAGACATTTGGGGCGTTAGGAGTTGATAGCCGGTCCAGACGAAAGGCAGATGGGGGTCTCACTGTAGGTGATAGCTGGTTCGTCTGGTTCCCGGAAGGAAAGGTGGGATCGGGGTGTCACAATTGGTATCAGCGCGTAAGGTTAGCGAACCGGCTCTGACCCGGATGGCGTCTTGAGACGTAGTTGAGTTAGAGAGAATTCGAGGACGAATTCCTTAGATGTCGGTGAAACTTGTAACATCCTGATTTCTGTTATATGTTGAGAGGCTTATAAGAATTGATTTGGCTACCTATGTTATCAAAGTGCATTTATCTTTTCGGGCACTGGTCTTGAGAGAATTCCAAAGTTAAGCGTGCTTAAACTGAGAGCAATGTTAGGATGGATGATCTACCGGGAAGTAGTATGCGGTACCGTGTGAGTGTGGACAAAACACGGGAAAAGATCACGTGGTGATTGTAGGGACAGTAGGCAAATTTTACAATCCTTCCGGATTAACGCACCGACCGTTGGACATTGGTGGGCCCACGGGCCTATAGAGAGACCAACCGTCGGAAAGTGGTGGGCTAATGGACCTAGAGAAAAGGTGTTAGGCTCACTGGTAGGGGCGATTGGTGGGCCAACAGGTCTAGAGAGAGAACGTTGGACCCTAGAGTGAGAGCGTTGGGCTCACTAGGAGGAGTGATTAGGGCGTTAGAAGTTGATATGATCGGTCTGTCTGGTTCCGTGAAAATAAGACGGGATCGGAGTATCACAATGTTGTTGTAAAAAAAAAAGTCCCTAAAAAGAGTAAATAGTTGTCATCAAGTGACTAACTATTACTAAAATAGCACACATATGAAAGGGAAAGAAATAGTCAATTGACTTATGAGTTTTAGAACACCCTTTCTTCATAAGCTGGTTTTTCAAGGAAGAGTTCTATCCATTGGATTTTAAACGTAATTTCTAGGTCCAACCCCAATAATTAGTACAGTAAAAATGTTTATGGCATATGTTGCCACCTAGAGACTAATGTGGGAAAGTGAAATGTAAGAAGGGGTGGTTTTGCCAGAGTGGGCAACCCAATCCGGGAAGGAGCGACTTGTATAAGCCAAAATGGATTAACCGATGTGGAAAACAACAATCTGTATCTTTTCGAGCTAATATTCAGATAAAAAAAGGAAGGAACGTGTAAAAAGGAAGGAGTATATATAAATTAAAGTCCCCTTCGTCTGAGGACCGATGTGCTGTTGTTGGATATTTTGAAAGAATTGGTTATTATCCCTGCAACTCATCATGTGATTTTTTTTTATGTTTTATTGTGATAAAATTTGGTTCCACATCGAAAATTGGAATGAGACTAGACTAGTATATAAGGTAACTAGTTTTGAGTTGTGATAGAATAGCTGTGATAGACTAGACTAGTATATAAGGCAACATTTGTCCTCAATCACATAATAACAATAATTATTTTTTAGTAGATCATCCATTCTTAAATTATTCAAGTTCAAAGATGTCTAGTTTTGAAGTTTTCTCTAGACAAATAACTGTGACCAAATCTCCTGAGAGAACTCACAGTAAAAAAAGATGTATTCCATGCTAACAGCTTCCACATTACAGAGCAAGCATGTTTCTGGAACCTGGAGTCCCCAAATTTTTAATCTATCACGCGTTGTCAAACACATGCGAACAAGAAGCCAAAACAAAAATGCATGCTTAGAAATGTGAGATTTAAACCAAACTGCAGGCTTTTAAGGGACAACAGGGGGAGCGGGATGAAGAGCTATACAAGTATGAGATGATGAGAATTGGCCTGGAACAAAAGATAGACTAACTTTCCAACCAAAGCAGTCATCATCTCGAGGGATGAGAGACGGGGCCGAGGGAATACAAGCACGGAGAAGACTAACCAGGGGGTGTCTTCAACCAGGCAATCTCCATCGATTATTTAGGGTCGCTTGAGCAAGAGATGCAGAGTAGGGGATGCCCAAGACTTGCGAACCTGAGTCTCCCACAAGGGAACTTAGAGGACCCAGTCCAGTCCAAATATCGTACCAAAAAAAGATTTTATCACCAGACCCGGCGGAAACAAAAATGAAGGGTCTTGCAAGAGCTCTTTGCTTCATTAAGCATTTCTAAAGCCAGCTACTAACATTACGAAAATCAACCTCCTAGAATACACGCCCGCGGATCAGATGTTTATTGACCCATAAGACCCACAGCGACCCACTGGCAGTAAAGAGGAGCCATATCAGCTTTAAAGCAAAAACTTTATTCCAATCTACCAACCTTCTCAACCCTAGCCCACCAGAACGTTTAGGCGTACACAATGAAGCCCATGACACTTTGGCACCGCGTGCAGTGGAAGCAGCACCCGACCACAGATACGCAGAGCAAATTTTTTCAAGTTCCTCTAAACATCCATTAGGGAGGAGGAAGAAAGAGCACCAAAAATTACTAGAGCGATAAATCACTGATTGGATTAGTTGCAATCTTCCAGCAAAAGACAAACAACAAGCAGATCAGGAAGCTATGCGATTGCGCACCTTATCAATTAGAGCACAGTAATCTTGAGGTCGAAGCTTGTGAAGCTGGAGCGGAACCCCCAGGTAACGCATCCGAAGGGATCCTTGAAGCAGATGATACTTCTCCACCAGCTTTTTAACAAGGGACACGTTATTACCATCAAGGAGAAGACATGATTTGTGGAAGTTAAGTCTCAATCCAGATGTTTTATAGAAATCATGTAGAATGTCCAGGATACTTATCAGAGAGCGTTCTGAGCCGTGAAAGAAAATAAGGACATCATCGGCAAAGCTGAGATGCGTAATTAAAGGGTCCGAACAGAGATGGTGCGTCGAAAACCGATTAAGCATCACAGATTTATCCAAATGCTTGGAGAGGATATCCATAGCAATTGAAAAAAGCGGCGGAGAGATCGGATCTCCTTGCCTCAGCCCTTTCTTACCGTGAAAGTAGCCTGTGAGCTTCCCGTTGATCGAGACAGAATAAGCCGGAGAGGATATGCACTCATAAATCCAGGAAGATATCCGGGAGCTCAAACGCCTTAAGAATATTGATGATGAACTTCCAATGGAGATTGTCATAAGCCTTAGACAAATGAATTTGAAGACACCCCTGAGTGGTCGGACCATCTTTATGAAAATCACTGACACGCTCTGACACAAGCAGCACATTCTCACACAACAGCCAACCATCCATAAAACCCACCTGATTCCTCTGGACCACTTTGGAAGAGAACATCTTTAGGCGAAGACCTAAGATTCTGGAGATGACTTTAAAGAAAATATTGCAGCAAGCAATGGGTCTGAAATCAGAGAGTTTATCGGCCCCAGGGAACTTCAGAATGAGAGTGAGAGTCGTACCATTAAATTTCTTCAGAGAACAAGAGGAGCGGAAGAACTCTTGAACAGCCAAAATGAGGTCACTCCCAACCATAGACCAACCAGAAGTGAAAAATTCTACCGAGAATCCATCCGGTCCAGGGGCTTTCCCACGAGGTAAAGCAAAAACTACAGAACGTATATCCTCAGCGGTCGGGATAACCGCAAAAAGAGAAGCCAATTCCTGAGAGCACCGAAAGGGATAAACACGTTTGAGGTACTTCATAGAATGGGGAGTTACTTCCGAGTTGGAGGAGCCAAGAAGATTACGGTAGTAGTTAACCACCAAGTCTTTAACCATCTCCAGATTGGATATCCGATCCCCAGCCTCGGAACGGATGTAATTAATAGCATTGCAAGCTTGCCTAACTTTAACCACTCTATGGAAGAAACTGGTATTAGCATCACCCTCCTTAAGCCACCGAAGGCGGAATTTTTGCTAAAAAGGGTTTCCTCAGCTTTCGCAAAAATCGACCAAGACTCATGAGCTTCCTTTCTTGTAAAAAGAGATCCTGAGAGGTAAAAGAACAATTCAGCCTGAATATGCTCAAGATCCGCAAAAGCTTTAGCGGTATGCCTTTGAATATCAGAGAACCTACGCCTATTCAGGCCCTTACAGAACCCTTTTTCCGCCTTCAGCTTCAGCAGGGAAGAGCAAGAAGGCATGCTAGCATTCCACACATCCTGAAGATGCTGCAAATAATCCGGAAGCTCAGCAAAGAAGGAAAAGAACTTGAAAGGCGATTTTCTTCTTACCTCCACCTAAGACAAGGAAATAAGACAAGGAGAATGGTCAGATTTTCCGGGAGGATCAAACACCGCAGATGAGTAAGAAATTTTTCAAGCCAAGGACCATTGACCAGCGCCCTATCGAGCTTTCGTGCAACAGGAGAATCCGCCTGTCGATTAGTTGGTTCTCACTAGATATACTCCTAGTTTCTACTGCAATAGAACAATGATGTAGTTGTAATATAAAGGATTCAAAATCCAGAGGACCAGTGTTACTCTATGAATTTGTGAGGATTGAATTAAAGCTAAGACGAAAGATGGTTTGTTTTGAAAACTAAAAAGTAAACAGAATGGCAAACAACGATTTAAATTCAAATTAAAACAAGCACTAGACCAAAGCAATTTGCAGGAATTTCAGAGATAAGAACCAGATGACTATTCAGGGCACAAGTGTAACGCAAGTCTCGAACTCAAACAGAAAAGCTTATCGATCCACTGTCGTGATCTCGATAACTTTGTCTAACAACCTAAATCCTAAACTGTCGTTTGAACCTAGAAAATTGCAGACAAGCATTAGCTAGCAGGTGTGATCTGTTCACGATTTGCCTTAACTTCAACTGTCGTTGGCTAAGGACAAATCGCTCACCAATGTTTATTCTAGCAACCTATTACACTTTTGATGAATAGATTAACCTAAAATCGCAGATTGAGTGATCAATTCAACCTAAGCATTAAGTCTAACAATGGTGAAGACAATAGATATCAAGCCCTATTTGCATCTAATCCTTTAACTCATGAAATCCTTTGAACGCTTTAATCTAGCTAAGAGATCTACTCAGACATGGAGAAAAGAAACACGGAAACAGATGGAAAGGAATTCATGAATTAAAATCGCAGAAGAGATAATAGGGTTCAGAATTCTTCTCAAAGTGTAGCAGATTTCTTCTCCCAAAAGCTTACAAGTAAAAACTCTATGGTTCAGGAAATTGTAAAAAGAAAAGCGTAGAAAGTCTGTAGAAAAACGTGATCATCAAAACACAGGCGGCTCTGGGCTTTTTATTCCATCTCACGCGACTTAGGATTAGGTAAAATCGTTTTCCTTATTTTTCTCTCGTCCGGAGCAGGTGCTCCACGAAGGGTCCAAACCGGGAGCAGGTGCTCCGGGGATGATTTCTCCAAAAACGTGTGAAATAGCTCCTTATTGCTCAATTTCATCTCTTTTTTGCTCCAATGCCTCCTAAACACTCCAATCCTTTGATAAAGCCTCTAAGTCACCTGAAACTTCCTGAAAAGACTCCAAAAACTCCTAAAACAATCAGTAAACACAAGTTAGAATGAGTCAAAATCTCCACTCATCAACTCCCCCGAACTTGAATCCTTGTTTGTCCTCAAACAAACTCAAATTCAACTCCAAAAGAATGACTGGATAAAGCTGGGAACTCGCAAAACTCAAAAGACCGTAAACCTGACCAAGGCATGTGACAATCTGCTACAAAATCAATCAAAAATCTAACCTCCATGTACTTCTCCGTAGACGCTGCAGCTTTCCAGATTAGTCCCTCAATTTCATAACATCATCCATCTCTCATCATCGCTGAATCTCATCGATAAAACCAGTGCTAAGGACCTTCTAGACTCGTTCCCATACTTATACCTCAACAAATCGACCATACTACACAAAAGTACCTTTCCTCTCCCCCGAACTTATTCACTTTTCAAGCTGTTTCGTTTTTTTTTTTTTTTTTTTTTTTTTGGCACATATAACAAGGTTCAAAGACGCGAGTATTGATGGTGATTGCCACCGAATCCCCGGTTTGTCCCCTCATCATATATCAAAGGTGTAGGCGAATAATGGGGTCACAGGAAATTTTTCTACCCCTCGCTTCCATCCTTTGTGTGATCATTCCACTTTAGAAGTAAAATAATGGGATCCTTGGAAATTTTCCTAACCCTTTACTTCTAAAAGAAAATCATTTCAATCTTTTCTGCCTTTTGATCATATTTTTTTTTTTTTTTTTTTAGAAACAGCCCGAAACAATGCTTAGAACATAAGAGAGGAATACCAAATCTATCACACAGGTCTTTATTTGTCAGGTAAGAATGGGGAGTCAAGCCCTATGAGCACTAACCTGATCGATGAGGAAAATGAAGAGCTGAAAAATTAGCTCAGGTTCATTGGATATGTCAAGAATTTTGGGCTCCTCTAGTCTACTGCTTTGTCTTTGGATTTTCCATTAGTCGATCTAGATGATTCTGCAGCAATGATCACTGAAACAAAACGGTCAAGATTTACAAATGGTCTGAAATCATCATAGAATTGGTCATTATTCCCACAAGTTTTGACTTGACTCATATAACCAACTGACTCAAAGAAACAAAATGACTCAAAGAAACAAACTAAAAACTGACTCAAAGAAAGAACTAAAAGAAAGAAAACAAAAGAAAGAAGTAAAAGAGACATGATCCTCCCCCGGACTTACTTCACACCGTCCTCGGTGTGAAAATAAGCTAGAGAAGTACCCAGAAAACTTACCTGGTTTGCGCATGTAGAGCACCCTGGTGGAGCAGGTGCTCCGGAACAGAGCTGGGTGCTCCCTCGTCTTTTGTTCGTCTGGAGCAGGTGCCGGAGCAGGTGCTCCGGTTTCCCTTGGGTTGCTCCTTCGTCACTTTTTACGTGGTGAGCACCCTGTGGAGCAGGTGCTCCGACTGGGGAGGGGGTGCTCTTTCGTTAGTTTTTACGCTTTGAGCAACCAACCTAGCAGATGGAGCAGGTGCTCCAGTTGGGTGTTCTTCCTTCTTCTTCCTCACATCTTCTCTTCCACGTTGAACAACTTCCTAACTGTTTTTTTTTTATTTTTTAAAAAGAACCTAAAAACAAAGTTAGTAGCTAAGAATAAAAGACACAAAGTTAGAGACTCTTACCGGTGGGTTGCCTCCCACCAAGCGCTTGTTTTAAGTCATTAGCTTGACTTGGAAAGCCATTTAGGCTTGAGGAGGATCGCTTAAGGTGACTGATTCACCCTCTGCGATATTTGGACCAGCAAGGTATGGTTTCAACCTCTGTCCATTGACAACAAACTCGCCTCCTTTAGTGTCCAGCAACACTACAGCTCCATATGGTCGAACCTCCTTGATGGTGAATGGTCCAGACCATCTCGATCTCAGCTTCCCTGGAAACAATTTCAATCTAGAGTTAAAGAGCAATACCTGATCGTTTGGTGCAAAGCTTCTGTTGAGGATCCTCCTGTCATGGAAAGCTTTTGTCCTCTCTTTGTAAATCTTCGAGTTTTCATATGCCAGGTGCCTAATTTCCTCCAGCTCATGCAACTGCATTACTCTCCTCTCCTGAGCACTCTTTGCATCGAAATTCAGCAGCTTCACTGCCCAAGCAGCTTTGTACTCAAGTTCCACTGGAAGATGACATGCTTTTTCATACACCAAGTGGAATGGTGTAGTCCCCAAAGGTGTTTTGTAAGCTGTTCTGTATGCCCAAAGAGCATCATCAAGCTCCACTGCCCAATCCTTCCTTGTGGTGCTCACAGTCTTCTGCAGAATGTTCTTGATTTCCCTGTTGGAAACCTCAACTTGCCCACTCGTCTGAGGATGGTATGGGGTCGCCACCTTATGCCTTACACCATTCTTCTTCAACAAGTTTTCAAAGACTTTGTTAATGAAGTGAGGGCCTCCATCGCTAATCACCACTCGCGGCACACCAAACCTGGGAAAAATGACAGATTTGAACATCTTTAAAACCACCTTTGCGTCATTTGTGGGACTAGCCAGAGCTTCCACCCACTTTGATACATAGTCAACTGCCACCAGAATATACTCATTCCCATAAGATGGTGGAAAAGGTCCCATGAAGTCTATACCCCACACATCGAAAATTTCTACTTCCAAGATGAAATTCTGAGGCATCTCATTCCTCCTGCTGATGTTCCCTTGTCTCTGACATGTGTCACACCTGGAGATAAAACTCGCTACATCTCGGAACATCGTCGGCCACCAATACCCAGCTTGGAGAATTTTCGACACAGTCTTGAAAGTGGCGAAGTGACCTGCATAAGAGGATCCATGGCAATGAAACAACACTCCTGGTATCTCCTCGTCAGCTACACATCTTCTGAAGATTCCATCAGAGCAATGCCTGTATAAATAAGGCTCATCCCAAAAGTAGTGCCTCACATCCTTCAGAAACTTCTTCTTTTTGTTTCCCACAAAACCTGCAGGTTCCTGCTCTGCAGCAAGGTAATTTGCAATCTCTCCAAACCATGGGAAACCAGAATGCCGATCTATGTCAACTTGGTTGCAAAAACTCGTCAGAGCAGGTGCTCCGGTGGGGAGCAGGTGCTCGTCGAACCCAGAAACATCTATGGCGTAAACTTGTTCATCAGGAAGGCTGTCATTTAGTGGAATGTCATCATCTATCTTCAGCCTCGACAAGTGGTCTACAACACCATTATCAATCCTTTTTTTATCTTTAATCTCCAAATCAAACTCTTGCAGCAAAAGGATCCATCGAAGGAGCCTTGGCTTGGCGTCCTTCTTCGTCAACAGGTATTTCAGAGCTGCATGGTCTGTGTGAACAACAACTTTCGACCCAACAAGGTAAGACCTGAACTTCTCAAAAGCATAAACCACTGCAAGAAGCTCCTTTTCAGTTGTGGCATATCTGCACTGAGCCTCGTCGAGTGTTCGGCTAGCATAATAGATGACGTGGAGCCTCTTTTCTTTCCTCTAACCCAGCACTGCTCCCACTGCATAATCGCTAGCATCGGTCATGACCTCAAAAGGTAGTTCCCAATCTGGTGGCTGGACAATAGGAGCGCTGACGAAAGCTCCTTTTATCCTGTGAAATGCCTCCAAACATGCATCATCAAACTCGAATTTCACATCCTTGCACAGCAGCTGCGTCAGGGGCCTGGCAATCTTCGAGAAATCTTTGATGAAGCCTCTGTAAAAACCTGCGTGGCCCAGAAAACTGCAAACCCCCTTGACTGATGTTGGTGGCTGCAGACTCATCATCACCTCGATCTTTGCCCTGTCCACCTCGATCCCTTTCTCTGAGATTTTGTGTCCCAGCACGATCCCATCTCTTACCATGAAATGGCATTTCTCCCAGTTAAGCACCAGATGCTTCTCCTCACACCGCTGCAAGACCCCGCACAGATTAGACAAACAGACAGAAAAGGAGCTTCCATAGACAGAAAAATCGTCCATGAAAACTTCCATTATGTCTTCAATCAGGTCAGTGAAAATCGACATCATGCAGCGTTGGAATGTTGCTGGAGCATTACACAAGCCAAATGGCATTCTGCGATATGCAAAGGTGCCATAAGGACATGTGAATGTCGTCTTCTCCTGGTCATCCGGGTGGATTGGGATCTGAAAGAAACCTGAATAACCATCTAAGAAACAGTAATAAGGATGGTTAGCCAAGCGTTCAAGCATCTGATCGATAAATGGTAAAAGAAAATGATCTTTACGAGTTGCAGCATTCAATTTCCTGTAATCTATGCACATTCGATGCCCAGTAACAGTTCTAGTTGGTATCAATTCATTCCTATTATTTTTTGTGACAGTGATGCCACCTTTCTTAGGAACTACATGAACCGGACTAACCCAATTACTATCTGAAATTGCATAGATCACACCAGCTTCTAGAAGTTTCATTATCTCTTTCTTTACAACATCTTGTAGATTCGGGTTTAACCTCCTCTGATGTTCTACAGAAGTCATTGATTCATCTTCTAGATGTATTCTATGCATGCAAAGATCAGGAGAAATCCCTGGAATGTCATCTAGTGAATATCCTATAGCTTTCCTATACTTTCTAATTTCACAAAGAAGCAAGGCAATCTCTACATTGTTCAATTCAGAGTTCACTATCACAGGGAATGTCGAATTGGGTCCTAGAAACGCGTACCTGAGCCCCACAGGAAGGGGTTTGAGCTCAAGCTTCGGAGCTCTCAATTCGCTCCAAGGTCCATCAATCAAGCCGTCGGGAGCAGGTGCTCCAGGATTCAGAGCAGGTGCTCCGTCGGCTTTTTCTGCAGGTGAGCTCTCCTTGCCTTCTAAGCTCATGTACGCCACCAGCCTTTGCATCCTCGTGCTTGCATTCAGCATTTTTGCAAACCCATCAGCTTCTTCACTCAAATACCCATGTTCTCCTTCAGCTTTGGTGAGTGCAACTTCGAGAGGATCGATGGCCAAAACCTCTTCAGCAACCTCTTCAGCAATGCCTGAACCATCATCTATGACAAATGTCTGTCCGTCCAGCATTGGTTTCTTGAAGAGTTTATTCATCTCAAATCGCACCACCATATCTCCCAGCTGGAGATCTATCACTCCTTCTTTCACATCTATGATTGCACCAGCTGTGCATAAGAAGGATCGACCCAATATCAAAGGATCCTTGGGTTCTTCATCAAGCTCCAGAACCACAAAATCTGCTGGAATGAGTGTATCACCTATCTGAACATGCAGATCCTCAAGTATACCAACAGGGAATTTGGTTGATCTATCAGCAAATACCAGCGAGATTTTCGTCGGTTTGAATCTGGTGTAACCCAATCGCTTGGCTACAGAGTAAGGCATCAGATTCACACTTGAACCTAGATCGCAGAGAGACCTTGCAAAAAGTACATTCCCAATCCTAACTGAGAGAACAAACCTTCCTGGATCACTTCTCTTCTTCAGAACTTTGTTCTGAAGCACAGCACTGCACTCCTTCGAAACCATCATGACACTCTCTTCCTCAACAGCTTTCCCAGACACTAACCCCTTCATGTATCTTTTAAGGGCTGGTATCATCTGAACAGCATCAGCTAGAGGGAGTTTTACAGTCAAATCCTTCAGCATCTCCCTGCACTTTGCATCCTCTAAGTCCTTGCGAGACTTCTTTGGTGGAACTGGGTAAGGTACCCTAGGCGTGAAACTCTTGCAGGAATGTTTGCTGGGGCAGGTGGCTGGAGCAGGTGCTCCCTCGTTGGCTCAGGGTGCTCCCTCGTCAAATCTACGTCTGGAGCAGGTGCTCCAGATTTTGGAGTAGGTGCTCCGATGGAGGAAGAGTGCTCCTTCGTCTTTTTTACGTCATGAGCTGGTTCCTCTTCTTGGAGCAGGTGCTCCACGTCCTTTTTCTTCCTCATTCACAAACTCATTCCTGGGATTTTCACCTTTTCCAGGGAGAGTTCCAGGTGATCTCTTCACAGCTTCTGCAGTCTGAGCTACCTGAACATCCAGCTTCTTCACATGAGTCCACACAGCCTCATACTTGCCATTCAAATCATTGTACATGGTGTCCACTTTGGCATTAATCTCCATGGAAGACTTTTGCTGATTAACCAGCAGCTGTTGCATCAAGTTTTTCAGCTCATCCTGCGAGTTATTTGAGGAACTCGAAGAAGGCTGTAGACTTGTGAAAGGCAACTTCTGCTGATTTCCACCTTGAAATCGATTCTGATTGGTGATGAACTGCTTTCCTTGGAAGTTGCTGGAGAAGTTCTTCTGAAATCCTGACTGATTCTGCACTCCTTGCTGCGGATAG